CGATTACTGAAGTGGTGTGTGAACCTATTGGGTACTATGCAGTCTCTCAAACTTTGGAAACAGACTCTACACCACCCTCTTTCCATTGGTACACAGATGTTTGGAGGAGATGATCCTTGTGGTTCATCCCACCAGTCAATGAAGATATACTGTTGATGAAGGACATCTAACAAGACCAAATGTGGAAACTGACTAGTATTAGGCCAAAGTTCTTAGAAGCAGTAGGCAGACACTGCTTTTGCAGAAAATCAACAAACCCCATGATAGCCTTGTTAGCTTGCTTTGGTACCTGGGGTGCCTCAGTGCAAGGTGGGGGAACCACACATCTAGCTTCCAGTCCCCCTGTGTAGGCAACACTTGGGACATCACATGGCCTAATGATAAGTGCAATATGTGAACATGTCATATGTACAGCTTTGACAGGGATGTAACAATGAAGACACAGGGGCTACCCTTTTGTAGGGACTTAGCAGTGACAATGAACACATCACTCCTCTTTGTTTTGTCAAAAGCACGAGATGGTTACAGAAATGGGTGCAGAGGGAATCGGCCAAGAAAGAAAACAGGTGGAAGCCGAGAGGCACAATGGCTTGGGTTTTTTAGTTCTGGTGAAGCCTACAGTGAGATCCATGCTGGGCATGGAGTGCAGTTTTGAGACATGTTTTGCTCAGCACCCCCTCCTCCTTGTCTCTACTTCTCCATTTCCCCTCCCTCATTCCCCCTGTCCCACTTTTGTAAACTTTGTTCTTCAGAAGTCTTCAAAGAATGAGTAATGGAAGATGGACCTTTTGCAGTCTTGTAGGTCTGGATGCGTTTTATCTTCTCAGACAATAGTTCAGTCTTTTTAAATGAAGTCTGATAAGAATCATTTATATTTTGAAAAGTGTTCCTTTTAATTTCAAGAAGTTTGATTTTTAAGAAGTTTGGTGTGCATTGCCCACCAAAGATTCTTATTGAAAACATGCACAAGCATCTCTTGCACGGTGTCCCCTGATGAGATGCTGCTATCAAGTCCCTGAGATACTGGGTTGGGTATGTGCAGACACTCAATTGGTGAGCTCCCCAGAGCCATGCCTCTGGACAGAAAACGCCCGAGCAGTACAGAAACCTCCCCTTGCTTGGGTGCCTTGTGACCTCTGACCTCTTATACTTCTATTCTGCCATCCAGTGGGTCAGAAGCTCTGTTCTCCGAAGCTTCTAGCCCAATGTAGTTTCTCCTGTGATCATGACAAGGGAGTATCTCACTATGAAGGAGTTAGAAGATGCCCTGGACAGCAGACTCCGTGGCTGGGACTGGGCAGGTGTTCAAATGCTTCCCAAAGTACCAGGGTTAAGGGCCTTCATGCCCAAGGCACACAGGATGCCAGCAAGGTATGGGAATGCACTCCAGTCGAGTTTCCCCTTCTCTTTGTGTAGCTTCCTCTCCCTCCTCCCAGATAAAAGCAGGAGAAACAGAAACCGACTAAACCAAGTCTATTAGGACCATAGCTGCTGGTGTAAGCTTTACTTTTCTCTGCTCTTTTTTTCTGATTAGCCTCAGCAGTGAGTCCAAAACCTCATGAACCTGGAGCCAGAATCCCCCACGCTGAGGGCAGAGCAAGGCAGAGTAGATGCACAGATGCACCATTTCCCTGGGAAGGAGCTTGAAGCTTGGGTCACATTAAAGGTGTACATTAAGGACAAACACAGACTTTCTTCTTTCATGGAGCAGTTGGATAAGTTAATTCTATGTAATAACTTGTCTTAAAAAAAGGATGTAAGAACATTTTAAAATCTTTTAAGATAATTCTTAGTAAGTAATCTTGTAAGGTATATAGTCTGAAGGTGTTTGTTTGGTATCTACAATGCTCCAAAAATAGGAATCAGTTGCCAATGTTTAAAATTTTGAATATTTCATAAGAAATCCCAGATTCCTATCCTATCTTGAAAATCTGATGTATTTAGCAAAACATACCTGCTTTCTGCCTCCTTTAAATTCCCCAGGGACTGTGGTTCCCACCTGCCTGCCCAATCGCCCACCAGATATTTGCAATCACCCTGTGGCCACTTCAAGAGGTAGCTCTCCAAACTTTGAAAGTTGACTCCTGAAATACTGTAAAAATTTGTTCTTCTCTTAATGGGAGTAGGGTGGGGTGCCACACAGAGTAAATTCCCATAGTGGTTGGTTCTTCCAGAAGTGAGAGGAGAGAGATGTTTCTTAGCATCATTTTTATTTGGAAAGTGCAGTGGCAGGTTCCAGGCATGTTATAATTCTGATCCTCCAATGAGTTCATTTGAAAGTCTGGGTTGGAAGGGAAGCTGAGTGTGTTGTTAGCATCTTGTGATAGTGTCCACATGACTTGATCCCCATGTTCTAAATAAGCACTAACACAAAGGACATCTTCTTAATTAACCCTCCCATTTTAAGTTTAGCAGGCCTTGTGGATGCCACATTGGTTCCTTTCTGCTGAATCTCCTCATCCTGGTGCATGGGAGTCCACAGTAGGTGGCTTTACCTGTGCTAGGTCTGTGCCAGCCAGCCAGCTACTTAGCCTTCTACCCTGCCTGTTCCTGCTGGCAGGAAAGGAACATTGCAGCTGAGCTTTCAGTGTCTGCTGGGGCCATAAACAGAACTTGCCTCTGGGCTACACTGGGGGAAGCTGCAGCCAGAGGGATTAAGTGATTTGCCCTCAGTCACACTGCTAATTAGTAATGGAGCCAAGATTAGAGTCTCTGTCTGGCAGCACCTGGTCCTGAGCCCTTCCTTGGCCACCTCCTCCCAGCCCCTCTCATCCTGTCTTCCTGGCATCGAAATGGAACCCGAGTTTCCCTTCTAGAATAACTATAAGCTGCTAGTGAGGCATTCTTCAGCATATGTTGAGCCATTTGGTGGGTATAGTTTGTGATTATCTGAGCCATTCCGGCACAGCTATGTAATTCTGTAACCTCAGCAAAGGGTGCTGTGCACATTCCATGAATACATTTTCATGCTAATAAGTGTGCGAGGTGACATTGGCATTGACAAGGAACTTGTTCACTCATCTAGAAAATAGCCAAACAGGTTAGAAGCGTGTGCTTGTACCTCGAGTGTGTTTGGGTTATAATTATGTAAGGTATCTGAGATTCATTTTTGTGTTATTCACAGTATTCAACAATAGCCATGAAGAGAGTGTTCCTTTTTCTGTCAGTGACAAATGTATTATCTCGCAGGCTTTAGTCACAGAGAAGCCGGTTCACTTTTCTTTATCAAGTCTCCATCTCATCAATTTTCTATTTTTTGTCTCACGATTATTCAGTGTTTCAGATTTTTTTTTTTTTTAATGCAGGTGGGGAGATGGCTCAGTGGTAAAGAATGCCTGTTGCTCTTGCCAAAGATCTGAGTTCCCATCTCAGCAAACACTATCATGCAACTTAAAACTGCCTGTAACTGTAGGTTCTGAAGGCCTGACACCCTCCCTGGCATCCTCAGGCAGCCATGTGCATGTGGAAACACACACACACACACACACACACACACACACACACACACACACCAATAATAATAATGATGATGATAATAAATAAATCTTCTAAAATGTAACATCACTCAATACCTTTTTAGAGCTATTTTTGTGTCATTTACTCCATTCATGGCATGCCTTCCTTGTCCCTTTGGCTGTCCCCTTTGTTTACTGGAGATTGTGAAGTTTTTGGCTTTCCTCTTTTATTGACTTTCTAATTAAAAAAAAAAACAAAAAAACTTGCAAGTAAAATACACCACACACTGAAATTAACCAGCCATGAGGTCTGTAAGTCTCTGTGAATTTCTATATAGTTAGAGAATTCTGTACCCTATTTTAGAGGTATTTGCAACATCATATTGCTCCTTTATCACTATAGCAAAAAATTGGAATCAACCTAATTGTCCATCAGCAGATGCATGGATAACGAAAATTTGGGGTGTGTGTGTGGGGGTGGGTGTGTGTGTGTGTGTGTGTGTGTGTGTGTGTGTGTGTAATGGAATACCATTCATTGTAAAGAAAAATGTAATCTTCAGAATTTTGCTGCTTTCCATGTTGGTCTTGTTTCTTCAGGGAGTGATTGTTGTTTTCCTGTTTATCCTAAGTCTCTTTCACATTTTAGACATTGTTTGTATGTTTTGTGGTCCTTGATTTCCCATGCACTGTAAAGCTGGGCACTGTTAGATCTGACCAGATGTCAGTTCAGTACAAGGACTTGTTGGCTGTCAGATGGGGCCGTAGGGATATGGAACGATTGTAGTTATTCTACTGAATCGGTGTTGGAATCAGCTGTGTCTATGCGAGCTGCCCTGGCTCTCCTCGGGCACTGTTCTGTGGTCTGTAGGAAGAGGGGGCTTCTGTTTGGGATGCAGAATGGGAGCATACCAGCGCTTGTCCGGAAACAGATCTTTGAATCCTTTAGTTTATACCTCCTATCTCACCACCTGCTTCTTTGTGCACCCAGGGATGGTTTAAATCGTCCATCAATCCAGTCACCATTTTGTGACCACCAAGACTAGGAGTCACTCTTGTTTCCTCTCCCCCCCTACAATACACTATATACAATACACATATAGCCCTGCATTTGTTTAGTTACTTGCTTCTCATAATAAACTTCATTGGAAAATGCACTTGTATCTCAGCTTTGCAGAGGAGTGCTAGGCACAGATTGGTTAGGGTCCCTTTGAGGATATTTGGGGCCACACAGTAAGTGGGATAGCTAGGGATCAAACCCAATCTATACTAACATCAGTCTGTGCATTGATTAGCTTTCCTCTGTTAGCAGTATTGGGGTAGAGTGTGCGTGCACATGTGTTCAGGCATAATCTTGAATGGGCAGCCTGTTGGACTGTTGACTGTGACACCTGAAAGCAGCATCTGTAAGCAGCTTTTGATGTCTGAAAGCCGGAGTCACCGAGTTTGGCTTCTCCACCAAGGATTGCACAGCATGTTTCAGTGTGTGCCATGACAGCTTCTGGTTTTGTGTACCCAGAAGGAGGTGTATCTTCCGAGCCATTTGGACAGCCACTGTATTCCTCTCTCTTCCTAGGACTGACAACACCGCACAGGCGATGGATGTTTACTCAGGGTGGAAACAGCCATCCTGGATGGTGGACAGTAAAAGAATGAGAATGACTCTGAACTTGCCATGGCTCCTGTCAGCACTCACGCTTCTGCATCTGACAATACAAGCACATAGTCTGAAAAGGGGTAAGTAAGCCTTGCAGCAAGTGAGCAAGCTGGGTCCTGTTTCTCTACTGACTTCAGGGTTTTACTGGCGAATACCCATTTCTCTGCAGTCTTTTTCCTATGTGTTTTTAGTTTCTTTTGAAAAGCCTCTTTATTAAAGGCAAATGGAAATATACTCCTTTACCCTATACAAATAATAAAGCATAATTTTCACACAGTGATATGCATTCCTTTAGGATGTACTTCTCTGAGTCTTGACAATGTGCAGTCGCTAACTCCAGGCACCATCAAGATCTGGCTGTGTTCCCAAGTGCAGAAAATGCCCCCTGTGTCCCGGTAGCCAGCCCTTCCCGCCCCACCCAGCCAGCAGTGCTACTCTCTGTCCCAAATGTTGTCGCTGAAGAAAGTTTTTGAAATGGAATCGAAACTCATTTCATGTGTTTCTCGTGTGTAGTTTAAAAACTTTAGCAATGTTTATGCAGATGCTGCCTGGCTTATTTCTATGAAGGATGTTATCCTGCTGCTCATCAGCTTTATTTTTATGGTATATACATAATTAAAAAGACTACTTCCCTCAAGCTTACTGAGTAAATAACTTGATTGTGATAACTGGTGGTTTCCAATGTGCACATTTCTAAGGTGCTTCTGTTTTTTAATATTAATTTGTAATTTATGGCAGCAGTAAATATCATGCCTGTAATACATAAAGATAATAAGCTTTTTTCATAGACATTATAGAGAACGAGATAATTTTTATACTCTTTTTTCCTTCCTCATTTCTTTCCTCTTCCCTTTCTCATGTTCCTCTTTCCATCCATCCCTCTCCCCTTCTATCCTGCCCTTTCCTCCTCTTACCCCCTTTCCTTTTTTTTTCCTGCCCTTTCCCATCATCTAGGTTCTTTTTCTTTCAGCTCCATTCCAGGCTGACTTTTCTTCATTGTGTCATTCTAATGCCCATGCCCATATATTCCATCATGCAGTGTCATTGTATGGGTGTGGTTAAAGACTATAGGACTGCAATCTTCTGACTTGTTTCTTTCCCATTGCTTAAGCCACACACACACACACAAGAATAATTTCTATAGGCTGATGTGAGTTCATTGTGTTTGCATGTCATGCCTTTACAACAATGAAAAGATTGATTGCAGGTTCCCATGGAGGGGCACTCTGGTACAAACAATGAAGGAGCCCCAGCTAGGCGGGTTTGTAGTTGTGACGCACACCTAGAGTTTTTCTGGAATAATTCTTTTTCTTGAAAGTCAAGTATTTGCTTGTTGTCTAGCCCCACTACTACTACTCTACCAGTTGGCTTTTATTAGTTACCTTTTAGTTTCAAAAGGAAAACACATGGCCCACTGTCCCACCCCCACACACGATTTCTTAGTTGACTGCAGTTCTTTGTCTAGGGGTGAGGCCTCCTGAGCTATCCTTCTTCCATGTTAGTGTATCTATTGCTATCTTCCTTGTTCAGGTCATGCTTAAGCAGCCATGCTGAGACCTCATAGGTGTAGCTTCTGACATTTCCAGGAAACACAGTCCCACAGCAAACTCCCTGTTGCTCTGTCTTTTACAATCTTTCCACCCCTTCTTCTGCAGTAATCCCTGAGCCTTAGATGCAGTTGTTGTTTTGTAAATGTATCAGTTCACACTGGGTTTCACAGCTCTTCATTTTCATCAGTTGTGGTTTTCCTTAATGGTCTCCACCTGTTGCAAAGAGAAGTCTCCTTGATGAGGGGTAAGAACTAACTGCTTATCTGTGGGCATAAGGACACATATTTAGAGTATAGTTAAGGACTGTGCTGATTTAGTGAAGTACTGATTGTCTGTTGTCCTACATGATCCATGATTTCAGTAGCCCCTGGTAGTTGTCTAGATTTCCAGTGGCGGGCAAGACTTTCCTCCTTTTGAGTGGGTTTTAACTCCAATTAGAGAGCTATTGGTTCCTGCCAATAAATGTGAGAGTGAGAGATAGCTTTACCCAGGGAAGAGTGTACCAGCTGATTAACCAATGGTTAATGGACTGAACAGGTTTCACTTAAGTAGTCAACATACATACATGTGTAGCACACAAATATACCTAACAACAATTAGCAACAATAGAAGAGAGAGGGGCCATAAATTTGAAAGAGAGTAAGACATGGGAAGGTTTAGAAGGGAGTAGGGAGGTAAGTAGTGATGTGGTTGTGTTACAGTCTTAAGAAATTTAAAAATATATTCTTTGATGATGGTGGTGCACGCCTTTAATCTCAGCACTCAGAAGGCAGAAGCAGGTGGATCTCTGTGAGTTCAAAGCCAACCTGCTGTGCAGAATAAGTTCCAGGACCGACTCCAAAGCTACACAAAGAAACCCAGTCTTGAAATATATACATACATACATACATATATACATACATACCAAAAAAAAAAAACAGAGTTAGAAAAGCAGCTATAAAGTAGTATCCTGTGAGTGGGGCCCTTTCTTCATAGAGAGTATGGTCCTATGTAGACCCAGTACTTGTCTCGCCACTGAGACACTGATGCTCAAAGTGCCTCAGAGAGAGTCATGTATGTGTGCTCTGTATCATGTATGTACACGTTGCTTTTCCTTCTTTAGGGGCAGCTCAAGATTTGAAATGTACAACCAAAAACATGCATGTGTGGGACTGCACATGGTCAGCATCCGCTGGGGTCAGCCCTGGAACTGTTAAAGAAGTTTGCATTAAAGACAGGTAATGAAATCCTGGACTTCCTGCAAAGCTGTAATCCAGAGCTTCCTTCCTGGTTATTTCAGAGTGTGGCAGTTGTTCCTGCGTGCTTAAAGGACATTTTCACTCAGTCTTCTATTTCTTAGAAATTCTAAGTCTTATGTTAGTCCACATGGAAACAAAGTCTTCTAGCAAAAAAGTTTGTTTCTTTCATTGTATGCACAATGAAAGTGGAGTACCACCCATAGTACTAGTCTGCCCAGGGGGTTTCACCCAGTGTACTGATCTACCCAGGGGACTTTACCCCAGGGGCCATCACAGGTCTACTCCAAGCCAGTGTCTGCCTCTGTCAGAGTGACATCTGTGTCTTACAGAAAATGCTATCAACAGTGACAGCAGCACCACACACAGATGTTAACTCTCAGGGAAATGGTCTGCATGTGTGCAGTCCAGGGCTGGCACAGTCCATGATGAGCCCTTCCTTGTCATCTAGTTCCTTTGTTATCTTTGGCCTGGAACCTCATGGTTCCAGGCACTACGTGAGGAATAGCGCTGTCTTTGAAGAAGAAGCAGGGAAAGGGAGGATGGTTTCCTATTTAAAAGACTCATAACCCCTAGGCTGACACTGGCAAGATCTTGTCAGATGGCTAATAAGTCTGGCTCCTTAAGGGTCTTGGAGATAAGTTCTCTTAGCTGGGTGACAGTGTCCAATAAGCAATGCATCCATGCTATTATAAAGGGGGAGGGTGAAATGGGCCTTGGGAGGAAGAAGGAGGCTCTCAACATCACCTTATAGTTCAAGTAAATCTTGGGTTCTTCCTAGAGCAGGGGCCTATAGTGTCTCTTGCTTTTCTCTAATCCCAGCAGGACAATGAATCACTTAGCAAAGCCCCATGAGTTCCAGCAGGCTTTTCCCCAAGTCCCAGTTTGCTAACAGGTGGTCCTGATATATATGGATATAATGTGTTTAAACACAGTCAGATAGTTCCCTTCAGTGTACATTTTCCAAGTACTATTGTGAGCACTGGGATGATTTATCAGTTAAGAGGAACTGGAGTATGTTGTAGAAACAGTCTTCAAGCCCCCCTACATTTTGCTCATGAAAATGAAGGACTGTTTTCTGCTTATGTTCTGGTGTCAGCTGAGATCTCCACCCCAAGCCTTTTTGTATTAAGAGGTAGTTGGAAGGGAAGAGAAGGGACATAGCCCATGCTGGTCTTTAGAACTTTCTTCCTGAAGTGAGCAACTGTGACTTTGCTTCAGACTTTTCTGACCATATAAAGTCACATGACTGTTCCTTGTTCTCAGAGAGGCAAAGGACAGTCTTATCTTGAGTCCAGGGGAGGAGATCCTGGAACTCTGGGTAATGGTATGAAGGCTGACTGTGGTGCGGCACACTGGGAATGAACTTAGGTCCTGCTCACCAGGAGCTCACAACAAACCACAGCAGTACTGTAGGCAGCTTGCTCTGAAGTGTAACATGACTTAAAAAGGAGCAGAGACCATGGAATGCAGCAGAAGACACAGGCACAGGAAGAAAGCAAGACTTTGTACCCAAGATGAATCGGTGAAATGGTGTGGTTTGGAGAATTCTGATGATTTCACATCCTAAGTTAAAGAAGCGAGCCTAGAGGGTCAAGGCCAAAGTCCTAAGCAAATGATGAGAGAGTGTTGTGCTCAGTGCTGGGTGAGGACTGCGGTGCAAGAGGAAAGTTCTTATCAGTAAAAATAAAAATGGAAACATGGTCCATAGAGAGAAAAAGGGCTGTGAGACCAGAGAGGAAAATAATATTTGTCTGCAAGACTCTGTGGTCCAGGGGGGACTGGAAGCCTTTCCAAAAACCAAATGATGAAGTTTTGTTAGAGAAAACCCTGCGTCCAAGCAGAGCAGTGGCTAAGAAGAGAGGGGATGTGCAGAGAGACCATTGTCCAGTTTTACATCTTCCACCAGTCTCTGCTGAGCCCTGCCTCTAGCATGAGGCACTGGACGACTGTCACCATGTACTGGGCTGAAGGGAGCAGCTTATGGAACTGAGGCTGCTCTAGCAAGGTTGAGATGGGATTTGAACAGTGCTACAACGTCGAGGTTCCAGGAAGAACTACCCATGCTTCCTCTGTACTTTCTGGAAGTCTGGTTACTCCTTCCCCCACCCCCATCCCCATTACCAATAATTCCTTTCTGTTTAGTCTTAGCATATAGTACATACAACCCAGCATTACACAAAGGCACAGGGTATCCAGTGCTTACTATGCTAAGTCAGGTTTTTATGAACATGGCATGGCTTTTATCTGTTATTTAAAGTTCTGTTTCTTTTACCGCAGGCTCAATTCTTGTCATCGGTTAGAGTCAACAAACATTAAAATTGCAGCTCTTTCGCCTGGTGATCATGAAGTAACAATAAATTACCTAAATGGCTTTCAAAATAAATTCACACTGAATGAAAAAGATGTTTGTAAGTATTAAAAGGAAAAAAATTTGTTTTATTCCTTATTATCACTGGCATCTACGTTTCATTTTTGAGACAGGAACTTGTTATGTAGCTCAGGCAGGCCTTGGATTTGTGATTTTCAGCCTCAGCTTCCAAGTATTAGGATTATAGGTGTGCATCCCCATGCCAGCTGAACATTAATTTTAACTGGAGCGGTGTCACTGTTAATATCGTGGTGCTGGGGAACTGGCATGAACCTATGATTCTTTGACTTTCAGTTATGTTGCTACTTTCATTCACTCGGGGGTCCTTGCTGAGGATGGAAGCAAATGTGTCTTCATTCAAAGGAGATGAAGCTGAGGTCCTCCCCCTCAGTCAGTTACTATCCTAGCTCCCTTTGCCTCGATTCCTTTGTATGTCCCAGCATTTCTCGGGTGTGCTTTGTTCTAGGAGTGTAGCCTCTGACTGTCCCAGAGGTGACCCCATCCCACTCTCTACTCACACTTGAGCATGCTATAGTTTCTCTGTGGCAATTTCCCTCAATTGAATTCATCGTCTACTGTGTAGCTAAATGTTTACCGTGCATCCTCTCCACAGGAAATGTGTTCTTTGAGAGAAGGGATGGGAGACTTTGTGTTCTGCCCTGTGCACAGGCATTTGTCCAGGGTCTGCTAAGTGAGCATCGAGGACATTGGCCACCAGTGTGCAGGAAGCACAGAGGCGACTCAGGGAGACATAGATAGAACTCGTCTTTCATGGGGTTTCCCACTTGGCAGCAAAGAGGTTTGTTAGTTTGTGACCAATGACAGGATGGCGACTAAATAACATGATGAACCTGATTTATAGGCCAGGGCAAGAAAATTCATCTGATTCATCAGATGACTCTGATTCATCCAGTTCTGTGGCATGGTTATATCTTGAGGAAGAGCTATGTCAACTTAGGTGTTTGAAAGAATAATAACGACAAGACCTTCCAGACACAGTCTTTCCTGCTTGCTGGCTGAAGGAGGAAAAGCACTTGCCATGCAGACTTGACAATTGGAGTTCAGTCTCCCGAGGTCACTGAAAGGTGAAAGGAGAGAATAGATCCCACAAGCTGTCCTGTGACCTGCGTGCGTGCATTTGTGTGGCTGCTAGCTCAGCCATTTTGTCAGTTTAAATTCCTTTCTATATGGACAGTTCTGAGTTTCTAGAGAGCAAGTTAAAATTGTCCTCAGATGTCTGTTTTAGTTCAAAAGACAGGAGATTGCAGTTCATGGGGCCCCGGGGCAGCTTGCTTTGCTATTATGAGACAAGGGAAGGAAGAGTGGGTTTTTGTCTTTTAAATCCTTTCATTTGTAATCATGGCCTTCACTGTCTTACAGTGGAAATAAGGATGGTGACCTGTGTTTTGCAGTCACCCAGCTGCTAAAGAGTAAATTACATGGATTTCTCAGGAAAGAAAGGATCTTTTCTTTCTCTCTCCTTCCTTCCTTCCTTCCTTCCTTCCTTCCTTCCTTCCTCCCTTCCTTTCTTCTTTCTTCTTTTTGCTTTGCATATTTAAATGTTTATGTGAAAATGCTTTTTATACAGTATACGTTGATCATCTTTCCCCTCCCCCAAGTCCTTCCAGATCCCCTACTCACCCAAATTCACATTTGTTCTCTCTGTCTCTGTCTCTGTCTGTCTGACTCTGTCTCTCTCTGTCTGTCTATCTCTCCTTTCTCTCAAACAAAAATCAAACAAACAAAAGAAAATCAAGAGAAAACCAAACACCCCCACCCCTCCAAAGCTCATGAAAGACATGGAGTCTATTCTGTTTTGGACAACTATTTCTTGACCTGGAGCCTGCTCTGGGGTGTGGTTGATGTAAGCAGTGACACTCCACTGGAGAACACTGGTTTCCCATTCCCCATCTAGTATCACTTGCAAATAGCTTCTTGGTTAGGGGTGGGACTATGTGTCTACTTCCCCTTCTCAGTGCTGGGATTCTGTCTGGTCTGAACCTGTACAGGTCTCATGCATGCTGCCTCAGTCTCTGTGAGTTCATACATGCTTCAATCCTGTTATATATGGAAGACAGTGTTCTTTCTGCCTCTTTTACATAGATCCCTGATCCTTGTGGGGAGGGGTTTGGTAAAGACATCCCATTTAAGACTGAGTGCTCCAATACTTCTCACTCTCTGAACATTGTCCAGTTGTGGGTCTATAGGGAGAAACCACGCTTGGGTGTGATCAGAGTAACTTAACAAAGGTTTAAGTAGGAGGGAGGCATGAACATGGCCCCTTTTCTTTCTTTTGCCTGGCTGAGCTGACTAGGAAGCATCTTGAGGGTCCCTCCTGCTCAGGTGTAAACCTGGTCACTGGCTCCCTTGCATGAGTACTATAACTTAATAAATTACTTGTTATCAATCTGTTTCTCCACTTTGTAAACCTCATTAGTGGGTCTCTGTGCTAATTGCTATCTACTGCAAGAAGCTTCTCCGATGAGCATTAAACAATGCTCTGATCTGTGGGTATAACATTAAGTCATGTTATTACTATGATCCATAGTAGAATAACAGTAGTAGTTTTTCCCTAGGGCCCATGAACCTAGTCTTAGGTTCATTGCCACTTTAGAATGCCAGGTAATGGTTCCATCTCATGGAGTGGGCCTTCAAATTCCAATAAAAAATGTGGTTGGTTATTCCCATAATATTTGTGCCACTATTACACCAGCCTATCTTGCAGGTAGTTTGCTGTTGTATATCACGGGTCCTGTATTTGGAAATGTATGATTACTTTTCTCCTCCAGTAGTGTGCAAAAGTATCTTCCTGTACCATAAATACTAGTCAGTTGGGGTGATGCTTCTAGTTGGGTCCAGCTCAATTTCCCCTTGTTCAGTGTCATAAGGAAGTTGTGTCTTCAGCAATAGGGCATTACCATCTGGTTATAGAGAGTAACCAATAGAGTTGGCAATAGTCTGTGATGTTTGGGGTGGTGGCATGGTGACATCTTTGGCCAATGGCTCAGTAATATACAACCCGTTTCTAGCATTGGATATTTTACTTGTTAGCACAATATGTCTAGTTGGAGCACTGTCTCCACCATTATATGGTGATTCCATTTAAATTCTTTTCATATGTGTATGCATTTTAGGAAGTTTCTACAATAGTAGGTTTCTATATAGCTCACCATCAAATGCCTTTGGTGTTAGTTGTAGGAAGGAAGCATCCTTCATGGGTTAGCATTGCTGCAGTTCAGGAAGCTTGTTTCTTCATGTTTAAGTTACCACACTGATTATTTTGAGTCACTCTTGGATGCCGCTAGCTCTGTCCTGGTTGTGCTGGCACCTGAACCAGCCCTCTCTCTACACCAGATCCACTTTGTACTTCTCACTTACTCATGCATTTGCTTTCTCATGCAGCTTCCACTCAGGGTTCTCTGTGAAGCATGCTCTGTGCCCCAGGAGAGCTGACATGCAACCGTCTTTGTTACAGAGCTCAGACTTTAAATCCACACGCTCCAGATCACATGAAGCTCTAAATATTAAGTCTGGTGTAAAACACTGTGTTCAGCACATCTTAGTAAAATCAAATTTTACAGACTTATTTAGGTTCCAAGACTGACAAATGAATAATGATTTATTTTGCCATTTTCTTGTATTTGACAGCCAGCCAACCTACCCCGAACATTTACTCCTGCAGTTTCTCACTCACCATGACTTTCTTCAGTAGCCCTTGAATTTCATAAAAAAGGACTAAAAGTGAGAAAAGGAAGAGCATGTTTCCAGACTTCCACCCACTTATCCTCACATGCCTAACATTTGAGGGAAAATCTTGCAAAAACATCTGTAGCTCTATCTCTGCCACTAGCGAACTCATTCATATTCCATATGTGATGTAACATGCATACCTGTTCCCCACAGATCTGAGACTTTTGGTCATGGTCTGTGGGCAGGGAGTTTTGAAGACATAAGCTTTGCTTTGCCTGCTACCTCATCTCAGTATACAGCTTCCCTCTACACATGCCCAAGTTCTTGAGCAGGTTTTATCTTTTACATTCTATAATTCAGTCTCAGAGCCCCAGCATTCCCAAAACTGCTACTGTAAGCCCCGATGAGCCCTTCCTTCTGTGGGATGCCTCCACCATGGTGTTTTAACACAGCAATGGAAAAGCAATTAATAAAAAAGGAGCATCCTCTCACCTCTGGCTGTGTACCCTCCTTCCTTCTCCTGAACTCTATGGTATTTGGACTATTTGACACCTGCTGCTTCTCAGCTCTGTGGTTTGTGTTTTGTCTTTTTTTTTTTTTTTCCGTCTTTTACTTTGAGCTCTTTCCATCTCTGGATTCTTGCTGGTGTGACCAGCTCCAGTCGTTTGTTGCAGCCTTTATATCTGTGTGCACATTCCTTCTTTCAGTCCCACACCGTAAGCTCCTCTGGGTTCCACACATTGGTTCAGCTGGTTGTTCTCACAGAGCAGGCTGCAGAATGCTCTGCCCACCTCTCTCCTTCCTAGCACGGCCATGCACAGCCAGCAGCTGGAATCTTCCCATGGCTTCTCCTGCTGTTTCCTTTCTGCGGAGCTTCCTGGGAGCTCTCGGGATCCTTGGGAGAAATCATTATTTCTTTCTCCTCGTGGTGAATCCTTCATTCTCCTCATCACTGCAGTAATTCTTTCTTCAAAGCAGATTTTGGTCTTTTCCATTGTTTGACATTATAACCCAGAGCCTCTTGCTCTAGCCAAGATTTCTGCAGCACTGCTCCAGCTGATCGGCTTGTGTCTATCTCAGGCCCATGCAGACTTAGCTGAACACTGCTAAGCCAGCCATTCTTGCCTCCTCTACTGCCCTTCTTCACAGTTAGCCTTTGGCTTCTGTGATCAATGCCAAAATCATTGGAACAGTCACTTGGAGCAGCTCTTTGGATTCTGTAAGTGGGTGGTGTCCCCTCATATGAGGGACTCAGCTGCTGGGAGATAAGTGAGAAGCTGCAAGATCACATAGGTCCTTTCCCCTACCCCCTGCAGTCTGCTGACATCCAGAACAAACTTCTTTCACTGCTTCCTTGCAGGTCCCCAGCCAAGTGACAGTAGTACATTGTGGGAACTCTGCTGCTATCTGCTGTAGGAAATGTGTTGTGTCTTTGAAACAGCCAGCTGACAGTTTTCTCAAGTTTGTCCCATTAATCACTGGGAGCTACCTGTACAACTAAAAACCTGTGTGTGCGCCCACACACACACCTGTGACTTGTTCATGGGTTTGTTTTTATGCCCTGTTATTTATTTATGGAGTTTAGAAGTCACTAATAAGTTCAAGTACAGTGTAAAAACTATATTACTTATTTGACTAAAAGCTTTTGCTTTTCTTTCCTATTTTAAGCTTTAATTCCAGATACTCCTGAGAGTTTGAATTTGTCTGCTGACTTCTCGACCTCCACATTACACCTGAGGTGGAATGACAGAGGTTCTGCTTTCCCATACCCCTCCAATGCCACCTGGGAAATCAAGGTTCTACAGAATCCAAGCATGGAACCTGTGAAATTAGTAAGTTGTGGCAAAAATACATTTCCCTATGGTACTAAAGAAACTGCATAGCTTATAAAGCCTTCAAAGGGTCATCCATGAATTTGGGGGTTATTGAAGAACTAGATCCTGTATGCGTTAGGGTTTTTTCAAAAATCACCAATGGGATAGCAGGATGACGCAGGGTAAAAACATGAGCCGTGCGAGCCCAAATGCCCGGGTCTGATCCCTGGAACCTATGGTGGGAGGAAGGAACCGAATTCTGGATGTTGTCCTCTGACCTCTACATGTACACTGTGGCAAGTGCTTGCCCACGCTCACATATACATACAAACAATAACAAAAAAAAAACAATAAAAATAATTTTTAAAAAAATCACTTGTGTAATAGAAAGTTTAAGAAATTAAGGTAGAACCATTTCCTGATTCTGCTGCTGGGATACAGTAAATGACCAGCCTTTTAAATGTGCATGCCCTTGCATAAATGAAATAAAAGCTGACTTTCAGTTTATTTTATTCAATGTGTTATTTTATCTTTGTTATTATACATAAAATATCTAAAACATTTAACCAAGATAATACTTGAGGAATCAGTAAGCTCTAACTTCCGAGTCTGAAACATGGTTATATGCAGTACTTCTAGCTCCAAACCCCAACTCAGTGTTTCAGTGGTTTCCTATGACTTCCACTTTAACTTTATTCTTATTCTAAGACATGAGGAACAGGTAAGAAAAGTCAGACGGGTGGTATGTGGACAAGAGGAATGCTAGGCAGTAGCATTTCATTTAAGGCACATACCATACACAGCCACAGAAAATGTCCCACACACCTGAAGATGGGTAGAGGGAGGCCCTGAGCTATCCAGAACTGCCCGCCCATCCCCCACTCGTCTCTCCTTGGGAATGAGCTTGTATTTGTATAGAGACAGGGCCTTGCAGTAATTACAGGACTCTTGCCTTAACCTTCCTAGTGCTAGATTACAACTATGTCTAACTCCACTAGCCAATTCTTTCCATTAATTATCTCCATTTTCCCAAATAACATGCTTACATTGCTATTTCTTTATAGTTTTCAGGAGTGTTTTATTAAGTGCCCCAGTGAAAGATGAGAGTCCTTTCTTTCTTCCACTAACTCATCATATCTCTGGTTCCCTGCTCCCTCCCTCTCTCCATTCCCATCCCACTTTCCCAACTTCTTCAAATATAGTTGAACTATTACAGGTACAGTAATATTCTTAGTATTATAGTTACATATTTTTGGTTGTGATCCTAGCCTTTAACAGCTGTGCCATCTCTCCAGCCCAGTATTATAGATAATATAAACACTAGTTTCAACCTTACCTTTTTATGGAACTTCTTATATCTTATTAAGTTTTATTTTTCCACTTAATTAATTCAATACTAATTTCTCAGTGGGTTGTATGAATGTCCTTAAAATGTTCCAATACGGTAGATAGTTTTTCTGTTTATCTTTGTATGTAAGTCTATCTGTGGCCCTCTTCCATAGACATGGATGGCATTTGTATAGCAGAGCGTAAATTGTGAAGGCAGTAATTTTAACTTCAGTTATTAGAAGATTAACAAGTATTATAATGCAGATGGTGACAATTGGAAGTTTCATCTGTTGCTTTGGGAAGTGTGAAAGGCTAGCAAGGGAAACACAGGCACAGCATGCCTTGTGTAGGGTTGCTAGTTTAACTGGATGTAGTTTACAGGCTGGGGAGTTGTAGCAAGGTTTTGGAGGTAATGTTCCCTTACTTACTCTGTGGATATAGCTCCATCTACATTGCTGAGCATCGAGGGGCTCACTGCAGTTTAATCTGTTAACCTAGGAACTTGGCTTATTTCTTTGGTTTCTCATTCTATTGTTTTTTTTCTTTCTTTATTCTTTTTTCTTGGAACCTGTCTTCTTGAGAAAATGGACCTTCAGACTGGTTTTCTGGTTGTCTTGTTTCCTATCTGCCTTTTGCTCTATTTTCCTTTTGTGTGGTCCCTCTCTTTGGCTTTATTTCTTCAAGATACAGTTTTTCCTCTATGAGAATATGGAAATCGTTTCTATAGCCATATATTTTCTTAGTTGTTTTACTGGATGTTTTGATGTGTGTCAACATCTGTCTGGTATTTCAGTAGGACCTAATGTTAACAAGGGAACATAATTGAATAATATTTTTGTTATTCTAACTCTCTTGTTATACTCTATAATAGCAGTTCCCAACCTGTGGGTCTCAACTCCTTTGCTATCTCAGGGATTACATACCAGATATCCTGCATATGAAATATTTACATTATGTTTCATAACAGTAGCAAATTACAATCATAAAGTAGCAATGAAAGTAATTTTATGGCAGGGGGGTCACCACAACATGAGGAACTTCATTAAAGGGTCACAGCATTTGGAAGGTTGAGAACCACTGCTTTATAGAAAACAGGCCAATGTACAAATAAAGGCAGACCATTTACCATTATAAGATTACTCTGGCTGATTGCACATAGTCTGTGAGGTCATTTTTTTTTTTTCCTGGAGAAAGACAGAATGTACCACTGTTTAGAAGCACAATTTTGTGCTTATTTTTAGGTATCATTCAACACAACCCTGAGCGGTCAAGATATAGTTCACCACTGGAATTGGACCTCAGACCTGCCCTTGCAGTGTGCTCCTCACTCTGTGGGGATTAGATGGTACATCGACCATCATCGTTTCTCTGGTTATAAAGTGTGGAGTGACTGGAGCCTACTGAAGAACATTTCTTGTAAGTTTACCTTACATACCCTTGTTCCTCATGAGTTAGATTGCTGAAGAGTAACGGTTAGTCTATGATCTTTCTTTTCTAAATCCCAGTAGCTATCTTCTAAAGTGGCTACTCCAGAACCGTGGGTTAAAGTCTAAGACTGGCTCCAGAAGGCTATGATAAAACCATTTGTCTAGTAAATAGAACTCTCCTACCAGGTGTTTGCAAAATGCTGTCAGAGCAAGTGGGGGCTGGGGTCGTCTGTGCCAATCAAATGAGGTCTAGAAAATGTTTGGTGTTCATTGCAGGTGGACACTCTGGAGCAACATCAGATAAGGAAAGACCGGAAGCAGCTGGATAAATAGGGAGAATCTGTGGCAGTTGAGCAAGACACTGTAAATATAACTCAGGACAGCTGAGTTTAGAAATAAGAGGGATGCTATGTTAGAGGCAGAGTCAGATTTGAGAGTAGATGCTTATGGAGAGAGAAAAGCTGAACCATTAGTATCTGTTATTTTGGGTGGCTGGGGAGACTGTTCACAGAGAAGCCAAATATAGGAACCAGTTGGGCAGGAAAGTGAAGTTTCATCTTTAATACACTGAGCCTGAAACAGTGAGGTTAGAAATATCAATTGGGCATCCAGAGACATGAGCATAGCTGGAAATGCCCCTTTGGGAAGCACAAATATGTATATGATTTGAAGTACTTAAATTCTGAAGGCCAGTTTCTCTTTGGAAAGGGGAATTGGAAGCTTGGAGGCTTCCTGTTAGAAGCTTTCCTGTCTACAGAAATACTGAAGGAAGGCCAATAGCCTGAGGACTAAAAGTGGCCCAGAGAGGTCAGTGTGGAGGAACCCACAAGAGGGGTAAATCAGAAGGGGGCCTTGGACCAAACATGGGGCCACTGATCCACTTCAGTAGATTCGTGGAGGTAGAAGCCAGGTGGCAGGGAAGAGCGAAGGGTAGAAAGGTGACCAGAGGTCATTATTTAAAGATCAGCTGTTGGTCATGGAGGTGGAGTTGGTGACCTTAACCTTCGGAGTTGTGATTAAAGAACCAGCTGCTCGTTAGGATGTGGAGTTCTTCCCACTTGTTGGCTGATGAGAAGTAAATCCACTCCAAAAACACAGGATAGTTTCAAAGAAATAAATTTACATATCGAGTGATAGTTTCATGTGCAAACATTAACCTGTGACCATCAGCATTGACCTGTGATCTGTTTCTGTCCCTGGCTAAGTAAATAAGGCCATAGTTTCCTTTCTTGTCTGTGTCTTACTCCTTTGAAACCTGAGAGACCTGTGTTATTTCCCATCTACAGTATGTTTTGTGGATACTGAACTAGTTTAAGCTCATTTTAGGAGTCAAGTGCAGTGGCTTATGCCTATAATCCCAGCATTCAGAAGAGATGGGATTGCTGCAAGCTTCAGGCCAGCCTTGGCTCCACAGTGAATTCCAAGCCAACCTGGGCTACCGAATACTTTGTTTCAAAATAATAAAAATAAGGGGCTCTGTTGGTAAAGTGCCTGCCGCTCAAGCAGTTCTGTGACCACAAGTTTGGATCCCCAGCACCTGCCTTAAAGCGGGCATGGTAACATTTGCAACCCTGGCTCTCTAATCACTGGAGCTTCTTCTTCAGTCTAGATTAGTCGATGAGGTCCAGGTTCAGTGGGAGCCCCTATCTCAAAAAATAAAGTGGAAAAACAGAGAAAGACTCCCCACGTCGACTTTTGGTCTCCACACATGCACACTCCTTCATGAATACATGCATACTTCACACACCTACAAAAATAGATAAAAATAAGTAAATGAAAATAAAAATCTTCCTAGAAGGCAAAAAAGATGTTCTAAGGAGACGGTTTTGTGTAAAAGATGTCTGAAATGTTTGCAATCTCTCATTTCTTTCTAGGGACTCCTAATTCTGAGACCAATGTTTTCCCTCAAGACAAAGTGATTCTTGCAGGCTCAGACATAACATTTTGTTGTGTAAGTCAAACAAAAGTGCTGTCAGGACAGATTGGCAGGACATTTTGTCCTCTTATCCATCTTTATGGGGAAAACGTTGCAATCCGTATCCAGAATATTTCCGTTTCTGAAAACAGTGGAACAAACGTGGTTTTCACAACAGAAGATAATGTGTATGGAACGGTTGTCTTTGCAGGCTGTAAGTATATCATGTCAAATAGTTCTTCTTAGCCTGTGTTGGTCCCCATCTAACCTTAATTTCTTTTCTGCTAGCTGATTCTGTTTCTTATTTCCTTTTCATTAGTACAAATACAAAGGCTCTAGAACGCTTGTGTAGGAGCCTGGAACTTATTTCCTACATACCTATTCCTATTTAGTTCTAAGTTTATAATAAGGTTGAGACATCTAGCAACTGAGGTTTAGTTTAAATTCCTAACTTCATAGTTGATTCAAAGTCCTTAGTATGTGTAATATTTCTTAAATGGACATAGTTTAGGAGTAGTTTCACTCACATTAGTTTCCCGTTTAACTAATTTAAACTCTTAAGTACTATGTTTAAATACTATGGTGATTTTGGTAGCATACTGTGTCTTTAGCAACATTTAAAGTAGCTTGCTTGAGGACAGCAGGACAACGAAGGGCAAGAAGCCTTATTCTTCATGTAGTCTGCCTGTGACGTGGGTGCCCTTGCTCAGGGAGACCTTTGTTAAGGTGATTGACCGCTCCTGCAGCCTACAGTATATCTTGATATTGTGGTGGTGGGTTGCTCTGCCCATTCAGTTTGTCTTCCAATAATTCTGAACTTAGGACTTTTAGTTTTGGCCTTTAACTTTCTACCTCCTCCAATATGGTGCCGTCTGGGGCAATAATGCCCTTGTCTCTGGTACTGTGAATGTATTAAGTTCTGGGTTTTGTTTCTGGGTCTCATGATTAAAGGTGTGTGAGACCGTTGAGTGGATTTTGTTATACTTCTTTACTCTGTTCTAGCAATTTCTTGTTTATCACTTAGTGAACTATTGTAGCAACACAGGGTCTTGGCTATCTTTGGTTGAATTTATTCCTAGCTACTTGGTGTTTTCTTGTGTTACTTTAGTTTTGGTTTTGGTTTTGGAGACATGGTCTCATTATGTATCCCTAGTTGGCCTGGAATTCTAGGTCATCCAGGCTGGCCTTGAACTTCACAGAGATCAGCATGCATCTGCTATAGGGTAGGTTAAAGGTGCTTGCCACCGTGGCCCACTGAATAGCTTTTTGAAAAATCGTATTTTATGTTTGCTGGTATATTAAAAATGGGGGATTTGTATCTAGATTTATCTAACTTTAATTTAATTCTTTGATAAATTCATTTGTTTGGTAACAAAATCAGTACATTTCAAATGTTGTCCTCTCGTTTTTTTTTTTTTTTCTCTGTCACACTCCTGCTTCTTTTTAATTTAGTCTTATTATTTGGCCTTTAAGTAGATTACTTTAATGTGCATACTCCACATCCTAAAATAAACATCACTGTAAATGTATTCCAGATGTTTAGCATGTAATTTTAATAAAGTGGTGGGTAATTTTGCCTTAGGTTTAAGATGACTTTCAAGACAAGCATACCAATGTTTATTTAATTGTATAATTGTAAAACTGTCTGTAAAACATTCACTAATCATCCTCAGTATTAGCTAAAATGTCATTGGAGGAGCCCATGAAATCTCAGCAAGTAAGGACACTTGCCACACAATCCTGTGACTTGACTATGATCCCTTGGGAATTTACACAGGAGCTGAGTCGAGAGTCACCCTCTGGAGTGTTTCAATCCACTATTTCTAATGCAATACAAACTGCAACAACACATCTTGCAGAAACAGTGATAATTGCTGCTCCTTTCCAAGGAGGAAATGTATGAGCAGCAAATTATTTTAAGGGAGTTATGCAAAACCTCATTTACCACACTATAAAACTGCAGTTTTGGGGGGAGAATAAATGTAACCACTTTGCTTTCCTTTTATTCTTTTAGACCCACCGGATGTTCCTCAGAAACTGAACTGTGAGACACACGATTTCAAAGAGATCATATGTAGTTGGAATCCAGGAAGGCCAACAGGACTGGTGGGCCCACGGAATACAGACTACACTTTATCTGAAAGGTAATGGTAACCAGGAAAGAGTGTTGGGTGGCGAGAATCTTGGGAACGCCCGTTGGGTGACACAGGGGAGTCCGGCACACTGCTGCCATGCAGTGTGCACATGCTGTGTTGGCATCATATGTACTGTGACAACAGCAGTTGACGCTCAAGCAAGTGCAGTTCCTCCTCTGCCTGAAGCCCAACAGAAAGGGCCCCAGATAAAGTCTGTCTAGGTGGTGGCTTATGCCTGCTTATTTTCTATATTACACACCGTTTCCTTGAGTTTGTGACCAGTCTATAATTAGGAACAAAGTTTTTACAAGGATTAGTAGAAATTTGCCCATGTTTTTCCCTTCAAAATATCTATGTCTTACCATCCGAAATTAATTTTCTTTGTAACTGACAGCATTTCAGGAAAATCCGTCGCATTTAAAAGGTTTGAAACTCTGACAAATGAAAGCTACCGTTTAGCCTTCCAAATGCTTCCAGGCCAAGAAATCCATAACTTCACCCTAACTGGTCGCAATCCACTGGGACACGCAGAATCAGCAATTTTCATCAACATAACTGAACGAGGTGAGCCGCTGTTGCCAGCCAGAGTCTATAAATAACCACAATAAAAATAACACGTGACATGCCTTGGGACTCATGAAAAGTGACTATAGGGATTAGTGTTTGTTGGTTATTTTCTCTGGAGTTTTTTTTTCAATTTTATAATTAATTAATAAATTTTATAATTTTTATTTTAAAGCATTAAAATAAATAACTTCAAATTTGATCGTTATTTTGAGTTGAAAAAACTTGAGTCATTTTGATGGCAACTATACATACATGGCTTTGTCTACTCATTCTTAATTTCTGAACATTTTTTTGAGCAGTTCTTGAGAATATTTACTTTGAAATTTTTTTTGACTCAGAAGTTATTGCAAATATTAAAAAAAAATGAATTACAACTTTAATGCTTCTATCTTTCCCAAGTGATGACATAAAAACAGTAAGGTGACTAGTGCATATCATTCTCTAAGCTACTAACCAAGATGATTCTTTTTGCTCGGTTTTATGTGTATTCACTAGAGGTGTGTTCAAATGTGCTGAAAGGGCAACATAGGGGAGTTCCTTTGTATTGTCTGGGCAGTGTGTATCTCAATGTAACATGTGTCTTTACACAGACACACCCTCTTGCTCTGTCTGTCTCTGTTTTTGCATCTCTGTCAAATTGCACCAGCTTCATCACCATTTTGTCATTTTGAGTATATTATAAACAGAACTGCACAGTGTGTAATCATTTGAGACTGGCATTTCTTACGATAATATCTCTGAGAGACATTCATTTTGTTTGTGATTAGTTATTAACTTCTTTCTATACCAGTGATTTCTGATTTTTTTGCCAATAATAATAATACACAGCTCATAATAGAAATAAGATACGTGTAGTCTTTTATTGGTTGTCCCATCAGCTCAAATATACTAACTTCATGCCAGACCCACCCACATCCTCAGACCTCAGAGAGACTAGAGGAAGAAAGGGTAAAAACACGTGCTTTATCAATTATTTCCTGTTTCATCCTAGAATCAAAAAGCTACATTTTGTAGCTGAAGGTATTGCTTGCATTTGTCTGCCTTTGGTTTTTCACTGCCTTCCCTGTGTATGGTTCTTCCTTTGTACCTCAGAGTTAACAGCCGCTGTAAGCCTCTCACTCCCCCACCCCTACCCCCCTGCCCCGTCCTGAGCCACACTGCAGTCCTGTAGCAGTCAGCATCAATGCCACACACATACCTGGGGCAGATGGCTGTCAGTCACTCTTTGTATTTGTCATTCTCTGTGTACACTACGAGTCTCTTAAACTTTGATCTTCCTGCCACCTGGCATTCCCAGCACCAGATGAACAACCTTGAGCACAGCTGGTTCTTTGAGAGCATTGGTATGGTATCAACAGTAAAAGTAAGGTTCATGGGTTCCACACAGATGGTATTGATTTTTGGCATTCATAATACCTAGTTACTCTTCTTCCCCCACCACATACCCACATACTTTGGTTCTGGTTTGTCTTACTAGTGGAAACCTTTTCACCCTAAACATTTGAAGGCCCTAATCTTTGTAATTCTGTTTACAGTCGTTCCTCATGTGCCTGTTTCATTGAGAGTGAAGGACATCAATTCAACAGTTGTTGCACTTTCCTGGCATTTGCCAGGAAATTTTGCAAAGATTAATCTCTTATGTCAAGTACAAATTTGTAAAGCTAGTTCCGAACAAGAAGTGGTAAGTAAAATTCTCCTATAAACTTTCCTTTCGGTTATTAGAAACAAAATACCCAGTTTCAAAAAATAATTAAGCAAACTGATATGTATAAACTCTCAAAATATGTATAACAGAGATTTACTAAACCAAGAAAGACCTTACATACAAATGTAATGGCAGCGTTGTAATTTGCATTTGAAACAATTAAAAAACTGGACAGTAAAGAAGATAACTTCAACTTGTGCTGTTCAGAATGCTCTCAGGCTTAGTGTATAATACCTGCATGTAGCTGGTACATGGTAAGTTTTGTGATTAAGAATTAGCTTTGACTGTAGCCTTTGACTAACTGGCACAAGAGAATAGAAGGGGATTTTAAATTATTAAGCGCATCAGTGGAAGCAAGTTGTAATTGGTAATTATAAGTCAAAACAGGACTTTTTAATACATTTAAAATAATTAGGTTCACTTATACTGTACCCTTTTATAATTTGTGGTTGACTCTGAAAGAAATGGTACTGTAGTTGAACATTAATTTGGAAATTCACTGGTTTCTGTAAAAGCATTCAAAAGTGCACAATGTGACCTGCAAAACCACTTTGTAACAAGCAGCTGAGAGTTCAGAGATTTTCCTGGCACATTCATCTTCAAATTTGTGTAAAAATGCTTCATTTTATGTTATTTATTTTTCATTGAATTTTTTGGTCATTTTGCTATATGCTCAGTACTGTACTAGAGGCCCTAGGTGACATAGACACACACATAAACCATACCATTTGCCTCCGGGATGACTTCCCGGTATCCAGTATTAATTGATTATCAAAATAATATCTGTATAATTTAACTGACCTTTATTATTTAGATTTAATAATTAGATTAAAATGCATCCATATATTTTATTGACTATTATGTGTTAGGTCCCAAGAAATTTCTTTTCTCAAAGACTGTCAGTTTAGACAAGAGCCAGCATTCTCTTGGGAACTTAAGAAGCTAGTTCCAACTTAGAAATGTATGGCATTAGCCTATGCCTGTGGTGCCTGTTAGCATATCAAGATCTGTGCTAGCCTCTAGTCTTCACTCAGGCCCTACTCACAAGTATCTGTTACAGAGTCATCCTGGCTAGCGTACCCCACCCCCTCCCCTAAGCCTCTCTAACCCCTGAGCTTCCCTTCCCTTCCCCCAGCGTCTCTTATTTCTATGTAACCCAGCCCTTTTGCCTGCATGGTCTCTGGGCTTCCATGTGCTCTCTGTGTTCCCTCTCTCATCTCTTCCTCTCTTCCCCAATGCCCATGGCCGGTCTCTTCAGTCTGGCTGTGTTCCCCTCGTACCTACAGTAAAAACCTTCTCTTCAATCATCCCTAGGAGAGGTCATATCCTCATTTTTATTCACCATGGATAATTCTATTGACATAGTACTTCATAAGAATTAAAACACTATAAACTTCACTAATTGAACGCTAATTGCAAACTGGTGTGACATTTGGTTGGTTTATGTTATAAGTGTAGACTGGTTTTATACCAAAAAGTGTGTGGGGGCATGTTATGTATTGATACACACATGGCATATGCACACGAGCACCCATATGTATTTACTGGTTTTCAAATAGCGGAATGCCACAATCAAAGGAGCCGAGGGGTCAAGTTATCTTGTTGCTGTGGACAAACTAAACCCATATACTCTGTATACTTTTCGGGTTCGTTGTTCTACTGAGACTTTCTGGAAATGGAGCAAGTGGAGCAATGAAAAGAGACATTTAACCATGGAAGCCAGTAAGTTACGTGATGCTGTGGCTAATTACTAATGGGGAATGGGAGGATACAAGATACCCAGGGACAGTCACATGACCTCGAGGGTGATTTTAACCCATTTTCTGGACCATTGTGTTCTGTAGAAGTTGAGAGAGTAGCTTCATTTAGCTCTTCTCTTTGGCTTCACTTTATAAACGGAAGCCACATTTTATGGATAACTCAAGATGCCCTAGAGTGAAGTTCCAAGCATCCCCATCAGTCCATGGCCTTGCAGTTTGTGTCTTCAAATTCTGAGTTGTAAATCTCTCCTAGTTCCTTCACGGGGACCAGATACTTGGAGAGAGTGGAGCTCTGATGGGAAAAACTTAATCATCTATTGGAAGGTAAATATCTCTTGTTGCCTTGGATGCTTATTTTTTTTTTCTCAAATGCTTAATGTACAAATGGTAACTTGGATTTTGTGAATACTTTAAATTTTACTTGCACATGTAATATTCACATAATAAATGGTTCATGAAATACATTTAAAGCATTGAAATGCATACAAGGAGCCAAGGCTTGCCAGACTGGCTAAGTTTGCCATCTCCCAACACGTGTTTCTCATCACTCCTGATTCCCCAGGCACTGAGAGAGGGTCTTGCCTCAGTGTTGAGTACCCTGCTTGAGCCTGTGAGGCCTGTAACCTCATGTATGTGAAGAATTCCGAAGAAAACTTGTGGGAACTGTTTCTTCTACCTTGTGGGTGCCAGGGATTAAACTTAGGTCTTCAGGCTTGGTGGCAAGCACCCTTACCTGCTGAGCCATCTTGCCAGCCCTTCTTTCAGTTTTTGTGCATTTCCTGGTGTTTTTGTAGCAGTCATGTAGTATGTAAAAGGAGAAAAGAATACATGTTCGAGAACACCATGCCACATTGCTTTGTTTCCTCAAGTAAATCAGTCTTACATTTCTGCTTCTGGAAACTATAAAACAGTTTTCTATTAACTTCACGTTTGAATTTCTGTGGACTTCCAATACTTAACAACAAGTATGGTTCTTAGTATTTCATGGCTTTGGTTTTGTTTGTTTGTTTGTTTTTCCCTATGGTCTCAGTGGATTTTAAAATTTGAGTTCCATACTACTAATAGCTTCATATTTTATTGTCACTTTTATTGAGAACTTAGCCACGGTTCAGGCCTGATGACCTTGATGACCTTGCCCAGGCCTTGTAACTTTGGAAAATTTTAACGACAGAACTTGTTTTTCTGTTTTTCGTAGCCTTTACCCATTAATGAAGCTAATGGAAAAATACTTTCCTATAATGTATCATGTTCATCAAATGAGGAGACACAGTCCCTTTCTGAGATCCTCGATCCTCAACACAAAGCAGAGATACAGCTTGAAAAAAATGACTACATCATCAGTGTGGTGGCAAAAAATTCTGCTGGCTCATCACCACCTTCTAAAATAGCTAGTATGGAAATCCCAAATGGTGAGTGCCTGGGAAATCCCAAATGGTGAGTGCCTGGGAGAATTTACAGGAGCAATGGAAATGGAAACCCTTGGTTTTGCTTGGTCTTACATGGTGCTAGCTTTCCTCATGTAACCTGCTCCTCCCACACTATTTGCATACAATACATATGGAGGACCAATGCATGACATGCATGTCTGCAGCTCATTGAGAGATGTAGTCAGCAGTATTTTTTGCTATGTGGTTCAGGCTAGCCTCAAACACACTAGATAAGCAGGCTGAACTTGAACAAGGCAGTTCCTGCCCCAGTCTCTTACCTCAGGACACCCTCCTGGGTGTCCTGAGGTAAGTATTGACTTGAAGCCTATAAAGGCGTGAAAGATAATAATTACTGTATCTAATTACTTTGTCATAGAGCATGAAAAGTTCTGGTTACAGATAGTAATTTTGAGAAGAAATGCTTTAACTGTTTGGTCAAAGATCGTTTAAAAATATCTTTCTAAGACTAAGAGTTTCTCTTGCCAGCCATTTTTGCAGCCTGTTGGGAAGGGGGAAAGACACTTGTTTTGATTGGCAGCTTTGTGATAAAATGGTAATTTTTTCCCTTGTGTGTGTGTGGGTTTTTTTTGTTGTTGTTGTCATTGTTTATAATTTTCTTTATAAGTTAGGTCTTGTATAGTCCAGGCTGGCCTGGAACTTGCTATCTAGCTAAGGATGACCTTGAACTCCGGATTCGCCAGCCTCCAAACCCAGCATAGAAATTCTTCATATTGATAAGAAACATTCTAAAGGCTAAATTAGATCATTAATAAGGGTTTTGAAAACAAAAAATCTACATGATGTAACTTTAAAATTTCAGCATTTTCCTCTAAATTGTACCCAGATTGCCAGTGACTTGCCACCAGACTTACTATAGTATATACTAAGTGCACAAAGTAGTACGTTTAAACTTAATGTTTTTACACATACATACATAACACACTTGGATCATCTTTACCCTTTGGTGACCTTTGCTATGTCCCCCTCCCCCAGCCTTCCTCTTCCCTCAAAGCTGGGCAGCTTTCAGTTCCTTCCTATGCTCTTTTGCTGTCCTTCCCCCATATAGGGACAGCTTTTTATGAGGCCACTCTGGCAGAAAGAAAAACAGTCTGATTAGGTTCCCCAAGTGTCCCTAAGCGCTTGGTCGAGGTGGTTTCTTGATGCTGACCTGATTTGTTGATTTGTCCTAGGCAGTGACCACAGGGAATTATGAAGCAGGAATGTATAGCAGGGTTGTTTCACAGACTCAACCACTCCTAGACCGCAGCACAGCACTAAACCTAGGCAATGGATGGCATGGCATGTGCAGGGAAACAGGGGTCAGAGCAAGGCGTCCAGTGACCCCTCATTTGGACCCGATCCCTTTACAGACTGCAGTTGTGCTGTGTGTCTTTAGTTACTTCGCTGTCTCTAGCTGGAGCATTCTGATCTTACCTATTTGCATGTCCTTGAGAAGGTGGTTTGTGGATCTAACTGTGATCACAGCTCACACAATTCCATCCAGCGGCCCACAACTCTTGCTCCCAGGGTCAGAGGCTACACAGCCTCAGCTCACATTTACTTTGCAGGTCTGTCAGCTCTTGGAGCCAGAAAGCTGTCTTACATCCAGACCCTTCTGTATTCTAAACCAGGTGCTCGTCTAGTGTTCAGGAGTAGCTTAATTTATGAGCACACATTTATTTGGAAATACTTCCTGTATATGGCTTTAAAACAAACAAACAAAAAAGAAAACAAAAAAACCAAACCCTTAAATACAGATGAGTTGGAGAGGTCATTCTTTTTCCTTGTTTCCATGGGACAACCCCACTTTCTTGGCCATACTGTGCTGCCCTCCACCCTGGTCCCTCATACCTCTCCTCTGTCCTCACTTTTCCCTTAGGCCCAGGTCTAGCAGGAAAAAAAGTAAACTTGCCACAGCCATAGTGCCTGCCCTCACTCCCCAGTGTGTGCACACATACCCCACTCCCCCAGTATCTCATGGTGTCTGGAAGGTGTCTCTGCCCACAGTGGTCATAACATCTCGTGGCTTTGCTTCATTAGCTATTCTCCACTCTCTGCACTGCCTCTTGATGGTCCCCTCAGCTCAGTGTTTGGGTTGGGATGCCATATATGAGTCCTGGAAAGCAGATGATCAGCTTTTTCTGGGTACTCCGTCCATCCTGTGCTCTGTGTGTCTCCTTTTCCCATGGAGCTGTGCTCACCATGGATGGTGAGAACCATAGTTGATTACTTCCTGGCCCTTCCCCAGCCTCCTGTCTCCTCTCATTCAACACAACCATACTGTGGTGCTCATCCCAGTGCTAGCCTAGCCCCCACTATGTGTCTACCTGGTTCTAGAAGATTCTCTATTCTCTCCTCAGCTTCTATGCAGTTTAGTTTCTGGATAAAGGTATAGGCCATTCCGATAAGGTTAATACTGCAACACTACTTTGCTAAGCATTGATACCTAGTTCAACCACTATTTTAGAATTCATCTACAGTGAAATAATTTTTGTAACTACTGTCCATTTTCTTGAGACTTGCCTTCTGGTATTTCTCTGACTGCTGATAAAATATCCTTCTTTTCTTGCTGAAGATGACATCCTAGTAGAGCAAGCCGTTGGAATGGGAAAGAGGATCTTCCTCTCCTGGCATCCCGACCCCAACATGACCTGCGACTACGTAATTAAGTGGTGCAACTCCTCTCGTTCTGAGCCCTGCCTCATGGACTGGATAAAGGTTCCTTCAAACAGCACCGAGACCATAATAGAATCTGGTAAGAGGAATTCATGGCTCTCCAAGGCCTTCCAGGGTGGACTTTGAAAAGCCACACAGATGTGACTAGATGCCGTGGGCAGGCATGACCTGTTTTTGCTTAATTCAGTGTAGCTTGTGGCATGTATAGTTGGGTTTTCCTTGTCCAGGAATTGACTCTGCTAGATCATCAAAGAGCAGCATACAGTTAGTTGCATTTGGGTAAATTGTGGTTTTTGTTTCTTGAGGTAGGACCTCAAACTCAGAGGTCACCTGCTGTTTCTGCTGAAATTAAAAGTGTGTTCTACCACACCAAGCTCTGAAAATGCTCTTGAAAAGTGTTGTTTGTAATCTGAAAATTATAGACTAATAACCGATACTGAAATCAGTGGTGGTATGTTGATAAAATAGACTTCAGTCGGAATAACAGCTATGTCAAATATGAAACAACACAAGAAAATATTTTCAAACAAAGAGGACAACATAGTCAGTGCCCCTTTTACTTAGTTTGTCCAGGACCCAGGTTGTTGAGGCCTTGCTGCCACCATCACTTCCCTAATACTGGGACAGAGGGCAGCTATGTGGAAGCGGGCATGGAGTAGGTTCAGCTTCCTCGTTGAGCATCTCACTGCGGGTGAGCCTGTGAGGCTGGTGATGTGAGCCACACTTGATAGGTGCAGCCTGAGAAGTGTGGCACCCAGGGAGGTGTGGATCCCACAGACCAACCCTACTTCTTTGGAAGCAGAGGCCTCCCTCCCTGCTTTGCTGTCATGCCTTCTGCTGAGCCAGTGTGTGCCTGCCCCTGTAGGGTTTTCTTGGGCCAGCAGTAGGTCTGTAGGTCATGATAGTTCTTGAGACATCAGCTCCTGGTCCTTCTTCAAGTGTTGGTGAAGGAAACTATAGAGTAAGGGCCCCTAGTTGCTTCTGTCCCTAAGACAGGTTCTGCTTGTTTACTGTTTGCAAACACTTTCAAAGGGTGAAGGATTCCCCTGACTGATTAGCCACATATGAGTTCAAATATTTTCCCTTCGCTCGGGCACTTCTGCAGTTGACTAAAGTTGTGAGTTACTTCCTTTTTCCTCCTCTGGCCACCCTCCGCCCTCCATCCTTCTTGACCCTGCACCTGTCTTAGATTCCTCTCCTGTGGGACTGACTTGACCAAACCTCACACTGAGCCTCTGGTCGCTCCTTTCCCTCCTGGGATTTCAGAAAAAGTGGGTGCACTGGCACCAGGCAATGTGGGCAGTGTTCCTGGGACAACAAATTGTGACTGATATCCCTCAGGACAGGGAGAAGCCTCTATAATAACTGCCACTGTGTATGAACAGGGTCTGTGCAGTGGCTGAGAAGACAAAGGCACAGGGTACTTGGGCAGATGCTCTGGGTCACACTGGTAGTTTGCAGTGGTGTCAGAATTCAATGCAGTACTACTCAGAGCTTCAAAAGGTTGAGACTCATGGCTTTTATTTCCTGCTGAGCTTCTGGGCTGACCCCTTCTGTCATTCTCCTCTGATGCTGCTTCCCTCTCTTTCAGTTCTCAACTCTCTTTTACGATATTCTGCATCACCCACCAGTCCCTTTTAAGTGGCATATCGACAATAAAGAATTTTAAAATAAGATGGGGTATGGGTTTACATGCAGTAGTACAAAACCATAACCTCAAGTACACCTTTCCCGCAATGAAGAAAGGCACAAATTGGAATGCACTTAACGGAGTTGAACTTTCCATCAATATTTACTTAGTACTTGAAAGCACATAGCAAACATTTTAGAAAAAATAGTGTCAGGGAAAAAAGTTAAATAGAGACAAAACTTCAGTTCCCCTTTAGAGCATGCAGTTTTGAGGTCGATGATCTCACTGTGACCTGTGGAGTTTAGGTGTTTTTTGGGCATGCAGCTTAAGGAACCATTGAATTGACCACACAGGAATGGTTGTTCCACATGGGAACTGATACCTCCTGCATTGTTTGGACGTTATTAAGGCATTATCTTCTTCCAAGGCGAGAGAGCCTCTTGACCGCTTTCCACCATCCTCTTCAAAGCTCACTTTGAGTGGCTTGTTTCAATCTTCGTGGACTTGATTAGTATTTCCCTTACAGTCCCACACATGAGAAGCATGATTACTCTTGTGCTTATGTCTTCCCAGCCTCTCCATGTTAAGAATGTGACTCTGTGCATTTCCGAGTTTCTCACATCTCACATGTTTTGTTGAGGGGTGTGATTGATGAGACATTAAAGGGCACTTCATGAGCTGAAGAAAGAGAATCAACCAGAAGAGGGTAGGGTGCACACAGGGAAGGTGGAGGAAGAGACCCAAGCGTAAGGATGAACGAGTGAAGATACCACGATGACTTACTTCATGTGCTAACCTACAAATACCATTTTTAAGCAAAGTAAAGATACTTCCTAGTGTCTCGCGCAGTGAATGTTAGGAAGAGAAATAGGCTCCAAGGCCTGGTTTCTTTGTCCCCGAATCTTTGCACTAGAGTGTTTTTCTGTGCTCTGGGACTAGGGGAGAGATGTCATTTCTTACACATAGAAAGCAAAAGCATTTGTTAACACACTGTGACCATGCAGTAGCACAGTGAATGGACCGGATGGCCTCTGGGAGGCAGGGGCAAGATGTCAGCCTCAGTCATCTTTTTTCTATTCAATGTCGTCCCATGATCAAGAAGCTTTTCATTATTATAGAAGTGAAGGTGTTCAAGTTTTGCTTAACACTCCTAAATTTTTACAACTTTATTCTTAAAAGTACCAGTGTGTTTTTTATAATAAATCTGTTTGCAGGTGGATTTGGAATTTTAGCATGTTATACATCTTAATTCTTCTAAAATAAATATTCTTGCTTACATGTATATACTTATGAAGGTCCACTGATTTTGTTCATTCTACAGATCAATTTCAGCCAGGAGTAAGATATAATTTTTACCTTTACGGGTGCACTAATCAGGGATACCAATTGTTGCGTTCTATAATTGGATATATAGAAGAATTAGGTAAGTTAAATGGGTGAGTTATTTAAAGTTTGGCTAACAGGAGAAATTATAAATAGGCAATTAGCAAGAGTTAGTCTCCTGACTATATTGAATTTAGTTGTTTAGATCAAGGTAGATAAAATAGTTTCTATCACAAAATTTAAATTTTTTAATCACTTATTCTCCCCCTACTTGTTTATTTCATAGTTTCAGTGTTGACACTGAGAAGGTTAAGTCCTGGCTGTCAAAATGCTTGGTTTGTGTTTACAGAAGCTTAAACTTGGAAGTGTATCCAGGACTAAACAGAGAGGGGAAGACATGTGAAGTCCGTTTGAGTGGTCACTTAAAGAGGTGGCGCAGGTTATGCCCTGGATGTATGTCGTGTGAAGTCTGTGATTCCTTCCTGAGCTCTGCTGGTCATTAGTGTAGAAGTGTCGTTCCATTGCCTGTGGAGTTCACGACTGAGCAGAAATACAGGTTAATGCCAACGTTAGGTGTTTCTGAAGCCAGGCATCTCAGAAGCTGTTGCTGCCCCACCTTTCAGCGAGGGATTTCTTGTTTTGACAGCTCCAATTGTTGCACCAAATTTCACTGTGGAAGATACATCTGCAGATTCGATCTTAGTGAAATGGGAAGACATCCCTGTGGAAGAGCTCCGTGGCTTTTTAAGAGGGTATTTATTTTACTTTCAGAAAGGAGAGAGAGATACACCTAAGACGAGAACTTTCGAGACAGGTGAGTTAAATGCTGCTTTGGTTATGTGCATAGATACTTTTACTAGCTATAAAGAAAAGGCCAATGCATAGCTAAATAACAGTTTCCATAACTGTCTGAAAAGGTGTACAATAAATACCACGTAGTTTGTAGTTTGAATCCTTTCAATATAAGTCCCACAAAGCCGTGACCATTTCTTGCTAGTGTTGCATGTTCCATACCTTAGCATAGTATTCATTTTTTTTAAATGTGGATTTGTATTTAATTACAAAAGAGGTAGAATAAAACACATATGCGCGCGCACACACACACACGCACGCACGCACGCACGCACGCACGCACACACACACAAATACAGAGAATGGGTTCCAAGCCCCAGTCATAATCAGGAATCAGAATGGTGGCAGACTTCCCTGTCAACAGATACAGAAGAAACCATGGAAATGTCTTCAAAATACTGAATGGCAGATATTTTCGTCCTAAAATTCTGCACTTGGCCTCTCCGCCGGTCAGTAGCAGAACACAATGAAGATTTTCTAGGCATGCAAGGCCACAAGTGTTTCATTCGCCTGTACTGCCTGCCTCTTTCTGGGATCTGCTAGAAGGAGGAATGCTTAAAGAGTACGCCTGGAAACTTTACCGATCACTGGGAGCCAACCCTTGCAGAGTCAGAGAAGTGATGTGGAAAGAAGTGAGGGACTTCCAGAAAGGATCTGGGGGGGTGGGATAGGTAGGATGAGAGGGCAGCTAGAAAAGCAGCACCCATTGGGAGGAAGCAGGAGACAGTGGGGGCTGTGGGGCTGTTGCTTCCGCACATGGAAAATGTACTGAGAGTTCACAGAAGCATATGGGAAGAACTGAGAAATTAGTACTTTTTTTTTTTTTTTTTTTTTTTTTTTTTTTTTTTTTTTTTTTATGAATGACCAGTCTTTATGTGTGAGCACTGAATTCCCCACCCAGAGCGGTGATGCTGCTCTGTGAATGTGGTGGGGGAGGGGCGAGGATAGTATGAAGGAGTTAACTCCTCATTCTTCCTTTCTGAACACAAATCGCCCAAAAACTGGCTACCTAGACTTGCTGTTGTGAAATCCAGGTAAACTCTTAAATAACGGACACCTGATTTTGAAATGGTTGTAGAGGCGAGGGAGGAGCCAGAAGGAAACCACTTCGGTTTTTGTTTTTTACTTTGAATTCCTTCCTTCCTTCCTTCCTTCCTTCCTTCCTTGTTAATTTTTGACAGTTATATCACTGGATCTGTTGGGGGACTGGGGCTGGCAGTTGCACCAGGACCACATGAACTAGCTTTTTGGAGCTATTTCCCTATGGTGGGATACCTTGCTTAGCCTTGATACAGGGGGGAGGGGCTTGTGTGTCACTCACTGTTTATTACTGCTTGACTCTTTCAACTCTCATCTTGCATTATTTTGGTTGAGACTTCATGAATAACCCTTGCCTTTGAAATGACCCAAAGGCATCCTCACAGTGTCTTATTGTTGAGAATTCCCACCACATGGGTCTTTTCCTAAGGACTGAGGTCATGTCTACTGCTCTTCACCTTTGCCCCATCCAGCCTCTGCTGCTGCTTCCGAAGGGTCTGTGTTGAGTGCCTTTTAGTTTCAGGGCTTTCCCTTAGTCACAGATAGGGAAGTGACTTTTATGGCTTGCTCATGTATGCCAGGCATTGTTCTAAAGAGTACGCCTGGAACTTTACTGGTCACTGTGAGTCAAGCCATGCTATGCCCTTGCAAAGTCAGAGAAGCCCAAGTTTAGGGTGGTTTAGATGGTGTGACTGTCAGGAATAGAACCAAATGTGGTCCCAGATCCTTGGCTGGGTGTAACCAGCAGCCCGACTTGTTTTCTAGACATCTTGGCTGGATGTCAGAGTGTTTAAAGTGACCTTAGAATGAGTTAGGATATTGTTCGTTTCAGGTCATTCTGACATCAAGCTAAAGAATATCACTGACATATCCCAGAAGACTCTGAGGATTGCTGATCTTCAGGGGAAAACCAGTTACCACCTGGTCCTGCGAGCCTATACGCATGGTGGCCTGGGTCCCGAGAAGAGCATGTTTGTGGTGACCAAGGAAAACTGTAAGTTTAACACTGCCCTAGAAACACCTTTGCCACTGAAGTGATAATGTCTCTAGCATATGGGGACTGCCCAGGCATCTTTGTTCCAAGCTCTAAGGCAATGGTACTCAACCTGCCTAATGCTGTGACCCTTTAATACAGTTCTTCCTGTTGTGGTGACCCCCAGCCATAAAATTACTTTCATTGCTACTTCATAACTCTAATGTTGCTACTGTTATGACTCACAATGAAAATACTTTTTTGGAGGTAGAAGTTTGTCAAAAGGGTTGTGACCTACAGGTTGAGAACCACTGCTCTAAAGGTTTTAAATTTTATTGTGTTTTTATGTCAGAAAGAGGAGAGTGTTAAAAGTCTCTGAGAGGAGATTTCTTTTGTTTTTCTTATCCATTATTTCAAATTACTTCCTGATGAGTATGTAAGAAATTAATTAATTTAGGGATGCACTCAAAATCTAGAATCCTAAATGCATAGTGGATTTTTTAAATCCAGTTTAAATATTTTCCCAAGCTAGTTTGCTTTTAATGTGTCTAGGGAAATGTGTAAGAAACATTCTTTAAACATTAGTAAAACACCACACTTGTAAATCTGAGATGGCAGTAGACAAGGGACAAGCCCTTCCTGGCCCTCACCATGAGAGAACTTCGGTTCAGCTTTAGTCTTCCCTCTACCAGGAGGGAGTCCATGTCCCGTTCTGCAGTACCAAGCCGTGAGGCTGTGACATGCACTAAAGTGGTGTTTCAGTGGGAGGAGATGTTGCCACCCCCTCCTCCCCAAAACAACCTGCCAACTGTCTGCTGATATTTTTGACTGTCGTAACTGGGGTGCTACTGGCACCGCATGGTTAGAGACCAGGATGTGGCTAAGCCTCCCACAGCGCCCAGGACAGCAGCCCTTCCCACCCCTCCTCACACCAGAAACATCTGGCCTCTGTGTCACCAGTGGCAGGATTGAGCAATTCTGCTCTGTTTTTTGGTGTCCTTGGATCAGATAGGTTTTTTGTCTCTTTGAATAATAAATTTGAGTGTATTCTAATTTAAGTTTATTCTGTACTCAGTACTCCAGTGGTGATTTTTAATATTTCTAACTGTTTCCTTTCAGCCGTGGGATTAATTATTGCCATCCTCATCCCAGTGGCCGTGGCTGTCATTGTTGGAGTGGTGACAAGCATCCTTTGCTATCGGAAGCGAGAATGGTAATGGTACCTGTGTATTCACCTGTTGGTTTGTTTGTTTGTTTACCAGCTTCACTATTCAGTCATGTTGTGCAGATGAGTCAAATATGCTCTTTTTACTCAGAAGGTCGACTTCAATGTCAAGTAAGAATATGACATCTTATTGAAAATATTTAAGAACTCTTTAGGTACATTCCTCCTGCTGTCCTTACTAATAATTTATAGTAATGGCTGATTTGCCACAAAGATATTTTCTCACACAAATTGACAATGGCTATCTGCAGGATTGATAGAACTTCATGATTGAGATTGCACAGGTCCTGATCACACACTAGAATCCCTTCCTTCATTGATTTACTTATCATGTATGAATGTCCCTTCCATGAGAAAGGGCTTATGGTTGTGAAGAAAGCAAGCCTGACCTTCAGAGTTCTACAGCACAGTGAGAGAAAGGGCCAGGAAAGCATGGATGTCTGTAAATGCTTGCTTCCAGACTGTGGGTGGACCCCCCCCCCCCCCCCCCCCCCTGGGCTCTCACCCGAATGGGGAAGGACGAGGTGAGCAGGAAGGCTGCCTTGTGAGGATCCCTGAAGAATACTAAGAGGCATAAGAACATTCCAGAGAGAATGGTTTCAGTGAGGCTCTGAACTGGGGGCACAGTATAAGTGGGTGAAGGGGGAGAGAGGTGCAGGTGTGAGGCTGAACCAGATCAGCTCAGGGAAGAGCCCTGAGCACTGGGTTGACAGCCAGGAGCTGTCCGCACCAGGAGGGGACAGAAGACTAGAGTCAGCACAGAAGGACTTCACTTTCTTTAAAAATGCTATTGTTTATGACAGAGAGAATATGTCCTGACAATCCTGGCTTCTAAATGGAAACAGTAATACTTGCAAATAGAGTAGCCTATTTTGGAAACTCATTCCAACTTTAAAACAAGAATTTCAGTTAAAAAAAAAAAAAAAAAACAGATGCCTGGAGACTGGAACATTCAAACTCATGTCAACATAGTCACTGTTCTTCAGGAATTCCAAATAATGGAGTCCTTGGTAGTTCTAAGTCTAAAAATGCAGGGTGTTGAGCAAACCTCATTTTCCCTGATGCTGAATTTTTACCTGAGATTTGTAGCTTTTTTATTCTCTTTAGCTAAGCTGGCAGTGTCTTCACCATCCATGACTGTCACCTTTAATACTTTCTGTTATTCTTTTTAACCTGGTATGGTGACTCATGGCAGCAATCCCAGAAGTAGGGGGGTGGGGGCAGGGAGAGTGCCAAAAGTTCAAGGCCAGCCTGAGACTCTACCTCCAAAAACAAATGAATAAAAACAAAAACAAAAAATGAAAATAGAAGCCAGGCAGTGGTGACACACTCCTTTAATCCCAGCACTCAGGAGGCAGTGGCAGGTGGACCTCTGTGAATTCAAGACCAGCCTGGTCTACAAGAACTAGTTCCAGGACAAGCTCCAAAGCCACAGAGAAACCCTGTCTCAAAAAACTTATAAAAAAAAAGAAAGAAAATAGAATTAATTTTTAAAAATGTAAATGCTCACTGTACTTACCCACCTTAGTTGAGCGCTTCCCTGCCAGTCCAGATCCTGCGACAAGCAGAGGACTGCTCATGTAGACAGGTCCCTTGAGTAACCAACCATGCTTAATCCGGTTTGCAATGAAAATTTGGCAGTATTTCATGTGAGACATGGTTGCAGCCATCACTGTCAATTATTTACTTTCATTTCCTTGAGCCAAATAAGGCCTTGTAGCTCAAGCACAGAGTGGTGGTTCATGCACAGCCTGCCCACTGGAGCCCTGTGCCACAATCCTTAGTGAATGGCCCCATGGTCGGGGTCTCAGATGCTCACTGACATTGTCATAGAAAAGTCTCCAGCCACGTCAAAGTCGAATGACCTATTCATTTTGTTACATGATCCATGAGCAACAGTTACTAAATCTGATTCATTCTTTATTTGAAGGATTAAGGAAACGTTCTACCCTGATATCCCCAACCCAGAAAACTGTAAAGCCTTACAGTTTCAGAAGAGCATCTGTGAGGTAACCTTTCCTTCCATGTGTTTGTCTTTGAGGACAAAGGGGCCCCTTCCTTCTGTCTTTTGTGAGAAGCTTGAATTGTGTGTCAGCCTGAGAAAAAAGTGCAAAGAAGGCAGCATGCTTTAACATCTGTCAAATGTCCAGAGTTCCTCATCTTTAGTGTTTATGCCATGCTTTTTTTTTTTTTTTCTGCTATGAATAGTAAGGAAAATATTGACGTAGAGGGAAAAAAAAAAAAAAAAAAGCCGTAGCTTTGCTCTGGATGTGGACTCCAGAGCTGCAAAGGCCAATGTTTATAAACAGATTCTAAGGGGGAAGAAAAGTAAAATGTGAGTCTTCCTGTAAGAGGAGCCCCACTGAAGCATGCCTCGTTGTCTTAATCACTGTTCCAAATTTATTTCCAGGGAAGCAGTGCGCTGAAGACATTGGAAATGAATCCCTGTACCCCAAATAATGTTGAAGTTCTGGAATCTCGATCAATAGTTCCTAAAATAGAAGATACAGAAATAATCTCCCCAGTGGCTGAGAGGCCTGGGGAATGCTCTGAGGCAGACCCCGAGAACCATGTGGTTGTGTCTTACTGTCCCCCCATCATCGAGGAGGAAATCTCCAACCCTGCAGCAGATGAAGCGGGAGGGACTTCCCAGGTCGTGTACATTGATGTTCAATCCATGTATCAGCCTCAAGCCAAACCAGAGGAAGAACAGGGCATTGACCCCGGGGTGGTGGCAGGCTATAAGCCACAGATGCGCCTCCCCATTAACTCTGCTGTGGAAGACACAACAGCGGAAGATGAAGCAGATAAAACTGCAGGTTACAGACCCCAGGCCAATGTGAATACCTGGAATTTGGTCTCTCCAGATTCCCCAAGATCCACAGACAGCAACAGTGAAATTGTCTCTTTTGGTAGTCCGTGCTCCATCAATTCCAGGCAATTTTTGATTCCTCCTAAAGATGAAGACTCTCCTAAATCTAATGGAGGAGGGTGGTCATTTACAAACTTCTTCCAGAACAAACCAAATGACTAAACAGTCACCCTTTGCCACTTCAGTCTGCCATCTCAACAAGCTCTCACTGCTGGTGTCCCGGCAGAAGCCGGTTCATTCCTGGAGGGACCCTGCAAATGCTGAGAGTCAGGGACCTTCACTCTGGGCAAGTGTTAATTTGCTTTTAATGTATCCTAAAAGCCAAAATACAGTGACTCAGAAACCTCAGCCACAGAAACTCAAGATCTGAAGCTGGTTTGGATTGAGCCAAAGAATCCTCCACAAGGATTTCACGACTAACTCTGCCTAGTGCATATATGCAAAAGAAATCTCACAACTGTCTGTTGTTAGTGGTTTTCTCATCTTTGTGTGCTATGGAATTCCAAGTGCATTTACAGGCAAGGAAGAAAAATGTCCAAGTCAAAATAATGTTGATTTGCCTGACATTTACTGCAGTCCAGAGGAAAACCAAGCACAGATATTTTAAAACTTTCATGATGTCTCTATCCACAGCATTTACAAAAGAGAATCTAGTTTTTAATGTAGCAGCAGCTATCTGGTGTTCTGTTTGGTAGAGTGTGCTGATGTCTGTGCCTATCTGGTATTCCAGTTGATGGGGTGTGCTGATTTCTCTGCCTACTGTATCATGGTAATCAAACAGTTGTCTCAGGGGTACAAACTTAGAAAAACAAGTGTGACACTGACCAGCCCGAATCTGAATCACATTGTCCTGCTTTGAGTGGGGCATGAAAGCATTTCTCCTATCATGTAGCTTGCACGCTAGCTTCCATTGTGGGACCCATTGTCCTCATGTTGGAAATTTCTAGAACTGTCTCCAAATTTTCTCTGTGTTTTTGTTTTGTGTTACAATGTCTGCTTTGTAAGAGCAAATTCAACTTTATTCACAAGTATACAATTGTAATGAGTTACTATGTAAGATGACTACTAAGAAATAGCTACTGGTGTTTGGCGACCCCATCGCTCTGATAAGGCCCAGTTCTGTTAAGCCTGACCAATAGCTGGTGATGATCTTTGGGGCCTCTCAGTAGCTTCCTCTTCTGCTCATGAGTCACAGCCCCTCCTCCTTCAGGCAATTGGTGGTCCAGACTCTTCAGACCCAATCTTAAAATCCATAAGCTTAAACCTAAAGGTAGATTATTTCTCCCTGGAGCATCAAGTAAAGGGTAATTTTAATAAAAGGCATAAAGCTAATGGAATTGGAGGGTAGTAGCCAGTGGTTGTTCTGTAAGCCCTGAAGAGCTGGGTCCTGAATCCACCCTGCTTTCTCATCAGCAATGTGTACAGTGAATGCGGTTCTTGAGAAAGCAGAGTAAAAACCTAACATGTACTTTGTGTATTTGTTCCGCTTTTGTCAAAGTACATGACAATTTGAGACACCGGAGTAGAAAACCTTGGTTTTGTGTCATCTGAAGTCCCTCAAATTTTGCAAGTAATGGATTGGTGTTTTGTTTGTTTGTTTTTTTAGTTCCTATTTAATCTTTTTATTTTTACTTTTTTATTTATTTTATATTTTTGTTTTTTGAGACAGGGTCTCATTATGCAGCTCGGCTGTCCGAGAACTCACTGTGAAGACCAGGCTGGCCTCAAACCCACAGAGATCCACCTGCCTCTGCTTCCCGAGCGCTGGGATTAAAGGCCTGCACCACCATGCCTGGCCTCATATTTTATCCTTTTAAAAAAGTCATGTGGGAAAAAAATGTAGGATACAAGGGACAAAATCTATAGTCAGTGCATGATCCTGTTTTTAACCCTAGGATTCAGCTATATTTTGGAGCTTCATGATATGATAGTATGTGGAATGAAATAGAATTAGTTATGCATTTATATAGTATATAAAAGGCAGATAATAACCCTCAGAAATTTTCAATAATGAAAAACACTACAAACAGTTTAATTTGTCTTCCATGTGCCCTCTCTGGCTCTCTGGCTCCTTTCTCAACTCTTCACCCAGCAGCTCTGAGCCCTGGCTGCCCCCCCCCCCAATCTTGTTATTGCTGTGCTCTGCTTGCCCTCAGCTCATGCCTCTTTCCCCATTATCAGTTTTATATTCCATCCAATGAGGATGAGCATCTGGGAAGGTAGCAGCTTCTCGTTCCGAACTCCATTAATCTGAGAACACAAGGAAAGGGCAGAGGAAATAGACTCATCCTGTCATCAAATCATGTCTCTTGCACGTGGGTGTCTAGAGTGACGGGCATTTAAAATGCTGCTCATCTCACACTGCCTCTGAATTCCATTCTCAAGCACCACTGGGCTGCTGAGAAAAGAGGTTGCCCGTGGATTGTTTTAGGAAAATGTGTTTTGGGACTGAGGCTAAGGCATACTGCCTGGTCTTTTCCCATTGGATTGAAGACAGCTGCATCCCTGAGCAGTGTTACTACTTCTGCAGTTCCTCCTGAGTTGTGCATATAGATGGAGCCTAAACAAGGATCTGAGAACAGGGGAGAAAGGGACATACAGGACATGTTGACATCCCCTTGTAAACCTGTTTCACTCAGATTCCCTTGTGAGCAATGGAGACTGGGGGTATTGTCATATTTGTGAGTGGCCATTTTCAATACTATTTAATTTAAAGATATCCTTAAACACTTAATCAGGCTTTTGGCATGAGAGCTGTGAGTTGTGTATGCAGTAATTATATATACCTACCTTCCGAATCCTGCCAGCTGTTGAGCCAGTGGTGTCCTGGGTTTGTGATGGTTGTCCTGAGAATCTAGAAAGCTGTGTTTCTATGCTGTGTGATAGAGGTGCTTTTGTTCCTGCTGCTGGCAACAGAAGCAGCCATTCATTGGGAAGCTTGAGGGAGGAAGTATCAGCCTCATTTTCCATGTTAGCATTGCTCTCATGGTTCATGGAACTTGAAGGATTGCATTCAGAACATCCAGTACTATCGCACTCACAAACGGTAGAAAGTCATATTCTTAGACCTTCTTGCAAACTGCAGTCGCATTGGAAATTTCTCCTGACCTGGTAATACTGTCTGTACTTATCCAATAATTAAATGTAATTTAGAGGAAGGCTAGAGAATTTTCCTTCCCGATGGGAATTCAAAATCAACATCGTGGTATTTTTCAGTTAAAGTATCCTTAATATGTCAATATGTAGAAAGTGTTATCTCAAAGTTTCTTACTGCTTAGACACTTAATCTGGTGAAACTTGTTTGTTTGCAGTAAGGGTAATTTTTTGCTGTTTCCTGTTTCAAACTGTGTTAGAATTAGTGAAATGCCTTTTTAAAGGATTCTGGAAGTGAGTACTTTGTTTTCCAAGTGAAGTATGGGGGAGGGGTTGTTGGCTGCTAACCCCAGGCACACAATGAAAGCCCAGTGACTGTATTGATAAAGTCCCTTTCTAGTGTTACAAATTCAGCAGAACTGTCCGGAAGGATGATAAAAATTGAGATGTAGCTCCCATATATCTGAAAGATTTGAATATACTGTGGGAGCGGCCCCATATTTTGAGGAAAAAAACAAGAAGACTCATCAGACATTTCATGAGACACTGTCAGCATACTTTTAAATGTGTGGAGTTTGCTTATCTAACGAGTTCAAAATTTGGAGAAGCGTTTGTACCAATCTAGCATATGTTATGGAGAGCAATGTGTGTGAGCTTAATTGATTAATGGAAGAACTCATTCTCTTTGTAAGATATTTCAAGACATTTCCTTTGAACAGATACTTCCTGCTGAAACAGTTTCATCCTGTATTATCTGTCATCCCTCTTGTATCCAGAACAAAAAAAAAATTGCAGAAGGGAGGGGAAAAATGTGGCCAAATTTATGGGACATTAATCTTTTAGATATAACCCTAGAATATCCTTCAAATTCATTTAGTTTGAATCATGATTCCGTCCCCATGGTATTTATACATGTTAAGCCTCTCAGTTTACTAGGGTTGTTGGAATTTTTTTTTAACTCCTTTTCAATTACTGCTTTTATCTTGCATGATCGTGTTCATGATGATTATAATACAGATGAATTATTTCCAAATGCAGACATAAAAGATAGAAAATGACATTCAGCTGAGCAATATCAAGTTTTGTTTCATCTTGTTAGCGCTGCTGTGGTTACAGTTTGGTCTAGAATATCCACATGTTTCTAATTATGATATTAGGTTATGACTGGATCCCATTATTTTTAACCAGAGTAGTACCTGTTCTCCCTGCATTATGAATGATAATTTTGTCCAAGGTGTAAATAGAATTTGTTTAAGTTAAATTTTAACTGTGGTATACTTTTATTATAAATAGACCATAACTGATTACACACTAACTGAATATAAATCCATAATAATTTGTATTACTTTTTGGTTTCTGGAACTGAATACTTTAAGGATGAAAAATGCTTAGAAAAAATGATAAGGAAATGAATATTACATCCATATGTGTCTTCAAGATCACATATGATTTGTATTGGTCAATCAGAACTTTAAAAGAAATCAAGTTATTATAGGCTTTTCGCTATACTTATGCCTAAAATATTGGGTATGTCTAATTGGCTAGCTACTTAAATTTATTCTGTTTCCTTATATGCATTTTTATTTTTAATTGTTCCATTTTAAATGGGCAGTTGCAACTTCTGCACTTACTTCCAGGTGTTCCAGTCGCATATCTTCAAATATCTAAATATTTTTAGGTGATAATCCAGTCTTCCTAAAGTCACAGGCAATTTAGTACTTCAGCAGGAGGTCATAGAACAGAATGCCAATTAATAGTTTTCAGATGATAGTCTAACCATTTGATTCAAATGCTGTCACCCATCCTCTCCTAGTAGGTCGATTATTAGCCCCTAGTTCCTTCAGTTTAATTGTCCTTCCAGCGTATTATTTAAGAAAGTATGAAGTACCATGGTGAAGCATTGGGGAATGAACCCTGTTGTACTCCTTGCAGTGGGGTAGGTATTATGGGATACCCTGGGATAGAGCAAGTGCTGAAATACATCCCATTCAGGGTTGCTATGAAAAGATGGTTCTAAACAAATATCCTGAGTCTGAGATGGTTCCAACCTACAGGCGTGTTCAAAGGTAAAATAAGCCATCTAAAAATACTCAGTGTTCCTAGTAAGATTTTTTACAAATTTATTTTTATCAAATCTCTCATAATTGGTCATAAGCCATCATCCCAGTAACACTTAGCAATTGCCATTTTTTTCCTTTCAGATTTGCATTACAGTGCATTACTGTTTACAAAATATACATACTGTGAACAGATAAAAGTTTTTGTCTTTTATAAGGTTTGTGGAATGAATGTTTTTTTAAAAGGTGGTGTTATGTTAAATATTTTTAGGTTTTTATAAATAGTAACTGTTTACTAACTTTTGTTTGGTCAGATGTGTGTATGTGTAGCTGAGAGAAGACAGACATTACAGTTTCCCTTTTTCATTTCTTGTAAAGTTACCACTACAGACATTTTTGTGTTAATACAAATGACCGGTTATGATGTGCAATACCTAAAATCATGTTTAATCCTATAAGGAACTTTTAAAATATGCATATACAGGAAGTAAACCAGATTGATATGTGTCTCTGTGATTCACTGCGACTCACAGAATTCTAAGTTGAGTGTGGAATAAAGCAACACTCACAGAGATATCAAATACTGAGGTATTTCCAGCCTTGTGAAATTTTGGATATTATATTGCTGTTAGAATGGGGAATTCAAACATTTTATATCATAATTTCAGAATTTAACTTCCATGTCTTTTGGGAAACATGATTATCACAAGAATATAGAATATGTAAATAACCTATTATTAAGACACTACAAATATAAAACTAGTATCGCTTGGCTGTTAATTCTATAAAGATGTTATCTATGTCTGTTTTTAAAACATGCATGTATTTAACAATTTTATCATAGTATTGTCATGGAAAGAAATAAATATATTTTCTTACATCTTACCCTGGTGAATTTGGACATTGGTTTGGGGGTCTTTCCCCTCATGTTTCAAACATATAGGAAAAGTGCCTTTCACTTTTTTTATGTTTTGTTTTTGTTTTTCCTCTATCCCATAAAGTCACAGAAACTTTAGCTTTGGTATTTGATGGCATTGCTATGCTATTGATAGCAGCTTTTATTTGCTCTATTAAATTGGTGTTATGTGTATAGAGAAAAAACAATGCTTTATTAAGTGAGAAGTTTATACTTTAATAAATAAAATTAATTTTTAGAAAGTGGGAACCCAGCATTAGCAAATAATAAGATCATTGTCAGGAATGGTGGTACACACCTTTAGTCTCAGACAGAACTAGGGAGGCAGAGGCAGAGGGATCTCTGAATTCAAGGCCAGCCTGGTCTACATAGTTGCAGGCCAGCCAGGGCTACATACTATCTCAAAAAGAGAAGGGAGAAAGAGAAGGAGGGGAGGGGATGGATGGAGGCTTGGAGGAAGGAAGGGAAGAAGGGAGGGAGGGAAAGAAAAGAGTTGATCCTTAAAGCAAGGGTTTTAATTTATTGTCTCCCAAGACAGACAAATATTTCAGTAGTTTCTGGGAAGGCATTAAAATTTCAACTTACTGAATCTTGAAATACAGTCACTGACTTAGCAAAACTCTACTCATTTTAAAGTATGCAGTGCCATTAGAGACTTAAAGAGAGAAATGACATTCTTTGTCCTATGTACCTAGCTCAGACTTAGCATGGGCAGCAACCAGGGCATGAATGAGCCTGCCTTTAGCCTGTAAAAGTGCAAGTCAGTTGTAAATTAGTTGTGAAACACATGTTAATATTTAAGTGTTAGGAAAGCTCACACATATGGTCTGTACTTTGGGGAATTCTCAATGCAGAACTTGTTCCCAGAAGGTGAGTGCTGGAGCCAAAATGTATACTGCCATTACCTTCAGGAACTGAAAAGGCTAAAGAGAAGAATGGTGGGCTTATTAGGAAAAAGAAACATGTGAGATGGATGAATAAATGGTAATGCATGATAGCCAACATCACAGTACAACGTTGGCTAGCAAACCTTGGTCCTTGACAAAAGAACTATAGAATTCGTTTTAAATGACATATACATTTGACCTAGTCCTCTTCCCCATGAATGGCTGGCAGTAAAACTGATTTCAAAACATTTAATCTTTATAACCCAGGGAAATTGAGATGATGAGAGATGACTTGAACTGATTCGAAATTAAATTGGAGATGATTTGTATTCTTAGAGGATCAATCTCAGGTTGTGGGAATAAGAGAAGCATTGGAAAATTATTTTGATAAGCTGTCAAATAGAAATAATGTTAGAATGAACAAAACCCCAGTACATTAATCTTTCTGGTGGCTAAATGCTTGAAAGGGAGAAATAATTTTAAGTTCCAGCTCAGATTTAAATCATATGTCCCCTTATGGCCCCAGCCATCCTGTCACCACTGCAGACATGTGTCAGTGCACCAGGCCGCCTGAGAGGAAGGCCTAACTGGCCTCTTTCTCTCTCTTCCTCACCATCACCCATCCCCCTCAGAGAGCTGATGGTGCCAAGGCATGGAGACTCAGGCAGCATTATTGAGAGTGGATGGCTTGTCCTCATACCTGCTTGTCCAGTCACAGTGCAGACAGCTTGCACACCCAACAGAAATGAACCAAGAGTTCTCATTTCCCCAGCACTACAGATGCTATAGGCTGGGGTTGGTTTCTCTGTTTTCAAGATTGCTCTGAAAATTGTTCCCATGTATGAGGCTACACAGTCCTATCCAGGTTTCTGAGCTCACCACTGGTCACCTGGACCATACTGAAAGATGCTCAATCTCTCTTGCATCCCAATCATCTTTAAAGATGGGCCTCAATGCATATGAGAAGATTGCTAAGGCTATTATGGGCCAACCACATAATATTCCCTGCAAGGATAGATGCTTGCTTTCGACATGACCCTCTTTCTGGTCAGCACAGTAAAGGTGTAAATGCTTGCATATTAAGACACACACTCCCTTGCACTGTTCAGCTTCCCAGAAGTTGTCAGTATACATCAAAAGCCTTAGAAGGGACTGTGACATCTGTTTCATAGGGGCGATGCTGGAGCCCCACTCTCCTTAGGTAGCTTTTTCCACCCTCAAGTCTCGATTGCATGTCATTGGGTCATGGGAGCTTCTGCCAGGGTCCTTAGGTCCTCAGTCCTTTGCTTGCTGAAGTCCTTGCATTTCCTGAGGCACCATGCACCTTTCCAAGGCCTCAGGGGGCTTCATTTGGAAATCAGATAGGGTGGGGAAGTCCTGGCAATCTTACAGTCACAGCTTCGTGTAGAGGCTTGGCAAATCTTTGAGTGTGCCTTGAGAAAAGGGAAAGGACAAGTGCAGTCCCTGGTTATTTTAGGCAGGGTGAGCCCTTTTGAGCAGTCCCCAAACATGGAAAGATGAAGAACCCTCCTTAAACTTCTGTCCTTGGACTAAAAGTGCACTGTGACATCTAGAGGCAAATCTTGATTGAATAAATTGATACTAAGGAAAAGTCAGATAAAAGACAATGATATAATCTTGGGCAACACTGACCCTTTTTTTAACATTTTACTTTTTTGTCATTTTAACATGGTGTATGTTCTATTTGGGAACTTAGTTCATTTATTTACTGAATTGTGAAAATCTTATCAACAGAATTTTTAAGACACTGTTCCGTGGAGTCATAAAATGCAACAGATAGATGATACATGGACTATCTAATTGCATGTAACAGATTTCTCTATATTACCCATCATTTTACAAAATGGTGAGTGATGTTGAATGTCAAAAATACTTGGCCTAAGTCCGGTCAGAGTTAGAAATGATACTTGATTTTCATACTGGTATCCACTCACATATGTGAGAACTCTCAAATCTACTTTGCCATAAAATGTGGTCCTTTATAACTAGCTGATTAATGAAGATTTGGATCTAATTCAGAGTTCTACTCATATGCTGCTTCTTCTAGATGTGGCCAATAGACCCAGAGACCAGGGCAACCCAGGGCTAATGCTGAGTGACAACTGGAAAGGGCAATTTCATGACTCAGTTTCCTGGGTTTCCAGGGTACCATGACAAGCCACTGCACTCCACCCTGAACAAGCAGTCATTGGAAATACATCCTTATGCTCAAAGAAAATAGATTTTTGTCAACTATAAATAGAAGTTCTAAAATAGATTTTTCTCTGAGTATGAAATTTCCCTAACCTATGAGTCTTTGACTCATTGTTTAGGAAAGTGGGCAAATAAGCAGGATATTCTTAGTAAATGGTTATCTACAGGCAGGACTCCAAGAAAGCTCCTGAGAATCTTGTCGCCTGGCCTGAAGGGTTCTTGTCCCAAACTGAGTCAGATGAAACATTATTCCTGTGGTTAGGTTACTAATCAAAGGCCTTACAGTTAGCAAACATTGGCATCCTGAGTGCCTAGCTGAATAGGGAGATCCTACAGGAAGGACAAGACCCTTCCACAAGGTATGACCTCTGTTGGCCTTGAGAGGATGGAGTGGCCGGAACATAGAGGGTATGCTGGGCCTCAGAAGCCTGCTACCCTGAAGCCTCCTTTTCTGTTTCATCATCTCACCAGATTCTTGTGAACAAGCTTTCTGCAAATGTTTATGAAATGATTTTGCTTTGATGAGGATCTCTGGAGAGAGGTCTACAGCAAGACCACTGAGGGCCCAGCAGACTGCTGACCCTCCACAACCTGAGTTCTCCCAACAAACTCCCAGGAGCCTTGATTTCTAGGCATGACAGGATGAGGTCAGCAGGTGAGACTTCCATCCTGAGCAAGTGGATTTACCCCACCAGCCTGGTGAGCAGGCTGGAGCCAATTGTCACACGACTTCTTTCATGCCTGAGGACATGTGACTGTGACCTGGATAACCAGTGGGCACATTGTCTATTAAGCGGTGCCCCCATTTTACACCTCCTTCCCGTAGTTTCCTCTGACACTCTCCAGCCCCCAAGTTTAGACAGAATATGGACTGTTTGCCACAGGAACCGAGGTCATCATGCAAGGGCCCTGTGACCCCTCAGCTGCTCCTCCCATGGTTCTATCTGATAACTGCATTTTCTCTGACTCTGCTTTCCTTAGGCCAGCTTCCTAGCAGGGCTTTCCTCAGCTAATCCTCTGGCCTGGTGCCCCTAGCTTTTGTTATTAAATGAGTATAAAAGGCAAATTCCTTGAGCTTCCCTGGCCTCCCTCTCAGAAACATTCCTATCCAAGTCCTCTTACACATTGCCAAGTCAGAGCTGTAGCCCCTTAGTATCAGACTATCCAAGGAGGCTACAGCCCCAGGCTGGGCCTCCCACTTAGAAGTGAGCAGCTGGGACCATGGAGGAGACCACACTACATGTCGGGAAACTTCTGTGTCTTCAGACACCCTTTGGATCTTAAACAAAGCAGGGCAAGAAGATAGATGAATAGCAAAGATTTCCTCTCAATGCTAAGACTTGATGTTCCTCTCTGTCTTTCCAAGAAAGGACTAGTGCTCCTGGGAGTCACACACTTTCTAGGACAGATGCTTCAGCAAGGGAACACAGCAAAAAGAGGTGAGGCAGAGAGGCGTTGCCTGCTGTCATGCCTTGTGCGCGAAGCCAGGGCGAGGCAGGGGCCCAGGGATCACACTGCTTAACCAGAAATAGTTTCAACAACTCCCCTGAGTTTGGGAAGCTATTTCTAGACATGAAGGCAAAGGAGTAGAAGGAAAAGAATTGAATTCAGATCTAACTGCCTGTAGAGTGGTCTGAATCCCACCCAGCTGGAGTAGCTGTTTTCATACCTGCCATAGATAAGTCCTGAAAGAATTCACTCCACAGAGCTATGACAACAGACAAGGCAACCCTCCGGAACTGACATTTGCTGAAACATACCTATACTGCCAGGACTGTGAACCCTAAGAAGTCACAGAATAACCCTTTGTAATCCTAAAGTCCTATTCCCAATGCAGTATCGGGCTTGTACCCTCTCACCAAAACCTGACAAGGCACCAAGGGTTGTTACTTTTCTAAGGTTGTGATCAAACACGATGACCAAAAGCAACTTGGAGAAGAAAGGGTGTGTTAGAGCTCGTAGTCTCTCATCCAGGGAAGTCAGTGTAGGAGCTCAAGGCAGAACCTGGGTGCAGAAACTAAAGAAGCCATGGAGGAGTGCTGCTTGTGGGTTTGATCCTCATCATGGCTTACTAAACCTAAGCCCGCCTTCTTATAGCACCCAGAACCACTGGGCCAGGAGTGAGGCCATCTGCAATGAAGCTGTGCCCTCCTACATCAATCATCAATTAAAAAAAAAAAAACACAAACATACAACAGGCCAATTTGGTGTGGTAATTCTCTCAACTGAGGTAGCCTTTTCCCAAATGACTCTATCTTGTGTCATGTTGACATGAAACTGGCTAGTACATCACATATCATTTTGCATAGCTTTCATCTTCCCAAGGCAAACAAACCCACCTGTGCTGGCCATCCTAGGAGCACAACTGTTAAGATGAAATGCAGGTCCACCGTGTCCAGTTGGATTAGTACTACATATGCCAGTTTCCATGCAATCACCTGTAATCTAGAACTTCTTGAGGATAGTGTGCCACCTCCACCAATGTCTGCCATCTTTGGAACCTCCAAGTTTGGCCTGCACCCCTCATGAGTGGGGCAAGAGCTTCCATCAGGCCCTTCATGGTTTAGTCTGTTTTATGTGTACACCCAATTACAATGCATTAGAAAGACAATCTCGGGGTTAAAATCCCACTGTGGAACTGGCTGCAGCCCCACACATCCTTCACTTGACACTGTGGTTTTGATTCCTGCTGCTGTCTCTCTTTCCTTGCTGGGCTCCCTCAGAGTGAAAGTTCCAGAGAACTGTTGAACCTCACTCCATTCCTCTTGGCAGAGAAAGTACCCTGGCACGGGTGTGCCAGGCTTTCATAGACTTGCATCTTGTGGTCAGCTACTGTACATTCCTGGGCTGTGCAGAAGCTGGATAAGGCAAGGATGGGTAGGAGGGAATGGGAAGTAGTTAATGCTTTGTCCAGGTCCTGGTGTCCACACATCCACACGTCCACGTGTCCACCTATGCTCTTTACACTTGCAAATGTGATTCTCAGACTGTGTGCAGCAACAACAGCTGGAGCTCTGCAGCCTGCCCGTGGGCAATACCTTCCAGTCTGAGCAGCCCAAAGGGGCAAGGGCTGGTAGTCAGGCCGCTATGAGGGGCTGCAGGCTCCTCCTTCTCGCTTTTCTTCCTTTGGGAGTTCTCAGTGCTAAAAACAAGCTTTCTGAGAACCATATTTTTCTGGGTTAAAGGTGAAAAATGCAGCACTTCCTCCAAGTGGGAAGCACTCTGCCTGCCAGCTCCGGGCATATGTCCGAGATCCTTCCTCCCACTTGGAGAGGTGGGCGGGGAACGGAGGAGGGAGAGGTGGCGGAAGGCAGAGGAGGGAAGTCGGAAGGAAAGGCCAGTTACTGTGGACCTGGGGCAGTTGGTGTGTGGAAACCAGTGGGCCTGTTTGTGTTGGAGCAGCTCAGGACCTGAATGGGACTGATCAGGAAATGAAAGGCAAATAAGAAGGCAGTGAGCAGGAAGCCAGTCAGAGCAGTGACAGACATGTCTGACAGGATTCTGGGCCAGTGCAGGGACAAAGAGAACCCCATAGACTTGCCTGAGGTAGATCTTGGAGGTGGGTCTAGAGAAAATATAAAAGGTTATTAAAGTCCACTTTAGTAGAAAAAGCAAGAGTATTATTGGCCTGCACCCTGCTCCCATCATCCCTGCTTAGGACCTGCGGAAGGTTCTAGAGAGTTTTCTCAGATTCTTATTAAGGAAGCTCTTCAGGAACTAAGGCTTCATAGACCCCGTTCTCCTCAGGCGAGCTTACACTGACCCCCAGTTCCTGACCACTCCCAGAACCTTCCTCCCAGCCAAATTCCCAGGCCGACTTCTCAACCTGTCTCTCACCACAGCAGCTATACAAAGCAAAGGCTCCAGTCCTGTTCCCTGTCAGTCCCTCCTTAGAAAAATACAGCTACCGTTTATCAGGCCACACACAGTAAGGGTAGGCAGTCGATCAAGACAGAGGCATAGAAGACAAGGTAAAGAGAGAGGCCTTTACTTAGCTTTACCTAGCTCTGTTGTCATCAGTCCCAGTGCTTGTGCAGAAGAAGAGTCATCAGGGGCTCCCTCACCTCCACGGCATGTCTTTCAAAGACATGATTCCTAGGGTAGATGGACTCATTAATGGTCCTGATGTTGTATCCATGGCAACTCACTTAGTAGGTCTGCTCACTATGAAGAGGAGACCCCTTTTCACTGCAGGAGGGAAACTGTTTATTTCTTGTATCTGTTGCTGTTAACAGGATGCAGGTGAAGCAACACATCTCAGTCCTGAACCTGGGTTGCAAGAGATCTAGCCCGGCTTTCTAGTGTTCCTACTCTCCCCCCCCCCCCCCCCCCGTTAAAGAGGCAGGCATGTCTATAGTAGCCAATTGGTTCCAGAAAGATAAAGGGTACATACAGCAGATCTAAGTCACCCTACCAACCCAGCCCATCCTGTGGATGAGGAACTCCAGCAAAGACTTGGAGAGCCACCTTGTCAAGATCCCCAAAGTGGAGTCTCCAGACTGGCCACTCAAGACACAGGAACAACTGCTGTGAACCATGGGCAGGGGTGGAGCATGAATGTTGGTTAGGAAGCCTTATTGTGGCAAGAGATAATGGCTACACTTAGAGATAAAAGGGGCATACCCACTAGTCCAAGCTAAGCTCTTCCCAGCTCTCCTACCCATTAGTATGGAGTGTGGTCTAATCCCTCAGCTAGAGGTTAAAGACTTGAGCCTCATAATTACATCTGCTATAAACTCATTCCACAGTGCCTGGGTTTTGTTCACAGAGAGGGTGGGAGAGCTATGATCCTCTGTCTCTTACCCTGTACTCAGACCCTGAGACTCCTTGTTTGAGTCTTCTACTTTGCCACTCTTGTACTTATAGGACCCTTACTGCCTGTATTTCATCACCCTGTCACTGTCACCACTTCCACTTAACCCCGAGCGCTTCCCACCCAGAGAGGTCTTCAGAATCAACACACACTCCCAGGCCCTCATCCCTGGGTCATTGCATTTTTCTAGGATAACACTTGCACAGAACAACAGCTCATCTGCAGGACAATTCCTTGGCCTCCATTCAGCTGCATATTTTGCTAAAATCACAATGATTATCTTTTCCCCAGAGGAAACTCATTCAAAATGTTCTATAAAAACAACTTTATTTTATCTTGGGAAGTAGTATATCTAGGAGCTTCCACGAAAAGGTGTCTAGGTGAGGGTGTCCAAGAAGCAGTGGGACCCACAGTCTGTTGCATGCCTTTTTTATTTTCCAGACTGCATTCATTAAGTGACCTGGGCAGGAGACCAAGATTACTATGACTGCTGTTATTAGTATTAATCCTTGCCATCAAAGGCTCCTAAACACAAGAGGCAGAAGGTTGTGGCATGAGGCAAACCTCTCTGGATTATTTAGCCATCTCTTAGAAGTCTTAATATGTCAAAAACTGTGCTTTGCACAAAGCTCAAGTCTTTGTGGAATGGATGCTGCACAAGCAGGAATAGAGTCATGCCTGAGACTAATTATAGGCTCTTTCAGGAGTTGGATCATATTTCCTTCCACTTATAGGGGCAGCATTCATCTCACCTTTCCCTTAGTAAGTCCTGTCATGGGGACCTGCCAGGGAGCCAGTTGTCTGTAGTCATGTGTATACATAGCACAGGGCACAGCTGATGGGACAGAAAAGGAAGCACCCTTCTCTGTTCTGGTCCAGATCCTTGAAAACTGCTGGGGCATACTCCCAAACCCCACACAGCCTTAACTCTCTAGTAGCCTTGTTGTTCCTTTGGAGGCATGGCCTCTGCAAAACCAGTCACCATCTCCACAAATAAGTTCTTCCTTGTCCCCTTTATTCACGTTTATTACAGATACTTTCCCTCTCTTAGAACAACACAGCAGTGCCCCACCTCAGTGATACATTCCCTTTTGTCTCTTCACCTTGGACAGCATCATATTCATTCCCTTGAACCATCAGCAAGCACTGAAAGAGAATGGTCACCTTCCCCAGTGGCCCACCCTAGTCACTCTCGACCATTCCACTGACACTACAAATGTCCCCATCCTATCTCATTTGCAAGAAAACTATTAGGAAAGTGTGCCATAATTAAGATCATCCACCTTAACTTGCAAAAGCACACCATAAGTGTGGACAGTCTGAGGCTATAAAAATAGACACATACAAAAGTACAGCTACAAAATCAGGGGGAGCCCATTTTCTTCAATTTGCATCATAAAAAGGATTTTTGCATTAGAGGTAAGCTTGGGGGAAGGGACCACAGTATGATTATGATTCTATGTTTAGTTTCCCCCCAAACCTTTATTTTTGTGGACTAGTGAGAGCACATTGAGTCAGCCAGTGAGGAATGGAAGGGGTTAATCTGGAAATATGCAGTTCAGGGTCACACAGTCATTATGCTAGTGTCATAAGTCAGGAAAGGACAGACATATTTTAATACTGTTCTGTGGGGGTTTTCTCTCTCTCTCTCTCTCTCTCTCTCTCTCTCTCTCTCTCTCACTCTCTAACACAGCATAGCCACTGAGCTACAGCAGTCTCTGGAACTTGATGTGATGTGTGATCTCTCAGACTCTGTATATTGAGCGACATAGTCCAATGCTTCCTATCCACAGTAGTCCATTGGGTTTGGCCCACAGAGCATTTGCGGAGAAGGCCATCCGGGGCCTCCAGTCTTATGTTCCCATCAGGGTGTACTTTGTCCTTGATGACAGGAAACACACCTGATTCCCAGACCTCTGTGTGCAGCATCAGGCAGGGTCTCTGGGCCCCTGGGATGTTGTCCCTCAGACAAGGCCAGCTGGTGTTACTTAGCTCCACAGGTGTTGATGTTTTTCCCATCCACAGCATCTTCCACAAGGGAAATGTGGTAATCGGTGGACAGGGTGAAGTGAGAGATGCAGCCCACGAGGCCTCGCATGTATTGTCTGTTTGTGTGCAGAGCGATTTCCTTCATTCCACCTGCAAGGAGGCAAAGAGAGAGGGAGAGAATGAGGGAAGAGGTGCCAACAGTTGGAGATTCTTTACGGGTCGATTGAGTGTCTCCTGGCCAAGGACTACCCGTCTAGTAGTACATCACATGTGTTAGGTTGATCACTGAATACAACTTTGAACACTAAAAAGGCTAATCTCAGATGTGATTTCTGGCTCAACTGACAATCTTAAAACCCAACAGCTCTCGAGTAGATTACTGAGATGTTATATAATGTCAACAACAGGTACTGTCTTGGCTGCTTTCAATTAAGCTCACTTAGAAAACACAAAAGATATGAGTTCATGCTTTTTGTCTGTGTAACAGATTATTAGCCATTTATAGGAATTCTACTCATTGTATTCTGAGAGAGGACACCAAGCCGGATCCTCCTTCCTCAGAGAGAACTCATTCGGTTATATTTAGATAGTTCCTGTTCTCTTAACAAGGAAAGCCTGATTTTCCTGGTGGATGTCAAGAGCACAAAAGCAATGTGAGTGAGTCCCCTTCCTGCCTCCTCAGCCATGGGTCAGAAGTTCAGAACATGGAAGAATGGACTATTAGGACAGCTTCCTGGTTTCCAGGTATTTGATTGACCCTGTTGAGTACACAGCTTAGGGACAACAAATAAAGGTCTTAACGAGGAAAAGCCCCAACAGAGTGAGTTTTGGTCAAGGTCACTTACCCACATACAGAGCCCCATTGATGTTAAGTTGCCTCATCATGCCAGGTGACTTGCCTGTTCTGGCTCCATAGTCATCCACAGTAATCTTCCCCGATTGGCCATCCCTGCAAAGCAAAGTAAACTGAAACCGAGCGAAATAAGCTATCATTGTTGGAGTTAACTCAATCATTTGGATTTAGAGGTATAAAAGTAACTACCATGAGCTAAACAATGAGGTTGTGAAACACACACACACACACACACACACACACACACTGCCAACTTCTATAGCCCCATGGGAAGGGGGATCAGCCCTGGCTCACTTCCTAATACCATCTCTTCATTCATTGAGTTTTCAAGAATTTCTTCCTGCTGTGTCCTCTGCATTTTAAAAACGAATTTTAGACCTTCATAACTGGATGCTATAATGGGAAATGGCCTTAACAGCTTGTCTTGCTCACACTTCCACCCATCCCCCATTACTCTAAACTATTCCCACTAACTTGATTTCATTAGTTATGGCCATTTTTTAATATTTTATATTTATGAGTTAAAGATATACCTTCTAATCAATGGCATCTTAGACTGGAAAAAAGTATAGTCACCTTCTAAGCTCCATAATGCATAATTCATTGTGTTTATTTCTCATTGTTTGTTTTTTACCTCCCAGAGTAATGCTAGACCACCAAGGAAAGGTGTTGGTTTTCCTCAATAACTCTCAGGTGTCTGGAATAGTGTATGGCTCATAATAAGGGATCACTGAGCAAGCCTTATATGAAAATGTATTAATTAAGATCAACTTCCAAAGCTATTGTGGAAACTATCTGTTATGCATGCAAATCACAGAGCAGAGTACCTGACACACATCTTGCTCGATTGAGGTTGGCCAAGGGGCATGCTGCTATGGTTTCCCACCTATAATCATATAACTGTTCTTAGCCACAAAAATGAAAAATACAGATCTTAAATTTCTGTGACTATGAACTGTTACAAAGCACTGTTTCTAAATTATCTGGCATAAGATGTTGGATAAATGAAACATTTCTTCTATTAGGTATCATGCTTGCAAGACCAGAGTTACCCAAAGAAAGGCAGTGTATAAAGCAGCCCACCTCCCCTTAGTGAGTCTCTCTTTGTTTATTCTGCTGTCTCTGACCTTTCATAGAGAATTAAGATATCGACCCAGTCCTTCTTGCTATGTGTGATAGATATAGCCTTGACCCAGTTCCTAAGAGGCCTGTCTGCTCACAACTCACAGATAGTCCAATCCATCCAGATCCTGGCCTCATCCCCTATCTAGCCTTTACTGTAACCCAAGACATACTAAAAAACGAGATCAATGATGTCAATAGGAGGGGCTATGTCTACTAAGCTATTTACACATGCCAAGCTTGATATTCTGGCATATGAAGTTCTTCTGAGGGAACATTCCACTGCATTATTTCTCCCAGACATCTGAAATCCCTGTGGGTGGGCTGCATCATGGGGTGGGACAGAAATGTTTTTGATCTAGGTTCTGCTCACAGCAATTTATATTGTTTTGGGAAACACACTTAACATGTTTCCTTAGATGTCTAGGAAGGGACTAGTGTCCCCACCATTGTGTATCTTCGTATACATAATCAAACCACAATAACTATGCGAGTTTAAATTCCTCTGTAATATGTGACTATTCTACCAACCATTTTGACCCAAGGTTATAAGCAGGTTATAAGTGTATCCCCTGATGTCGGTGGGGCAGCAGTTGGGATTCAGTGTGATTGGAGTTGAGAACCAAAGCATTTCACATTCCTTCCGAGATGCCTGTGTGCAACCTCCTTTGAAAATGAGTGAGAGAGGAATGAACAATTCCCAAGCTGAATAGTTTAGAGTATTTGGAAGTCAGGTTGGACTCTGCATTTTGACTTGTTTTCTAGAAAAAAAAAAATTGAGATCTGGATCTGTAAATATGCATTATGGAAAAACCATTTGTTTTTACAACTAGAATTGGGACTTTGTTAAAATGCCTACACATACATCTGGGCTTTGTGGGCTGCCTGGCAACAGATGTTTTGAACATAAGTCTGCTTTTGTGTTTTCAACACCTCCTTAGGTTCCAAGGCAAGCACTGGGGTCAGGGCAGGGGGCAAAATAAAAATGATCTTAACACAGCCTACATGGGAGCAGAAGAAGAACCTGATTTCTAATGCTTAGATAACATTCTTTTAAAGGGAAGTACTGTCTACACATTTTAGAACATTCTTGTTACGATAAATCTTTCCGCCAAAAGCTGCCTGAGCCCCACCGCCACGTGTGAGCTTTACACTAGCCGCCTGCCTGAGTTAGGCCCAAATAAATACACAGAAACTTGTATTAGGTACAATGCTGCTTGGCCAATGACTAGGATTCTCATCTGTTAGCTCAGTCTCAATTATCATAAATCTATATTTTATAAAACTTATCTTATTGGACGCCTTATTGGTGTCCCTCCTTGTCGTTGGCTCACATCGTGCTGCTGGAGCAGGAGCGGAGGGGAAAAGAGGCCCTTCCTGTTTCATCTTCGCTTAAATATGAGTCTCCTTGCTATGTCACTTCCTGCCTGGATCATCACTTCTCTACTACATTTCCCAGAATCCTCTTTGACTCCTAGTCCCGTCTACTTGCTGTCTCATTTGCCAAACAATATTTTATTTAACAATCAATAAGATAAGCATACACAGAAGTACTTCCCCCATCACATTCTTTTAGGTCTTTATGCCCCCCCCCATTTTCATTGTGTGAGTCTTTAATGCCCCAATTTAGCCACTAAGAAATATTTTCTACATATGACAACAAATGCTACCAAGGATATGGACCAAACTGAACTCTTATAGATTGCTGGTAAGAATGCAAAGTAACTCAACCACTGTGGAAATCAATATGGAGATACCTCAGTAAGTCTAATGATCCATCTGTACTACTCCTTGGTAAAACCCAAGGACTACAACCCTATGTGTCACAGGTTAATGTCCATTGCAGTGCTATTCATAATAGCTAAGTTACAGAAGCAACCTAGGTGCCAGTTACCAGAGAATGGTTGTAGAAAATGTGATGTATATGATTTTTTTAGCCATAAAGAAAGAACAAAAGTTATATTGTTCAGGAAAATGTTATTAACCAAAACAAGCTTGTCTCAAAAAGACAAATATGTTTTTTTTCTCTTTTGTGGTTTCTTTATTTATAGATAAGTAAAATCACATATGTACATGTGACATGGAGGTAGAAATGAAATTGCCTAAGTGAACAAAGAGAAGGCCAATGGAAAGGGTAGGGAAGATGGACATATGGCAGAGATGTGCTCGGCATTATATACTTGTATGAAAATGTCCTTATGTAGAACAATATGGTGTTGAGTAATTATACACAATGCAATTTGTTAAGTTTTTTCTCCTAGGCCATCTTCTTCCATTCAGAGCAGATGTAGGGGTTCACTTTCTGCCCACTGGTGTCAGTAGAGAGCTTGGGGGGGGATTTGGTGGTAATATGAGGATGCCAGGTAAAGATGGGTTAGAGGGCAGTAGGACTGAAAGGAAGCTGGAGACACCTCCACCCTCTTGTAGCCTGGCTCTGTCTCCCATTTGTAGGTACCTGCTCACCTGACAGCCTTGACTCGGTGCCACCGGCCATCGCTGAAGGAACCATTTACCATGATGGAAGCCACGCCACTGCCCAAGTTGTAGCTAAGGGTATTAGGGAAGAACAAGAAAAGAAAAATGACACACAGGCATTCAGGAAGCTGCCCATTCACAAAGGCTCTCACTACAAAAACTCACCCAGAATGCAAAGCCCTTGACTCAAAGTAAACAGGCTGGCACAAAAGGTGGTCACTTTCCAGGTTCGTATGTGAAAGAATAAGTTTTTAAATTTTCAATTGTGGTAGGATAAACATTACACTTACCATCTAGGCCATTTTAAGTGTACGTTTCAGGAGTGTTAAGAATATTCATGTGTAATTAACACAGTACTTCCATCTTGCAAAACGAATGCTACATAGCTCTAGCTCCCCTTCTGCAGCCCCTGAGCACCACTCTACTCTTCCACTTGTTAGCTTTGACTAACATAGACACCCAGTTAAGTAGAATCACCTTGGACAGCTGCCTTTTGTGAGTGCCCTCCTTCACAGTGTAAGGCCATCAGGGTGATTCATACCCGTGTATGGAAGCATCCATAACTATAGCATTGGGATGGATGAGAAGAATTTGTCATCTGTACAATCTGTTATGCACAGTGTTACTCTGAAATTTCTGTCCACCCTGAACCTTAGAGCGTGACCTTGTTTGGAAAGAGAGTCTGATGCAATTAGTTAAAAGTGAAGCCACAGTGGATGAGAGAGACCATCAGTCAATATGACTGGTACAGTGATTAGAAGAAATTTGGACACAGAGACACATGGAAGGAAAGGGTACGAAGAGATGAAGGCAGAGGCTATAACTGTGCATCAGTTAGCTAGAAACACCAAAGACTGCCAGCCAGCACCAAAACCTCAACCAGAAGCAGCAAAAGAAACTCCCTCAATCCTGCCAAGGAAGCAGTGCTGACAACATGTTGAATTTTGGATTCCTGGTCTCTAGAACTGTATAAACATTGATTTTTTTTAATGTTATAAAACTCATGATAATTTATTGCAAAACTCCTAGGAAACTGAAACATTTTTCACTTTAAGAAAGAAAAAAAACTTTATTGAAGAGTAAGCTGAACTCTAAAGAGTTGAAGAGACTTTGTCTGAAACCACAAAGGAGAGATATAAAATTGGATTTCTTGAATCCTCTGCCCCACTTCCTTTGATATCGGCTCTACCTTGTAGCACTTTAATTTGCAGATACTTTGAAACCCTCAAGGAATCAGAAGACATGGGTATGTTTACCAAGAGATAGCCCTCTTGACCCACTGTTCACTCAGTTATTCTAAATTAATTCAATCCAGCAAATATTTAGTGAGTGACTACTCTAGCCTGGGCAGGGAGCCAACTGCCGAGACATTCCCTGGATAACACAATCAGACCACGTGTTCAGACCTCCAGATAGTGGGGTCCACAGGGGTAGCTTTGCTCTCATCATGAGAGGGGGGTTGTCTACACACAGTAGGGGGAAGAGAAAGGCTGGAACGAAATGTTTGTTCTGTCTAGAGCACTGGAGACCCTTGTTCTGAGAACAGTGCAAATAGAAAGCACTTGATTTTCCCAGAGAAATTTCTGTAGCTCATTCATTTCATAACAGAGTTTCAAAGAAACAATATGGCCACAGCATTGAACCAAGAACAGAAGCTGTGGTAGCTTCACAAACCATGGGACAAAAGCTGCCACTCAGACCCTAAAATCCGCACCACTTTCTAGCCCACTTTCCTACATCAAGTGTCTCCTATAAAATAGCCAGAAGGTGAGGTTTCTGAGGATTCCTTTTGTGAGAGCCAATTGCTTTTTGAAGAAAACAGTGAGTGTGTGCCTGTAGGATGACTTAGAGGGTAAATGTGCTTTCCATGAAGGCTGACAGCCAGAATTCAAGTCCCAAGACCCACATGGTGGAAGAAGAGAACTGGCTCCCACAAGTTGTCCTCTGATCTCCACATGTGCACTGTGACACCCCCCCACACACACACACACAGTGTGAGAAGTAGATAATTTTTAAAGAGGAATGAACATGAAGCAGGGCCGGAGGTTGGCTAAGTTACTGCATGTGGCTTTGCTGAACAGCATGGGGGACATGTCATGGATCCTCAGACTTGTCAACTTACCAGCTCTGTGACCTTAGGTGACTCACCACCTAATTCTATCAAGTACAGGTAAGACACTTTCCCTGAGGGACTACAGAGAAGGTTAACAGAACACCCTATAGGAACTAAACAAATAATGTCACCTTACCAAAAATGTGGGACTTGGTGATGCTTATTCAGGAGGTTGACAATGCACCTTGAGGAGAGGAGAGCCATGTGGCGGAGTGGACCAAAGGTGGTAAACATGTAACTAAAGTGAGAATGCCCAGGTCCTATAGTCAGGTGACCTGTGTGTAACTGCAGGGAGCCATACCTGAATGTGCCAGTCAGCATGCCTCTGCCTAGAACATTTTCATTGTATTAGAACCAGGTGGGACAAGCTGAACATTCTTTCCTGAGGCCAATACCACTCATACTCACTTAAAGGGACACAGCATGCTCAAGGGAATTGAAATAATTTGGCAGACAAAAATTCCACTATCATGTAAGATAGGGCAACTTGGTATCTTTATGGCCTACCTTTCCAGCCCTGACTCCATAATGTCAGGCCCTGCAAAGAACCACCTGTTCATATTCTCCCTGGATTATTTGTTTTATATGCAGCATATACATATGTTGCATATAAAACTACACACACACACACACACACACACAAACACACACACACACACACACACACACACACACACACACACACCACACAAAAAACACACACGACAGACTAGAAGGAAACAAACTACAATAAAGCTGAAAGTCACACTCATTTCAGATGAGCACTTGGATTCTCTCAGTGTTCAGCTGGATTTCTAAACTAAAGGTGTCTGGCTTGGGAGCTCCATTGCCCTGCTCACTCCTGCTCTCCAGCGGGAATTTCCATGGTGAGTTAGAGCAAAGGATCTTAATGCCCATAAGGGAGAAAGTCAGAGTGCATCCTATTATCTCGGGACTTTCTCTTCCATTTGTGTTAGAAACATTGTAACCGTGATAGTGAGCTTGGGCACTCTGCAGAATGGTGTACACTCTAGCTAGGCCTCAGTGATGCAACTTCCTCAAGGTCAGAAGCTTTTGTTCTGATTTTTTTTTTTTCTGTTTTTTTGAAACAAGTGCTGGTGTAGTTCTCACAGCCTAGAACTCATTTTCAGTCTGAAAATGGCCTTGAATTCTTGATCCCCTTGCCTTTCTTTGCCTTGGAAGAACTGGGACAATAGTGCCATTCACTATTCACTATCCCAGGGAAGATCCTGATCTTACACTAGTAACAATGGCAGCAATGACTACATACAGGGATTCTTTGCTAGGTTATCTCATAGAGGCTGTGGCTTGCAGAGTCCAGAAAACACTTGATGGAGGTAAGAATTTGTATTCTCCTTATCACTAAAAACTCGTTGACGTGCACTTGGCCCTCTCCAAAATTTAATTCATTTCATCCTCACAAAATCCTCCCAGCCAGCTTTTTCTTTCCCAGAAGCAGGGTCAGAGGCCGAAAGAAGGTAAGTGACTTGCTGAGACCACACAGCCGAGGGGATAAAGTATGTGGAACCTCAAAGACACTTGAGACCCTATTCCTCGGGGTGTGCTTTCTAGAACACTTGGGGTGCTTGATGCCAATAAGAACCCAGTGTGCACCCACACTAAATCCATCTGAGCCAGGGAGTGGGCAAGCCCTGGAATCTACCCTTTCGACAAGCTCCCCAGTGAGCATAACTCGTTGTGTGGTGCCTTTTTTTTTTTAGCCTACCTGCCTATATCATGATCAGCTTGTTCCCAGCCCAGCCTAGACTCCCCTTTCGTCTGTGTTGGATGGATGGGTGAAGTAGGATAACTAGCCAGATGAAAGTGCCCAGTAAGCAGCAATGTGTGGCTCCAGATGTTGCTGCCAATCCTATCCTTGCTTGGGCCCCAAAAGTGTATATAGAACACAAGAAAGCCCAAGGACAACTTCAGCAACTCAATAAGAAAAGGGTAACCTAGAGTATGAGTTCAAGACGGAGCAAGCAGGAGCAAGCAATTAGGAGGTGAGAGGGGGCTGGCAGGACCTGCAGTGAGAGCTGAGCTGGTGGCAGCCAGTGGCCAGTTTTCTCAGGTCTCCGTGCATTGAATTCAGCTGGCAGTTGAGGGGGAGTGGGGTGGCCCCACACTCCACTTAGCTACTGTTTCAGTTCCCTTTTCTGGGTACAATCAAGTACTTGAGGCCTGGGTGAGGTTAACCACAGGAAAACCACAGAGAAATGGCTTTAAAGCAGCCAGCCGACAGGGTGGGAAGAGCTCCTCCTCATCTGACCTGGGGCCAGTGAGGAATGGGGAGCAGTGGTAGGGTCACAGGTCAGGGGAGAAGGCTCAGTTGGAGATGAGTTGCCCTCACTTGTCAGTGTTTGTTCTTCAGCTACCTACCACTGCAATGTCCGCCATCACAGAACAGGTGTGACGTTAGAGTCACATTCCCCTCAAAATGTCTTTTTTTCAAATTTAGCAGCATCTCATTATCCTCACCTGGCTGGCACTAACTCCACTATCCCCAGCACACACAGCTGACCAAAGCCCTGGAATGTAGTCTTCATCATGTCTGTAGGTCAGCTCTCTCTCTGTAACATTTGCTATCAATTTCTTATTATTTACTGAACACTTGGGGGTCCTCAGCAGAGGGGGAGTACTAGAGGAGTAAAAGCTTAACAAACCTCCCTCCCCCATGGGGAAAACACCCAGAGCCAGAGCAGAGGCTTGCAGCAGGTGACTGAATCTCCTGGGGAAATGGTCGCAATGCAGTCAGGTCAGGCTGGGTCCTGGGGATTTCTAACAAGTTCCCCAAGGGTGTTGCTGGTTGATGGCAAGCACCTTTTACAATCTTCATGCCCTCATTTTTCATATTTCACAAGACAGCCCCTGCCCTTTAAACAGTGAGCTCTCTCTCATTCCAGAAAAGAGAAGACGAGGGAAAAAGCATCCAGGTAATTCTTCAGCCACTACATAGCCACCCAGTTAACAACTTGGAGAGCAATATAAACTAACTTAAAAGAAGTAAGAACTGCAGGGCAGGCATGGTAAATACTTTTTAATCCCAGCAATAGGGAGGCAGAGGCAGGCAGAGCTCAGTGAATTTAAGGCCAGTCTGATCTATATAGAAAAGTTCCAGGTCAACCAAGGCCACATAGTGAGACCCTGTTTCAAAAATAAAATAAAATCCATTCACACAGACAGGCATACACACAAATAAAAATCATTTAAGGAATTAATTTTTAGAAAAGGAAGTCAGAGCTTCTGGGACAGCCTTGTTAGTTCCACTCAAGTATTTACGAAGATCCAGGTGTTAGGTTGCTCCATGGAGACGTGACTCTGCATTTCCTTCTCCTCACCGCAGAACACCACAAACCAGCATGTGCCCTACGGCTATGGAACTAAGTTAGACAGAAGCAACTTAAAGCCAAGGCTCCTGGAGTTAGATTTTCAGATCTTCCCAAGCTGGCCAGGACTTCTAGTCTACCAGTGGGGAGCATAAGGTAGGGATATACTAAAACAATGGGCACAGAATGGCTCTGCAGAGGGCCAGATAGTAAATATTGAGACTTTGCCCAACAGTTCCCTTTGAAGCTGCTCTAGTGTGCCACTGCAGCCTGATCACAGTAAGAGACAATATGTAGATGAATGAGTATGACAGTAGTCCAATAAAACTTGGAACAAATTGGCAACCTAGGAGAGTGGTGTGAATTTGCCTCACAGGCATAGATGTTGCTGATTGGAAAAAAAGGAGACTCAAATGAGGCCAGAGCCTTCAGTTAACTGCCAACTTCCAACATAGTGTGTTTGGGGTAACTCCTGCAGTCTTCAGCACACTCTGCACTGTCTGAGAAGAAAATTCAAGATGAAGACAGAGCTTGGGAGGAAGTTACCTGAACACCAGGGCTCCATCCCGAAGGCCTAGGGAAATGAAGTCACTGTTAGGTCTCAAGGGGCTATCTCCCCTCCACAGCAGTAAGCCATCCTTGGCGGTTGTCTTAAACCTCATGAAGGCATTTGATCTTGATCCTGACACCCTGGAGGAAATGCACAAGGGAGTTCATGAAATCAACCACCAACATCTGTTTCGAGTCATCCCTGCCTTCCCTAAGCAACCAGATGTGGAGATAAAACTTCCCTCTCCGCATCTGCATGCACTGGGAAAACAGAAGGAGCACAGCCCCTACTAGTCGCACCATTCATAAAAGTTCTGGATGCTCATGGAGCAACAGTGTCTGACCCTACAAAGAGACACTTGCAGACTAAGACTTTGGCCAATGTCACAGTCCCAGGCAGGTAGCCTTATGTACCAGACTTTTTCCTTTCCTTTCCTTTCCTTTCCTTTCCTTTCCTTTCCTTTCCTTTCCTTTCCTTTCCTTTCCTTTCCTTTCCTTTCCTTTCCTTTCCTTTCCTTTCCTTTCCTTTCCTTTCCTTTCCTTTCCTTTCCTTTCCTTTCCTTTCCTTTCCTTTCCTTTCCTTTCCTTTCCTTTCCTTTCCTTTCCTTTCCTTTCCTTTCCTCTCCTTTCCTTTCCTTTCCTACTCCATGGCTCTTGGGAAGCTGCCCCTCATTTCCCAGCAGAAAGTGGGCTTCACAGTTGCCACAAAGCTCAAATCAGCAGTTTCTTTGGGCTCTAATCATGGCAGCAGAAGGCCAGCATGAACAGCAATGATTGTCCTTCAGGCCATTCTGGAGGGAGAGGAGACAGCCAAGGCCGGGGATCTCAAAGGAGGTTACTTGATGGAGTGGCTCTTGGTCTTGGAAGGGTGCCAAGACAGAATCCTAGGCCAAAGCACAGGAAGCTCTGAGGATAATGGGTGTCAAGCAGGATGGCTTCTGGGCAATATGCATCTCTGGGAAGAGGCTCCTGGGTTCCTATGTGCCTGTCATTTCCTAAGGCTAGTTTAGAAATTCATCTGGCTAGTTATCAGCATTCATCTGATGTGGCCTGAGGGTCTCCAGCAAAAGATGAGGCAGAAGGAAATGTAAGTTAATATTGTCATTAACAAGACACTACTAGAACCTAAAGCCAAGGCTCCTGGATTTTAGACTCTCAGATTTTCCCAAGCAGGCCAGTGCCACTTCCACGACTTCTAGACAGCAGGTGGGGAATACAGTAGATCAAGGGACACAGACTAGTTTAACTTTTTTCTTACCCATTCTGGCAAGAAGAGTGGGGAGAAAGTGTTTTCTTTCCATTCTCCCATCAGTGGTACCATCAGCATGCCTCCCTCATACCTAGTTCCGAGATGTACAGTGTATTCACTTAGTGAATGCCGGGGAGACTTCTGTCTAGGCTTGCCATGGCCAGGTCTAGATAGAAGGTACCAATCTTGTCTTCTTCACACAGGAGGTCCACCAGGCCAGCTACAGGCAACTCAGCCCTGAACAGTTTTAGTCTCTGACTAAAACCTTCTAGTCTCTGACTCTGGTTCCATGTTCCTTCCCTCCCTTGGCAATGTGGACCATGGTGAATCAGTCAAGCCAAGTCTGCATCTCTTATCAATGCTTGGAATAAGAGCTGACATATAACTTATCATCCAATTTACCAGGAGGACTCTGGGGAAGCTTCCTTCTCTTTAGTGAGAGTCCTTTACATTTCCATACAACATTGCCCAATTTAACAATCATCCTAAGAGTGTCCAATGAACAGCTAGGGAATATGCTGAAGGTAACAAGGCAGACAAGTGAATGAGATTTGGGGTCTTTCTTTGAGGATACAGCACATCCTCTGGATTAATCTACCCAGCTGAATGTTACAGGGTTAAGACATTTTAAGCTGTTTTAAGTTACTTGAACCTCTGAAGGCAACACACTGAAAAAGCTCTTGAACACTTCCATTTGTGTGGCTTCACATGGGTGTACATGCACCTACCTGCACATATCAACACAGGCACTCTAGTAGAGGCTCTGATTTGAAGCTTCTCCATCTCCTCCTGCCACCACAGAGTTAGCTCCCCTTTACTGTTCGTGGCCTGTGGCTAAGAACTAGAGGCGATGACCTCGGACTCCTTACTTAAGACTCTACTTTGGGGAGACTGAATAGCCTTCTACCATTGGAGGGAAGGACCAAAGAAGGAAGAAGTATACCTTGGCTGGGAATGCGTCTCACTTAAGTCCTTATACAAAGGCCACAAACAGAAGCTGTGATTAGGGAAGTGCAGAAGGGTCTACCTCCTCCCACAGAACATGCCTCTCAATCCCTCCTAAAGAGTCCATCAACCTGGAACCAAACACTTAACTATATGAGACTGTGACGGCCAACCTTATTCGAACCACTACAATAGTCTGATATGCCTACAGTCACCCCAGTGACACAGAAAATGATCTTTCAATCAGTTTTGCTTCTCAAAACCCTAAATTCTGACCTAAAGCAGAGTGTCTTTAGGTTAAAGATTTGTCATCTGTTACTATGAACCCAATCTAAAGGGAAAGGAAAATTCTAGAACAGTTTTGCTGGTGGTTGAAAGGTGGATGAACATCACCAATGACAGAGGACCAAGGGACAAACTGAAGTTGCCAACAACAAGTTTGACTGAATAGACAGTTCAGCCAACTCCACTCTTGTCATATACAAGCAGCTTGAAATTCTAGCTCATCCCTGCCTCCAGGGAACCAAAGCTGTAACTTGGGCATTTGTATCATGCATTCTGTCCTGTGTCCTGCTCTTCTGCCAACACGAGGAGAACCGAGCAATTTTCACTGTACAGGCAGAGCCTCAGGAGGACAGTTGACTTTTGCTCATGAAGACATAGGTACTGGTCTAGCATGCAAGGGCTCTGAGCTATTTGACTGGGAGCAGCTGAGTCCTTATACAACTGGCTCCAGGCAGATCTGCAAGCTATGGCACAGAACAGCACAAAGCTAACAGCTCTCTTGAGGTCAGGGGTGGGGGTGAGGGTATGTCACCACACTCAGGATGTAGGTGCATCCAATTCCTTCTGCCTCACAAACTGGAACATTGGAAACCCCAGGGGCAAGTCATATTCTTCCAGGCCCTTTGACCAGAAAAGTTTGGAGTGCTTATAATGAATGGGGTTGTTTGGAAGACTAACGCCTTCAAGTTTATTTGCTTTGTTTTGTTCTTGTCTCTATGTTTATTTCATATGCCCCTCTCCACCCCTAGTCTATGGGGAGAATTTTTATCTGTTATGAAAGAGAGTGATGCTGAGAAACTGACATCCAGGGAATAAGCAAACTGCTGTGCTGGCCCATTACCTCTTGAGGATATTTGGATTGTCATAGATCAGGTAACTGCGGCCGATGAACTGTGGGATCTCGATGGCTTCTGTAATAGCTGAGACAGAAGAGAAAATTAAGGTTATGAGGCATGCAGCCCTCTTGACCTCTACACCCTTACACATGTCAGTAACATGGCAGGAAAGCTATCCATGGAATGTGACATTTGACAACTTGTCAGCCCCTTCCTCTTGGCTGTGTATGTACTGGCCTGGCTCACAGCACCCTGGTCCAGTGGCCTGGCAATGGTTTCTCCCCTTTCTCCCTTCTCTGGGGGCCGGCGGTTGCTGTCACTGGCCTTGGCACTGCTGAGAAGGCTTTGCAATGTGATGAAACTTGAACTGTCCCCAGTGTTTCTTGGAAGCTGGAGGAGAGCCATGTGGAGAGCAGCTGGGGATAATCCCAGAGTTTTGCCAAGGGAGGCAGAGACAGTCATCCCCAAACAAGTCCCAATGGGGTTGTGGGGTTCTTTACTTAGAGCTTATCTACTATCAATGGAACCCCTGTAGCTCTGATGTGGAGAGAGTGGGGAGTGTGGTATATCAGCTCTGACTCTTCAGTCAGACACATGAGGTCTTACAAAGCCCTCACCCGAACTCATGTAGAAACACAGAGTGAGGCAGGCCTAGCTATTCCTATTTCAGGATGGTGAAAATGAGGGTCAGAAAGGGCCCAGAATTAGCCCAAGCTCCTCCAGCTAAGACTGCAGCAGACCCTGAACCAGAGTGGCTGGCCTCATTCTGGCTCCTGCCCATCCCTTACTTCCCAGTACTTTAGAAGTGAATCTCCTTCCTCCCAATTTCTCATCACTTGCTTTCCCCAAGGAATCACCTTTTTTTTTTTTTTCACATCAAAAGAACAGGCATGAGGACAGGCATGTGTGCTGTCACAAACTGGATACACAGGCAGAGGGGATTTCTGCTGGAGAAATAACTACACCACCTCCTTCCTCTTTGGAAAGAGACAGGGGAAACAGCTTAAAGAAACCACGGTAGAATGAATCTCACATTCACAAAGCAAAACAAAAGTGTGTAAAATGAAAGAATAACTAGCTGGTGAAATATTTACAGCTTCAAGAAAACACGTGGTTGATACCAAGAAGACGTGACATAACGACTCCACACCCAGGAAAGAAAATGTATCATGTGATGCTATGGACAATGGGGAGAGTTTAAATTTTACTTTTAAACCTAGAGAGAGAGAGAGAGAGCGAGCGAGAGAGAGAGAGAGAGAGAGAGAGAGAGAGAGAGAGAGAGAGAGAATGAGAGAGAAAGGTTAGTAGATAGGCAGCCACTGGGCCAGGAAAGGGGAGACACATGAACTGGGAAAGCTAAAGAAGTGAAGCAAAAAGGGGAAGAATGATCTCCCAGAGCTGGGAGCAGTGGTGATGGGGTATGGAGGTAGAGTGCAAGGTGAAGGAAGAGGAGGAAGGAGGAGGCAGAAGAGGAGGGGGAGGGAGCTCTTGGTAGAGGAACCAGTCCCTTATTTCAGGAACTGTGTGCTGATAAGGAAGTAGAAGGAGAGTGCCCAAGCTGACTGGCATAGGAGTCTGGCCCTGGCTTAAACATAACCAAGAAGGCCCCAGTGGGCTCCGCTCACTCCAGGGTGAGAGGTACAGCCAGGTCCTGTTGCTGCTGTTGTTGGCCCTGTCTGTTGGCCTGTGTCCGACAGCCATCCTTCTCTTTGGACTTCTTAAAATGGTCATGATGTTTTTGTCACAAGTTAGCTCTACGAACAGAGCCTCAGGAGATGCCTGTGTGTAGGAGCTAAGTCCAGCTGCCTGCCAGCTAGAACCCCCCAACTCAGCACTCTCTGACACACAACTAGGAGAAAGCCAGCTTGGGGTCCTCCACTCTGGAAGGCAGATCCATTGAACCTTGGTTGGTGTGTCTGATGCCCCCACCCCATCTCCCTTCTGCCTGCAGTGGGCTGCTCTGAGCTCTTGGCCTGACTCGAGCTGGCAGGCTCTGGCAGGAGCCCAGGTGGTTCGCTCTCTCCCAGGACTTAGTACTGTACTTACTATTGAGGCAGTAGTTCCCACACTCTGCCAGGTGCCAGCATGAAAGAGAAAGGGAGAGTTAGCACTCAGACATTGTACTCTACATGGCTCACTGGGAACCAGACCAGCCTGCTTCACAAAGCCCTTTTGTGGATCCAGAAGAGAGTGGAGGATGGGCTGCTGCAAGAGCCCCTGGAAGTTTCTTCAGGGCATGACTAGTGTTGTTCCCCCTTGGATTTTATTGCATTTGAGGGTTACTGAGAACTAAGGATAGGATACATTCATGTTCATCCTAAGCTGCCAAGACTCCACCTTCAACCCACCTTTCTACTATGTCTGGAAAAATGCTTGTGACTATTCTTCAGCATCAGGCTGTGCATAATCAAGGGACAATAAGGCAACCAGTCACACATTCGCCCATTGCCCTTTGCAGGATTCTGTAACCAGCCTTCTTGTGATTAACTAAGGGCAGAGTATTCTCCAGAAACCACACCAATAAGGTCCATGACAATGCCCTCAATTTAGTCAGTGCACACAGGCATGCAGGTAAAAAGCCATTCCATTCAAAAACACCAGCTCCAGGCGTGACCATCAAGTCTATTTCCCAACCTTCATGGTTTAAATTTTATTATAAACAAGTTTATATTTAAACCTAACCTTTAGACCTGGCCTTTTCTGTGTTCTTTCTTTTGTAGCAATGGCCTGACTCATGTATTAATGAAAATGTCTTGGCATTCCCTCACATCTATGTGCTAAAGCAGGTGCCATCAGGTGGTGTCAGAACTGCCAAAGAAGAACAGCATTCCACATGCAAGTTCCACCCCCAACCCCCACCCGAGAGAATCTCCCACTTGAGAGATTTAAAGTTTTGGGGAAAAAAAAGAGTTGAAAAAACAGCTCTTTCTTGCAACACACTCAATTGAAGTTGGACAGAGAGGACCATGAGGATGTCATAGACTCACTATCTCAATATCCAGGAGGCTAGTAGGCAGCACTGCTTCTTGGTACACCTCAGGGCCAGGGAACAATGAGACTGGTCAACTGGTCTACCATCAGGGCAGACTACATGCTTCTGGGGCAGTTTACTTGGTACATAATTCTTTGGTGTATGGGTTGAGAACATCCAATCCCCATAAACTCTAAAGCTTTTTTTAATACCAAACACCTGGAAAACTCCACACTTGAGGTCATGGCATGGGGTCATACTGAAAAGGTGGGCAAGGTAAAAATGCTGCAGAAAATTGCTTCTCATTTCTACATGAAGGGTATTTATTGGAAACACAAATAGCCCTCATATTTAGATTTGGGTCCTTGTCAAGATATCTCTTTATATGTATGTAAATATTCCAAACTCAAAAAAAAAAAATACTGTAATTGGAAATGTTTTTGGTCCCAAGAACTCTGGATAAGGTCTATACAACCTAATTTAGAAGCTACAACATATAGAAACAAATAAAAACCTTTGTCTATCCAACTAGACCTGCAACTAACTGAAGATCGGAGTAGCTCAAACACTCTCATTTTTTCAGTGTTTAATGATATACCATCCTATGAAAATAAATTCCCAGCGGTTTGCATGAATCGCAGGTTTTAGTAACAAGTTTTTAAGAATATAGTCTTTAAAAAGTGGGGTTTGTATCTACTGAAGCAGTTTTCTCACATAATGAAACAACAAAAAAAGATTTTTTTTAATCACCCAAATCAGCTCTAGCAATCAATATACAAATCTGCTAAGTTCGGCATAAAATATCCAAGTGCTAAACTTGTGTTAGATCAGCATTGTTCAGGCAGGATGGATCTTTGAAGACCCAGCCTTGCTCAGGAATGTTATGCCTTAGGCTCAGGCCCTGCCTTCAAAGTTGTTGGCTTTGTGGTATGGAGAACAGTTCACTTGCTATGGAGAAATGGCCCCATCTAGTGGCCTGTCTGATTCTGCATCACCTGAGTCCAAGCCCTTACTTGTTTGCTATGGGTTAGGAGGACCCCAAGAAAAACAACTGTGTCCTGTGTCCCAAGGCACTTCAAATACAGCAAAGGTTCTAACAAGTTCCGTGGAAGAGGGAGCTGTTTGCATTGAAAAACCAACAATCCCCCAAAACGCCTATGTAAAAAATTCTACAAGGCTGACTGATGAACAGATCAGAACTTCTGTCTGGGGACAACTGAAATGTTGCAAATCCAGAGTCAAATGGTCTTGCGTTACCTTTAGCCTCCTTAGTTGCCACCCATCATCCACCCTGTCTGACCTAAAGTCTTTGTGGCTGTCACGTGAAACCTTGGGATGCCTTAACAAAGCACCAGCTTCCACCAAGCCAGGAGCTAAGAATGCCATCAAACAGCATCTGAGACCTAGAACATGAGCTTCCCCATAACCTACCTGTCTAATGTTCCAATGAATTTTCATAATACTTTGAGTTATTATCTTTCCCCCCCATAACTATAAACACCGGAGGAAGCCATTAGACCATTGGAACAGGGTATTGGAGGCTATCTGAATTTGTGTTCCTGGCAATCTGAGTTTCTGTTCTTGGCAATCTGAGTTCATGAGTAATGCCACTCATATTTGGCTCCAGAATAAACTATTTCTCATTCCTTGTAAAGTTAGTACTGTGTGTTGAATTAACAGTGGTTAACTGTTTAACTCAGATTTATCCAAATTTATCTGACCACAGATCCCAGTTCCTGTCTTGTTCATGTGTAAGCATGTGATTGTAAGTTCTGGGGAGGTTGTAAAGGGAAAATGGCGTGAACAAATCAGTCAACAATAGACCTTAAAACCTTTTCTGCCCAGTTTGAAGGGCTGAGCTCTAAAACATGACAGCTTACTTAGACACAGGAACCTGGAGGGACTGGGAAACTAGGTATATATGTGTGATGAGAATTCAGAAAAAAAAGGAAAGAAGGGTCCAGTGTGGAAACAGTGCTCTGGGGTTAGCCTTGATGACATCCCGCTTGAGATGAGAAGGGGGTCTCACTATAGTAGTAATACATGAGTTGTTATAGTTTGTTGAGAAAAGATTTTTGAAACAGAGTCTTCAAATCAGCAGTGAGGAGACAGATGAAATCTAGCCTTCTGGTTTTGTTGACACCTGAAGTGATGGCTCTAGCAGGGAAGGACCTCTAGCTCTGCCAACATCATAGAGTCTGAGGTGGACACTGGGAGACTTGATTCTGTGTAGCTCCAGATGCTATAGAGGGACCTTGGCTCTTGGATCCTCTCAGAGGCTATGTGGGCACTGTTGCTGCCCCCTCCCACCTCATAGGGAGGACAAAGTGTGTGTGTGTGTGTGTGTGTGTGTGTGTGTGTGTGTGTATACATGTGTGTGCATGTACTCCCCATGGTTGTTTCCAGACCTGCACAGGTTTGGAATCTTTTTCTTGTCACATCTTCCTATGACATCAAAAGGTGAGAAGTGTCAGATGTCCTGACTACAGCCCTGAGGAGTGTAGAGAAAGCAGAGGAATGATCTAGAAAACCACCTTCCTGGGGAAGTGCTCTTTAAGTGACTTACATGAGGTCTCTGGTTCTGGGTATTAATGCAATAGTCTTCTCCTTGCTTAAAATGACTACAAGAATGATAAAAACAGAGGACATGCATGTGATCACAGCACTTGGGAAGCTGAGGCAGGAGTGACAGTAATTCAAGGTCACCACTATCAGCTGCTACATAGTGAGTACTAGGCCAGTCAGTACTACAGAGCAAGACCAGGTCTTTAAAGAAAAAAAAAAAAAAAAAAAAAAAAAGGAAAAAAAAAAAAAAACTAGTTAAACTTCTGTGGAGAGTGTTTCGAACAGGTTCTTGTTTTGGAGTTTAGTTTTATTATGTCTTAGGAAAAACTCTTTAGCTGTTATATGTAGAAGAATCACCTTACTAAAGGATGCGGGATTCTCTGCAGATGGTTCCCAGGCATTCTTGGTCTTTGAAGCTTTGGATCTGCCCCAATTTACACTGTCTTCCCTCTCTAAGGAATGTGACCACTGCCTATCTCCCCTTTTTTTCCAATCCTTCTAGTGGAGAAGATGCTCAATATCACAGCAAATTGTAGGTCACCATCTAAGTTACATGCCCACTGTAATCCGAGGAAACTGTCACAGAGCCCCCTTTAATCCTCTCAGGTCATTGGTACAGGAGAGGAGATATGGGACGCAGGCAATCCCTCCTATATACAATCCTTCCTGACATTCACAAAGCAGTATTTTTATTTCAGAGCTAGAGCAACATGCAGAGCAGCTGATGGTTCTTCTAGCCTGCTATGCCAATAAAGAGCCACCACCCACTCCCTCAGATCTTGAAGGAGCCCATGCTCTTGCTGAGGTCTGCTCTGCCATTCTGGTGAGATCGATTTCTCACTGGGCATGAGCCTAGAGCCCCAGAGTCACTATGTGAATGTGTTATATCTGATCCAGACAAAGTTCCATATCAGGACACAGGGCCAACAAGATCATAACCTGTCATTTCCTTCTCCCTTTAACCCCCAAAGCTAAGTGTTCACATAAGTCCAGACCCTATAGTATCAGAGGCAAGCTTGATACGTCTATTATGACCCTCCAGACTAATAGGGACAACACTGAAGGATAAGTCCCCCAAATTTGAGTATTGTTCTTGTATGTGTGTCTGTGTTCATGCTCTCTCTCTCTCTCTGTGTGTCTCTCTCTGTCTCTACACACACACACACACACACACACACACACACACATATATGAGTTCATGCTGATATGTGTACAAGTGTGTGGAAGACAGAAGTTGGCATCGGTGTCTTTCTCAGTCACTCTCCATCATTTATTTACTTACTGATTATCTCTTATTTTATTTATTTATTTATTTATTTATTTATTTATTTATTTATTTTGAGACAGGATCTCTCATTGAAGTCAGAGCTCACTGATTCCACAAGAGTAGGTGGCTGTTAAGCCCCAGTATTTTCCTGTACCCAGGTTCCAAGTCCTGGGATGTGATAGCTTGTGCTGTTACACCAGGCTTTTTACATGGGTGCTGGGAGTTGAACTCAGGTCTTGTGTTTACACAGAATGCTTGACCATTTGCCCTGACTCCAAACCCCATTTTCCAAAGGAACAGGCCACTGCTGAAGTAGACACTCCTTCGAATATCACCCATTAGCTCCTTCACAGCATGCTTGTTAGAATTAGAATTTGAGATTGGTAAAGTTACTCTTCTTTGGTTTTCAAAAAAAAAAAATCATGTATCATGCTCTGTTAGGCAGACTCCTGAAGTCATTTAAGTGTGAAAAATACTAATCTGTTTGACTAGCAAATTGGCACCTTTCGTATTTTCCATGGCTGATGCAATAATTCCTTTACATCCCATGTACAAAATATCTGCCTGTAAAATTTAGAGTTTTCTTCTTTTGGTAAAAATCAGGCATCTGTAACAAGTGAAAACACGAGAAAGCAAGAACAGAGGAGAGTGTCTTTCCGGAATTCTCTAACTTAATTCTTTCAGGCCTGTTGGCTTCGTCAAAAACTAGTTCTAGGGCAGGTGGGTCATTCTGACATTAGAAATAAGATGGACTATATAGACCAGAATATGGGCATACATGATTGGTACAGATAGGACACTCCTAGATGTCTAGACCATGGCTTCTGCTCCCCTTAAGGAGGTATATGAAGGATCAAGTAGCATCTTTGGTTTGTGGTCCTCCCATCCTTTCAGATGGGACCCATGATGGAAGCTCACAGCACCTACTAGGGAGCTAGCTTATTCTCTCATCAGTAATAACAGTGGCTATTTATTACTAATAGTGGCAGTCAGAAGACAGCCTTCTGTCTTCTGTTTCCAACATTACTTCATTTAATCTGTCCTGCAGTCCCTGGTAAATGAGGATATTTGAGACCCAAATGGGTTCAGCAGCATGGGATAGAGCACTGGACAGAGGTTGTGCGTACTTTAGCTTGGACAACTAATGCACTGTTCATATTTTTCTACATTTGGGCAGCATTTCTCTTTACCGCCTCCAAAGTTTATCAGTCCATAAGCAGAGGCACTCCTTTGCCAGGGTGTTGTCAGAGTAGCTCCTTAAGTCCTTGTTGTGTCCAGGTTAACCTTTTGGAAGACAGCCTATAAGAGGATTCCTAGGGAAGGGTTAGACAAGTGGATGGAGAGGCCCTTTACCTACTCTTACAGAGTTACTTTGGGACTGAATTCTTCTTAAGCAATTATAGTAGCTTATATGATGTAATGGCTACCTGATATGCCACTGAAGTTGGTAATCAAAATGACAAGTTCCTGTATTAATAATTCTCCCTTTAAGAGCACTGCTCTTACCATACCTGGTGACAAAGGTCTGTAATAACAACATCTTGGGAGGTTGAGGCAATAGATATATAAAATCAAGGCCTATCTGGACTATAGATGAGTTCAAGGCTAGCCTAGACAAGTTAGTGAGACATTCTTTCAAAAACAAAAACAAACAAACAAAAAACTACAGAAAGGGCTGAGCATGTATTTCACTGACAGAGTGCTTGCCGAATGTATGTGTGGTTCTGGGTTCACAAAAAAGAATGGCCCCCATGATCCAGCTTACGGCCTCCATGCCCTCTAGGAAGCCAAGTTAAGACCCCAAAGGTACCTTTCTGGCAGTTCAGGCCCTCGAAGCCCAAGGGACAGTCACACTCATAACTCTCCTTCCTGGGCCGACAGCTGCCTCCGTGGGCACAGGGGGCCCCCACACAGGGGTGAACCGCATTCTCCACGTTCACGCCAGATGTAAAGTCATGCTTCACGTGGATGGTCCGGTCATTCAGGATGATCTTAGGATAGAGAAACACAAAGAAACTCAAGACTGGGGAAAACAAACTTGCAGCTTACCAACCTGAGCTACATATACTGAAGGAGGTTAACAAAAGAAACAAAGTCTGAATGCTGATCTGGTGGTCCTTCAAATAAAGGAGAACTGAAGGGTTGAGTTCCGCACCTGGGGGAAGCTGAGTTGTGATCAGTTACCTCCAAAATCAAAGCATTCCACCCGGCAGGGTCACTCTTTAAGTTAGGAAGTAAACAACTCAAAATGGCTTCAGGAAGTCACTGAAACTGACCAGATATACTAGGGCTCTTCATCCTGAGAGTAGAAGAGCAGTATGGCCTGCTAAAAGACAGACAAGCCAAGCTGCAAAGAAGGTTCTCAGTCTGAGCTGCCTAGCAGCCTGGAAGAAAGGGAGACCAGACAAACTGCATAGCAGAGGGTCAGACCAAACTGAGCCTCTGGGAAAGAAAATTCCAACCTGTGGGTCAGACCAACTGAGCCACCTGTAGGCTGTGCTGTGTGCTTCCGGTTTCTGGAGCTGTCACCCCTGCTGGGGTGGGCTTTGGTGATGCCACTGTTTTTGAGTGATGTCTGCTGCTGTAAGTGAACCCTCATTCATATTCCTGTAAGTTGGCTTCTTGGTATGCTTCCTCCATATACGGTGTGATGTCACCTACACCAAACCCAGGCCTCACTGATTCTCCTACCCACTCCCCTGGTCTTTCTTCTTCAGCATCTCTTGACTTCCCTCACTCTCCATACTCTCAAGTTCAGGCTCCCCCTTTGTTCCACTGTGGATATACTTCTGAGGCAAGGAGCCCTGCTCTTTCTTTCCTGACAGATGGCTGTAGGCAAAGTAGTATATTACTGGGAAATGTTACTGGGTTCCTTACCTCCTCCTAACTCTTTAGCCCTTGACTTAGCCTGCCGAATGTCCATGTCCATTGAACTGCTGTTGCTAGCTTTGCAAAACAGAGAGACACAGAAGTACCCTGATGGGACAGCCCTCCCCATTGTGTAGGGTGTTAGGCTAGAGGAGGTGCTTCATGTTGGGAATCTACCTCAATTTCCAAAGATGTACCTCACTCTTGAAGAGTGTTTTGAGGATGGAGAAAAGCTTCTCCAGGTCCTGAATCTGAGAAGCCACTAGTGAGGAGACTGACCCTTCTCGAATCTCCCTCTTTCATGCTGCAGGTGAAAAATAGAAGACCCAGTATATGTGCTACAACCAATACAAGGCCGGTACTTGCCTCCTGTTGGCTGTGACACAGCCGGTGCCTCAGTCACAGGACAGGAAAGACAGCCTTTCCAGAGGGCAGGAGAGAAGGGCTGTGTGCCCAGTGAGCCAAAGGCAAAGCTTGAGGAGGGAGGGTGGTGTGGGTGAGCTTTTTCATACTTAGAACCTACGCAAATGTGACCAGTGCCTCTTGTGAAGAACCAAAATCTGACCCAAGATGCCAATGGTATTGTAGTTCAGCAAAAAAAGGGCATGTGAGAACAAGCAAATGTTGGCTGGATTTTTCCTGAGCCAGCACTGAGATATGAGGACACACACCAGGGGCCTTTCCCAGAGCACAATCTTCAAATTGTGATGGGACTTCCTTTTAGTGTCACCACTCCCTCATCATTTACTCTCATACTTTGTCATGAGTCCTACCTGAGTCCCCATGACACCTTTTACCACTAACGGGAAACATGATGAGGCTAACCAAGGATCCAAGCTCACTTTTTTTTCAGTGCTGGCAACCCTGCAAGTCTGGGCTTTGTGTCAATCTGCAAGTCTGTAGCCAACAGAACACATCCTCATTACCTGAGGGATCTTGGGCATCCCCAAGAGAAGGAATAGAAAGATATGTGGGAGTGGGATCAGCATCTTCCACTAGCCCAGCAGCTCTTTTATCGTTACCCTTATGGAATATATCTCTGGAATCTGAGAGCTCCATTTTATGATTGATGAGCAACTGCTCGTGGGTGGGTGGGAATAACAGTTGGCTCTCACATGGAACAAACTACAGAGTAACTCAGAGAACAGCCTAAGCTGAGCTTGCTTCCTGCCTCTGCTTGCCCCTTTCCTGGTTACACAAGTGTCTGTGGCATCCTGGTGTCAGTTATCTCTCCTGAGAGCACTAGGAAAGTTTGGGAATTTCTGCTGAAAAAGACAATCCACCGTAACATCATAGAATCACTCTGTACTGAACAGGTGTGTGGAAAATTAGCCTATAGTCATTAAAAATAAATCATAACCATTTCAGCATTTTCTCAAACCATCTTTCTGAGGTACAGCAGATAACTGATTACAACCCTTAACACTGCATACAGTCAGAGTGATATCAAGCACAAGAAAGTGAAGTTGTACCTTCTGGATGCTCCCACTAAATGGATGGAGGATGCCCGAGTTTTTCTTGACATCATCGTAGTTTGGGACTCCGCCAATAAAAATATCTGTGTTACACTTAATCTGGGTGAAGCCTCCCTGCCAAGACATAAAAAACAGCAAGCATCAGACTAACTTTAGGACAGATAGTTGTAACAGCCTCAAGAGTCATCATAGAAACCTGGCTGCATATTGGCTGGACCTTCATACTGTTTTATGTGGTAACTGAACACATGTACTTAAAGCTCTGTTTCATTGTGTGTATAGGATCATAATATAATATCTGAATCCCAGGTATATCATAATGCATGCACAGACTACATCACTGTCCACTGGTGAGCAGTGCTCATACTCCACCCTCAGGAAAATGGTCTCAACAGATAACAGTGGTCTGGTCCACACCAATGTTTGAGAGAAACAAATGTGTCCTTACCTCTGCCATCCCTTCTACTACCTTCTGCTTGTCCACCTGTAAGATACCATTCTTTGCTGTTCGAGACACACGCAGCTCATGCCATTGGCCGAGGGTGAGGGGATCCTCACTCCTGTCAAAGAAAATGTGATGTTAACATTCTATGTCCATGTGACTGGAAGAGGAAACCCAGATGACTGGCACAGTATTTTTGGGTGTCTTTCTAAGGAGTTTCTGAGAGATAAGACAGCCTTCACCAAAACACATAGACATTACCTAATCTGTGTGAGTTCAAACAGAATGAAAAGACAGGAAAAGTATGGATTTTCTCCCTTTGCTAGAGCTTGGGCATCCATCGTATCCTGCACTACTCCTGGTTCTTCAGACGTGGGTCAGAACTTGCATCACCAGTGTTCTGGCTCTTGGCTCTTTGGACTCAGACTGGAACTTGTGCCATGAACTCTCCTATAGGCTTGGACAGAACTACATCATAGACTCTTCTTGGCTTCCAGCTTCCCTGAAGGAAACTGTGGAATGCTTTAGTCCAATGATCACAAGACAAATGTTTTCCGGCATTTCTACCTATTTCCCCATTGGTTCTGTTTCTCTGGAGAAACAGAAGGTGAGTCAGTGTGCCATGGGCGCAGCTGCGATGAAATGGATGCCAACTTCAGACACCCGCCTGTATTAGTGACTTTTCAGGTTGCTATGCTCAAATACCCAACAAGAAATAGCTGAATGGAAGGAGGGTTTGTTTTGCAGTTACAGAAAAGATATCAAGTCCTAGTGGAGATGGACTAGGTCATCTGACATCCCTCAGTGAATGACTGTGACATGGAAGAGTAAGCCAGACCAACCTTTTCCTCCACAAGTTGTTTTCCATCATGGTGTTTTGTCACAGCAATAGAAAGCAAACCAGGACACATAGCAAGCATACTTACCAACTGACCCATCTTGTGAGTCCCATTGGTGTTTTTGAGACAAGGTCTTGCTATGTAATCTCACTGGCCTGGGACTTATCTGTGTAAACCAGGCTAGCCTCATACTCACATAGTTCTGCCTGCCCCTGCCTCTTGTGTGCTAGGATTATAGATGTGCACCACCATCCCTGGCTCATTTTGAAAATTTTCATAATAGAATATTTGGGAAAAGATGCTCTGGCTTGATTTGAAAATGCCCCCCCCCAATATCATGTATTAAGAAACTTAATCCCCAGTTCAACACTGAGAGTTGCAAACATTGAGAGAAGACTAATTAGGTGATACGGCCTTTGCCTCATGAGTGGATTAATGTCATAATCACTGGGGCTTTTTCATAAAAGTCTCGATTTCAGGCCCCTCCTTCCTGCACACTCCTGCAGATGTGTCCTCATAGTCATCTATCTCCTCTCTTGGGGTGACTCAGGAAGGCCATTGCCAGGATTTGATCTAGGATTTCCTAGGCTCCTTAAGTTTCTGCTCTTCACACATTCTTCCTGTTCCCCACAGTCTGTTAGAGCAGCACAGAAAGATTCCGGACAAGGAGAGACAATCTGTGTTCACTAGTGCTTTGAGTGGGGTGGTGGCGATGGCCCTAAAAATTCAGTTACTAAGTCAGGGTGGGAGCACTTGATTCTGAAATGATACCTGCGGGAGTTTCCCGCATTACTTTTTAGAGTGAGGTGTACTGAAAGAATATAATTATTGCATTTCTATTTCTAACAATGTCTAGCTCCTGGCCTTCACTGAACCTCCCAATTACCTTTTGGTCCTGTATCATCTTTAGAAAACTACGAGGAATACCAATGACATGATTATTAAAGGGTCAGCACCCCCTAATTTGATTCCTCTGCTCCAGCAAATGCTTTTGTGATTTGTCCTTAGCAATTAGAATTTAATCACCTTGGCTAAATCAATATGCAATAAAGAAACAAGCAGGCCTTTTTAAGTGGTCTATTTCCATAATGACTAACAGCACGCTTGTCATGTTCCTGTCCTGCAGAGGTCACTGGCTGTCAATCCAATATCTTCTTCTGCACAGTTATATTGATCAGAGCCATAGAGAGCTCATTCCAATTGTCTTGATGTTTGAATCAAGCTCATAATTATTTTGACCACAATACCCTTTTCCTAAAATTAAAATGACTTGGCCAATTCCATAATTTCTTACGCTTCAGGCTTTCACCAAATGTCCTTAATTAAGTGGGGATTCTTTGAAATTTCAAAACAAATAACTTCCCAAGGGGCATGTAAAATACTAATAGTGATCCCTGCTGTCAGGCTGCATGGAACAGGGGTGGGATGGGAGGCCAATGGTGGTTTAATTTCTGGTAAGTCTTGTCTTATTTTCACTCAGGACTCAAGAATTTTTTCTCTTATCAGCTTCCCTGACAGATAAGAAAAGGATAACTCACACTGAAAAAGAAAACCCCAAACTCTAAAATACCACTTATTGAAAATTGGCATAGACATTTGAAAAAGAAATGTTGGACATCTTAGGATCTAGCTGCCAGTGCCCGCAAACTGGGATCTGCTGCTGCAGAAGGGTTAGTGTGCAGGGCATGCCTGTGCTTCTAGATCTTGAGGTCATTCTTTACCTGAAGGGTTGATTCAAAGTGCAAGGTGATTACCAAGATGTCTTCCTCTCTAAACTTGACATATAGTTCTAAGTGAATTGCTTATGCTGTTTTGCATAATCATATGTAAATTGAATCAATTAAATACCCACAAAAGTTGTCTTGAGATATAGGATGTTTTACATCACTAGAGGGAAGAAAACGTTTGTCCCTTCCCCAGGGTGGGGGGTGTTAAATGATGTAGAAACTCAGCCACAAGGACAAAACAAAAATTCTTTTGACCAACAGTTGAAACATAATGGAGATAGCATTTCCCATTAGCCATTAAAAAAATAGTCATTAGTTTAGGGAAATGAGTGGTGTTAAAATCTCCCACACATGCCATCTAAAAATGCCAGGCTAGCAATATGAACAACCACTGAATACAGCCACAGTTTCCTTGGAAGTAACAACAGACTGAAAGCCCATGGCAGGGCTTAATCAAAGTCCCAGGCAGTTTCAAACAAAGAATTAGACAAACATAGCAGTGGTGACCTCTATTAGGGGTCCTTAAGCTTGAAGGTTAAAAGTACTCTAAAAGAAGCATAGTAAGAGGTCATGCTGTCACACTGACATCTAAATACTTATGTTTGCACCCACAGACCTCAGCTGCTCTCAACATTGGTCAGAAAAACTTGTTCTACAGTGTGCAGTAGTCAATGGAAAGATGCATAGCTGACCAAAGTTCTGAGGAGAAGATAAGTGATTAGTCTAAACAGGCACCTATATCATTCTTATTCCCACCCCCACTCACCCACCCCGCCACTAGAGCTCTGGGACCAGTAAAGAGGAGGAGGCAGGAAGAATTTAAGAGCCAGAGGATAGGGAAGAATGCTACAGTATGCTGTCTTCTGGACTTCATGTGGCTATGGCAAGTGTCTACTCAACAAAAGCTGTAGTTACCAGCACAAGATCAAGCCTGCAAAGATTCTGGCAAAGATGTGGAGGACGATCTCCAGCTCCAAGCCTCATCAAGGAGCTATTGGCAGTTGGCAGTTAGTGGGAGAGGGAGAGTCATTCTTTCTGTAGGGTGTGGCCATGGTAGGATTCCCAGGACCCAGTAGATAGTCCTCCATCCACATTACATAGGTAGCACTAATGGGACTTAGTGAGTTACTAAAAAATAAAAAGGATATGAAGTTGGGATGGAAATGTGTTGGGAAGAACTAAAAGTGTAAACAGCAGAGTAGATATGATTATATTTCACTGCATATATGTATATAATTCTCAAGAATAAAGAAAAATAACTTCATATTTTAAAAATAAATAAAACACAAATTTTATTTTTGAGGTAGGAAGACATAAACAAAAACATTCGTATCTACCAAACAATTCTCCAAGGCACTCAAGGGGCCATGGAACCACTGTAGAGGAATAACAGATCTTTGAAGGTATTTAATAGTTCAGACTAGATAACAAAATGAAAGTTTTGGCTGTTCCAACCAATCTGGCAAGGATGATCAAATGCTTAACAAGTCTCCTTTTCTGTCACTCTACTGAAACTCTCATATGTCAGCATTTGTGGAGACACTGTCTGGACCCTTCATAGGAAGTGAGCACATAAGATAATCGCCAAGTTGTGAGTTACAACCAGGGAAGTAGTTTAAGAGGAAAGGTGTAATTTGATCTTTCTGGCATATATGTATATGTTGTGCATTGTGTGTGCATGTGTTTGTGTGTGTGTATGCCCGTGCATATTGAGGCTGCGGGTTGACATCAGGTATGTTCCTCAAGCACTATCTGGCTTGCTTTTGGAGACTGGCTGGCCAGTGAGTTCTGAGGACCTACCTGTTTGCTCCCATTGAACTTTCAGTTGTGTGTTGCTGCTCCTGGCTTTTGCCACGGGTGCTGGAGGTCTGACCTCAGGTCCCCATTCCAGTGCAGCAAACACTTTAATGGTGGAATCATCTCTCTCTAGACCTATGAATACTTTTTCATAGTCAACATTTACTTGTTGAATGCCCAGCATATGCTGCTCTGTGTGTGGTGGGGACTGGTTGTAGTTCCCTGGGTGGCTGACTACTGATGGTATTGCATTCCCTCAGGGAAAAATGGAGGCAGATTGCTACCATAGGAAGCAAATAGATTTTCCAGCATCTGAAGCTGGGAATTAATGCCTGTTTGATAGGTATTTTGTGAAAGGAAGCAAGGGGGAAGGAAGAAGGGAAGGAGGGAGGGAGGGGGGAGAGAGAGGGAGACAGAATTCTACAGGTGGTCTGGAATAGTTTGGAAGCAGGACAGGCTTCCACAGATGCTGGCAAGGAGTAAACAGGAAGAGGGTGGTGGGTAGCAATTTAGTGGTCACAGTGGTGGCTGTGGCTTTGGAGAGGAGGAAGTTGCACAAGGCTTTGGCCCTCACCTGAGAACTCCAGTCCCAGAACCACAGTCGAAGCGGAATTCCACGTGGCCCCCAGCCATATTGATGGACAGGAAGTCCTTGCTGCCCGTGTCATAGCTGTACAAGAGGACACCATCCGCCGAGTCTGGCCTAAATGTGATCTCGAACTCCGTAAAAGAAAGATAGTGCTGGGGCTCCAGGGGCCAAGGTGTGGCAGCATAGGACCTCAATGACTCTCTGAATTGAGGGATCATCAGGGCAAATGCTGAAAGACAAGCAGAGTATTAGAGAAGCCGGTGTGGCTGTCCCAGACCATCCAATTGCCTTCATGGAGCTGTGCTGTTTGTGCAGGGCCTTATCTACATCTCCTAGTTGCTCTGTGAGTGGCAGATGGTGTGGCTGAGTTCTGCCAGGGGAGTGTGGGTTGAATATCAAGGTCCCTAAGCCTTCCTTCTTTCCCTGGTGCTTATCTCTTCTCCTACAATGCTTGTTAGACAAAGGAAATAGAGACGTTGCTCCCTGTATGAGTTCATGGAGCAGAACAACCTCTAACACTAATGACCTGAGGTGACATAGCAGTCGAGCAAGAATCAGCTCCTCTTACGAGAGGTTAAAGAAACCTAAGATGTCCCTGGCTAGCCCTGGCTTAATTACACTCTTCCACAGACATTTAAGCGGGTAGTGAAAACATTTTCCCCTGTGTAGTATCTTAGTTTCAAACTCGAACCATTCATCATAAATTTGACTTCTTGTGTAATCTTAGCTCTGATTTTATTCTCTTTTGTTTTAAATTTTTTGAGTTCTGGAAAAATTAAAGCAGGTTCAAGCCTTCATTTTTCCCCCCAAAATCTTTAAAAATTTCAGTTGTTTCTGAATATTTGTATGTACATATTGTGTGCTGTTGTATATTACATGAATATGTCCATACACATCTGCATACATGTGTGTATTTATATGATACAGTATAGAAAGATCAGAGGAAAGAAGTGAAAACAGGAGCATGTTTGTCTTGGTATTGATTTGTGTGCACACTTTCCCAATATTTTCTTGGAAACTCGGATGTTACAAAGAACGTGAGATTTTAATACACTTAAGTCAGTCTTATACAAACCACACCAGTGCAGGCTTTCCAGGTGCTAAAGGAAGACCAGAGGAGCCAGCTCATGCTTGGCTTATTGAAAGGAACGTATTTGTGGTTGGTTTAAAACTTTGGCCTTCTGAGACTCTCCATCCCTCCCAGCAAAGCAACCTGGGCCCTGTAAGAACATGCAGGACCTTGCTGGATGGGCACTGATGGAATGTTACATCCACATGCATCAACACACAGCCAGAGCCCACCATCTCACCATCTTCACAATGTCGCCCTCTGAACCCCAGGGGACAGAGGCAGATGTAGGAGTCAGCTTTGATGGCTGCACAGGTTCCTCCGTTGATGCAGGAGGCCTCGTCACAGATCCCACTGCTGCATTCCCCTGAACAGAGTGAGAGTCACAAAGCCAGGTCATCAGGTGCCCACCCAGGGATATACAGCTGACCCCAGTCCTCCTGTCCACCCTTGCATAACGAACCAGTTCTCAGCAGAGGGGAGCCTGCTCTTCTTCACTTTCATCTCATGCTGACTTGTCCCCAGAAGAGCTAGAGACTTTTTCAGACATGATGGACACAATAAATCAAAGGATACATTTTATAACCACCGAGGGGGATGATGGAACTGTTCCTGCCTTTAATCCATCTCTGTTGTTCCCGAAAGTGGGAAGGACAGCCACCCCACCCCTCATCACCACAGTGCTTATGTTAACAGCATCCTGATCGTGTGACCCCAATTAGCTTAAGTGCTGCTGCCTCAAGTGTTCAAAGCTCAGCCTCGAAAGGCAAGCCTGGAAACAGAAGAGCTCCATCACTGAGCATCTCTTCTGGGGCAGAGGGAGGGGGAGGTGCCAGGGTGCCTTGGTACATGCTCCAGAACTCTGTTTCTCCTTCCACAGTCAGTCTCAAGAGGGACAGAAAGGTGTGTCATAGTAGAGGGCACTACAGGTTCATCTTTGTGTCACAGGATGTGAGTGTGTGTGTGTGTGTGTGTGCGTGTGTGTGTGTGTGTGTGTGTGTTTGTGTGTGAAAGAGAGAAGATACAGAAGGGAGAGAGAGAGAGAGAGAGAGAGAGAGAGAGAGAGAGAGTCTTTTTATCAATCAAGCAGAGTATTCTGGAAGAACTACTTTGTCATTTTTGCAGGTATCACCTGACATAGAAACTCACTGACTTGCTCTGGCTGCCTGTCTCCTGCATGCCTCATCACAGTCTCTTCACAAACACTAGGTGAATACAAACCACTTTTTCCAGGGAGGAGGGCAAAGGGCATGTATCTGCCAGGGATAGAAAGGGTCCAGCCATGCTGTTTGCCAGTGTTCTGTCATACTTAACCTGATTTGGTAGCCAACTACCAAGAGATAAACAGACCCCCTTGATCTGGCCATGTCACCCTAGCAGGGCCAGTCCCATTCTTATTCCCGGACCATAAAGACTGCCTGGGAGGAGGTAGACAGGGCTGTGTGCTCAGTTTTCTCATGGGACTGGGACGAGAAGACCAACTTCAGGTGGCGAAAACAATTAAAAAAAAAACCCTGGCTGGTGGAATACCCTGGTGGACTGATCTCTGAGAATTCCAGCTGCTAGCCACTGGGAAGTAAAACTGACTGAAGTCTCCTTTTGGTCTCAGCTCTGAAAACATGGCCCCCAGCAAGTGTCCAAAGACACCAGCTTTGGTGTGAACACTGGTTCCAGGGGAGGATTGAAGTCTGAAGTTATTTCAGTTTCACAGGGAGGAGAGTAATATTCAAATCTTTCTGCAATGCAACTTTTTAAAGAGGAGGGAATAGAAGTGGGGCATGAAAGTCAGCTTCCTTGAGGACTTCCATGAGGCTGCTCTGTTAATAGCATCCAAGGTTTCTGATGGGGGGGCAGGGAGGGAGAAAGGAAGAAATCCCATGGGAAAGGTGAATGTGGACCAGAGAGGACCACAGCAGCAGAAACAGAGGTTGTGAGGAATCAGAAAGAGAAGAAGAAAGGTTTTGTTATGGAGCCTGGGGGTTGGGGCTACAGAGCAGCCAGCTCACTCTCAAAGAGGAAAGAAGTGAAGGGCTGTGAGAAGAGCAGAAGAGGAGTCCCCTCTGGTGCCACTTAAACTTAAAGACACCGTGGACATGCCATTGGTAGAGTTGGACTTCAAGAGAGAGCTTCCCTGAGTTCCTGAAGGTGTTAATGGTAGGCCTATGCCTAGGATGGTAGAAGACATGAACTGAGAGTGGAGTCCAGGAGCACCCTGAACACCCTGGTTATTATGAACAGGAGCTACTGATAAAAGAATATCACGTTATAGACAGAGCTCTATCTCCCAAATACACAGGCTGAAGACCTAACTCTCAACATGACTGTGTTTGAGAGTAAGACCCCTAATATTACATGAGATCATAAGAGGGAGGCACTAATCTCGTCTGACCTATGTCCTTAGGAGAGAAAATCTGGACACCTGAGAAACAAGGGGTGTGCACACAGAGGAAAGACCGATCATGTGTGGGAGAGGTGAGAAGATAGTTGGCCATTTACAAGTCAAGGGAAAAGACCTAGGAGAAACCAACCCCTGTGTACCTGGACATTGATCTCTCAGCTCTTTCAACCGTGAGGAATGGATTTCTGTTTAACTCACATAGTCCATGATGTTTCACTGTCATGTGTCTAGCAGACTCAGGCAGCCCCTGAAGGAAATGGCTCACCCTGCTGCTTTTCAGGGTTGGACAGATGTTCTTGTTGCTATAAACCAACCCCAGCTCTGCTGTCACCCAAGAGAAGTACCTCAGTCTGCCAGCCCCTATTATCCATCTATATAGTGGCTACAATGATATTTTCTCCCCTCTAAAATTAGGGTAAATGAGAGTGTAGACAAGAAAGTATTGGACACTATGGTCAAGAATTAGATTTTTTTCTAGGTCTAGAGAGATAACTTAGTGGCTGAGAGCACTTGCTGTTCTTGCAGAGGACCAGGTTCCATCACCAGTACCCACATGGTGGCTCACAACCACCTGTAACCCCAGTTCCAGAGGATCCACACCCTCTTCTGGCTTCAGTGGATACCAGGCACACATAGCACATACACACATGCATGCCATCATGGATGCATCAGGGTGAAAGGTCAAAGTGCATATTCTCTGTCCAATGAGCTCAGGTTAAGATGGTTGCAAGGCACAGCAAGTTTGGCCTGAGGATGGATAAGATCACAGAGCACAAACTTGGGCTCATCACTCCTGAAGCCCTGTATGAACCAGTTGTCCTATTATTCACCCCAACCAGAAAGGAAGCCCCCAGGTTCAGTCGAGCCCCTGGGCACTCACCTACATCAGCCCCATTTAGGGCCTTTCCCAGTGGCCAGGGCCTCATGTCAATCCTCTTCCCATTAACAGCAAGTGACTGCACACAGCCTTGGAAGCCACGGTTTGTCCCTGTTGCTCTCACCAGCCAGTAAGCACTGGGAGCGCCACCAAGGTACAGAGGTGTCCGGAAGGTAATTTTACTGTACTGGCCCTTTAAGAAAAATGAAAACTTTATCTCACCTTAAAAATAGAAAAAGAAAAAAGAAAAAAAGAAAAAAAACCCAAAACTCAATAGATTGCATTGAGGGGGATGGCTAAGCTGTAGATTAAAACCATAGGGATTCCTTTATCTGGGTTTGTCTTTAGGACATGGCCCTGTTGGGTAATGAAATCCATAGTTATTGACTACTGTAGTCAACTCACTGACTCCTTAGAGGGCTGCACTTCCAGAAACAGTGGTTTTGGAATGGCTGCAAAGGAAGGAAAGAGGTCAGATCCAAGCCAACCTAGTCGGCTCTGAAGCAGGCTGGCATCCAAACACAACAGCCCTCTTTCCAGTCCTCACACCAATCCCCTGTGTATCTTGGATGGGTCACAAGGCTATTCTGTGCATCTAAAGGTGGCAGAGCATGCGGGGGAACATCTGCCTGAACATCTGCCCTTTCACAGTCCCAGCCGCCTTCACGTTAGTACTGTAAGAAGAACTGTTGCTGGGAAGTATCCAACAAGTTGTATTATAAAGTATCTTGAAGGCCAGGCGTTGGTGACTCATGCCTTTAATCCCAGCACTCCAGAGGAAGAAGCAGGCAGATCTCTGTGAGTTTTAAGCCAGCCTGGTCTACAAAGTATCTTGAAATTTGCTCATGGGTTTGATTCTTTTTATTATTATTTTTAAGTGTTACCTTGAGTCAGGGAAGCCTCTAACAAACCAGCAGTCTGAATTGTAAATTTGGAGGTTACACCGTACAGGGCTGACCATGAAATGGGAGGAAATTAAGACAATCCTGGTTGTTTTTGTGTGTGGTCTATAAACATCTCATTAATCTAGGTTAAATGATAAATGTGGGAGCTGGGAGAAGGTGCAGCCCTAGAACTTATAAAATGTTCCAAATCAGTCCCTGACTATAATATGTATCCTCAAAGTGGTTGCTTCCTGTAAGTGGGAATCTAATCACCGTTTGATCTCTGCCAATGACCAGGTAAGAAGTACACGTAAATAGTACTCAGAAGGTTTTAAGCATTGTCCTCTACAAGCCGCTTCCATCACATGAATCAAATACTCTCTTGGCTTGTTCTGTCCAGATTCCCAGAAGTCAATTCTGGAACCCACGCTCACTGTTCTGTTCTGGATTTGTTCCCTGCCCTGGGCCACAGAAGGGTGCCTAAATCTCAGTACTGTTTCCTAGGACATAAGTGGGCAAAGAGGGTGAGTTTGGTCAGGACCTTGGCCTATAGCTCCTTGGAGTATGATCTGATTGTCTGTGCATGTGAGTGCCCTGGGTCCCTTGTGGTAGCCTTTAACAGATTGGGGTAGCTCTGATGCACAGATGTTGCTCCCTAGCTCCTGGAACCAGGTGGAAACCATACTGGGAAGAATCATGGGGGATTCTCAGTCTTGCCAACTCCTTCTCCCCTGCCCAACTTCTCTAAAACTGGTCTCCCCACCTGGGAACACTTTCTAAAAACACCTTATGCACAGGACTTCACCTTGGGCTTGTTTCTGGGGAGCCAGCTTAAAATAGAATTACTGTCTCCTGACAATCGTTATTACGCAGTCCACAGCTGACATCACATGCTCTTTGCAGTTCATTTCTATATCTGATAAAGTCATAGGATACTGGGATCAGAAAAATATGAAACCTTATATAATACAGGTTCCCACTGGTTACTGAATTCTTCTTTTTTTTTTCCTTTTCAATTCTTGATTTAATTTTTTTAATTTATTTTACATACCAACCACAGTTTCCCCTCGCTCCTCTCCTCCCACTCCCTCCCTCCAGGTTGCTGGATTCTATGCATATCTCTTTTAGCAGTTTACACATGCTACTCTTTTAATACCTGTTGCTGAGACAGTCTGCTATACCTGGAAGACTGACTCCCTGAGGCTCTCCCAGAAGGCTGAGCTAGGCCAAAAAAAAAAAAAAATCGCTATCCTGCCTTCCTCTTTCCTGATCCAAGCTAACAAAGCTCCACTGAGTCAACCAATCACTGAAGACATTGCAGGTCAACTTCCTGCTTGAGTGGCAGCCTTGGAACATGCTCTTATCTCTTAGAATGTCCTCATATTCTTTCTGCAGGCTCGAGCACTTCAGAACCACTGAAACAGAAATGGCTACTTCTCTAGATGCTACATCTCCATTCATGCAGATGTGTTCATCCTTAACTCACCAGGGCTACTAAGTGACCTTATTTGCCAATCTTTAATTAAAAAAAAAAAAAACAAGCAACAACAACAAGCAAATAAAACCCAAAAAACTCCTTGCGTTCAACCATCCTATTGTCACGGTAGTACTTTGCACTCTAGATTGAAGTGTCTTTATTCTTATCAAAATTCATTTGATCATTTCATGCTATTGCATTAGAATCAATTATCCTGCCCCTTTTTCCTCTTTAGCAATGAGCATAAGCAATCTCTGGGTACTAAAATTCACTAGAGTTGGATCCTCATTCCTTTTGACCCAAATCAATAAGACTTTCAGGGATGGACATTTATTCATCATGCTTTGTTTGTAGCACAGCAAGGACCTGGTAGTGGGGAGGATGCTTAGACAAGGCACAAAGTTGCCCTCGCTGCCCTTTCCTTTGGAGAATATAGAGACCTTGGTGATTGTAACTCTAGACTTGGCTCCTTGCCAGGCGCTAGTTCACACACTTTGTTCTAAAAGATAATCTTCAAATTACTGTGTGCATAATAGGTATGTGAGTACCTCAGTGACCTGCAGAGTGACACAAGAGGTAACTAGCTTACCTCCTCCAACAATGATGCATCCCAGTAAGGATAAATGGATTATCCCTGTATATGGAGCCAGGCAATCCAGCTCTTTCGAGGCTATCTGCTAAAGCCACAAGATCATAACACTCATCCATACCTTCCTTTGTATCTGATGCTAATGATGGGTTCTTTGCTTCCCATATGGGCTTTCTTGACCTCTGGCTTGGATAATCTTGTGCAGAGATAACTATGCCATGCACACATGTTTTGTGCACCCACGGCATTGTACCCACAAGTTCAAGGCATCTCCCCAGTAGGGGTGTATGGAAGGTGTGTATGGAAGCTCAAATGGGCAAAGCTGTGGGGACCCCACCACAACTCTACTGTGTGCCCTATAAAAATTCAGCCTCCCAGAGTTTTCCAGAGCCAACTTGTTCCCTGTACTTTCTGCAGCAGCCTCCTCTTGAGGATCAGATGAGGGCATGGAATCACACTCACCTGGGACTGGCCTGTCACTGGGGTGCCATTATTCAACTGCAGCAGCCCATTCATCCCATCTCTGTATAGTGTCACTGTGTGCCATGCTCCAAGTTTGATTTTGGTCTCACTTACGATGACAGCAATCCCAGTTCCACAATTAAACCTGGGGGTGAGGGGAAGCAAAGGAAGATTCTAGAAAAACCAACTCATGTTTTCAGACTCTAGATCATCACTTCTAGGACAATGGCTCCTCTCTGGTTTTGGGGTGTGCTTGTGTGTGAGGGGGATACAAAGGTTCACACTGCGTGTCTTTCTCAATTGCTGTCCATCTTTTGATACAGGGTCTCTCTTTTTTGTGACCTCACCATGGCCTCATCCTCTCAGTCACTCAGAAGCAGATGGGGTGTAGGACCCTTCGTCTCTTCTCCAGAGACAGCAGAAGCTCGAAGTCCATGTGAGTACAATGCTTTTGAGCATCATTCTGTTTCCTGGTGCTTCTCTGAGGAATCTCCTTGATTCTCAAATGATAGATCTTATGACATTAATAAAATGTAAAAATGGAATCTTCATGTGAGTTCTGGGAAGTAAGCTACCCTGCCATCTGTGACCAGGGCCCCCAAACAGGTGAGGTTTCCACAGGAGACTCTCACTCAAGCCTAGGCATAGAAAAGAGGAGATACACACTGAGATGGCTACAGTATTCCGGTTCTCTCCCAATGTCCCTGTAGCCCAGGGAAGGAGTGAGTACTATACCTGACAGGGAAAGTTTGGGTACTTTTCTGTTGACTGGAGACTAGCCGTCTGGCTACTTCCACCAAGATCCCAAGATTACTTCCTGTAGGAAGCATGATGGTGATGTCTACACTGTGCTACCTACAGCCCCTTTCTTGTGGCTCTTGCCTCCTGACCCTCACTAGTGTGGATGGCATGGGCAGGATTTGGGGAGGGAGATGTGTATCACTCAGGTGGAGTTATGATATTAGGGAACTACCAACAGCCAAACACTGCCACGCCACTGAGTGTCTACCTCATCCTTGAGTGCTAGAGCCCGGGAGATTAGAACCATTGGCCTAGTCCTGGTGCCTGACACCATGCATCCAGGAATCAAGTCACCTAACAAAGCCTGCTCTAACATCTTCAGTACAACCATAAGAACTTAAAATATTTTTTTGTGTGTTTATGCATTTTTGTGTGCTAGATGTCACAAGCTAGATGGACCTAAGAGGTTAACATCAGATCCTTCCTTCATGCTTTCCACTGTGATTTTTTTTTTTTTCAAGACAGGTTCTGTCTCTGAGCCCAGAGCTCACTGACTGCAAACTCAAGAATTCATAGACCCTGCTTTCCAGTGCTTGGGGGTTATAGGTGAGTGTTACCACTGGTGGCTTTTTACATGGGTGCTCAAACTCAGGTCCTCATGCATGGCATAGGAGGCCCTTTGCTGACTCAGCCTTCTTCCCATTTCTCCCCCCCCCCAAAGTATTTTTAATGCATAAACAAATAACCCATTAGGGTTGGTATATACATACTGGGCAGGCTTTGTGCTAAGCGTAAGAGAACTCATGTGATCCCCTCCACAATCCTTGGAGGAAAGGCAACTCCCATAGCTCACATCATCTGCCAAAGGTCAGGCGGTAAGTAAATGATGGCATCAGGAGGCTAGCTAGGATACCCTGGACGGGGTCAAGGCTGATGTCTGTCATTCATTCACAAACAGACATTGTGTGCCCTAAGCCCTCACTCTGCTTCCTGAAAAAGCACAAGTTAACTAAAAGCAGTTTCCAAAGTATCTAAGGGTAGAGGGAATGACCCAGGTACAAGAGGCAAGTCAGGGTTCAGCCCAACTCCAGGGAAGTCATGGTAGGTTTGAGCCTCTGTCAGTTCTTGGGAGCCTGTGGCCCCTCCTTATCCTCCACAGCTGTCAGCCATCTTGTCTCAAGGAGGCTCTGAGGAGATCCTGCCTTCTACTTGAGCTTCAGGAAAGAGAGGACTTGGCCTTTGCCAAACTTCCGTGAACCAATAGTAGTTGTTCCATACCTGATTGGTGTTAGAATAAGTGAATGAGGCAACATTTCAAAACTCAAACTTCAAAGGTTACCTGCTGTCACAGCTGTCTAAGACTTGAGACACTGGCCCAGGCTCATCTCCTGCACACCATTCCTTTAGTGACCAGAATTGTATGGACTGTATTGTGTACAATGTACGTGGTAGAAATTTTAAATTTACAGGGCTTAGGGCAAGAGTTACCTGAAGTGGAGGGAGCGCCGGATGAGAGCCAGGGACATGAAGTCACCTCTCCCGTGTTCACTCTCCCCACAGTAGAGCAGCAAGCCATCCTCTGCCTCTGCCTGTGGAGACACAAGCAAAAGCCACATGAACCAAGGCCACCTCTTCTTCCTCATCTGTAAACACTCATGAAGACAAAACATGAATGGTCCCCTCTGCCATTCTACTGATGCAAGCATGTGGATTCCAGGGAATTCCCACATATCCAGGCTGGTTCCTTCACATCGTAAAATATCAGTGGTATGAATAAAGGAACAGCTCTGAGGTGAAGAGGGAATTTTGTGGAATTTTGATATGTTTAGCCAATGATTTGGGGCAGCAAGCGCTAGGGTGTGGTCTTGTCTGTTATGTGACAACCTATAAGCTGAGGGGGAAGGCTCTCTCACTTTCTTGTTCTCTTGGATGGTAGGAATAGAGCAGGTACTTGCTGTTGGGGTTCTTTTTCCTTGGGCAGAACAACTGCAGTGGTGTCTAACCTGTCCTGTGTAAGTGAGTGCTTCCCCCTATTTTATTCCTACATAAATAAATTCTTGAGAACCTTTCCCAGACTCTCATAGATTCACATTACAGAAGGCCTGTATCCAACCTGCTTTTTGTTTGGTTTTGCAGATGCACCGGCAAAACTTCCATAAAAGCTTGTGTCCTATGGCCTCAATCACACAGCACCTTGTTTGTGCTCGTCAGTTTCTACTGTCCCTGATGAGCATCCTGTTTCCAATATGTTCTTTCCACTCTTCCTCTCTACCCGGGAAACATGTACGTTTGCTACTCTCCTTCTGTCCAGGCAGTACAGACAGTCCACTGGGTAGTCACACTAGATGTATTAGCTGAGGGACAGGCCACCCCCTACACAGTTAACACTATGACAAGGGTAACCAGGGGATGCAAATTTCCAGACCCCTGGCCCTTTTGCTTCAAAGAATCACATGCAGCACAAAGTGTCAGCTGCATGCTGATCTTTAGATGATTGGGGCCAGAGCAAGCTCTCTAAAGGGGCTTGGGGAATGGAATGCATCGTTAGTCCTGAAATGCTGCCCCTGACTCATCACACTGGAAGTAGCCTTCTCACTGGAAATCTAATCTTCCATAGTTTGTGACATGCAAACCCACCTTCCCCTAGCTGTGTACTTGAACATTGTGAATGTACCCCATTCCTGCTGGATTTTGACTGACTGCAAGTCAGGCTAGGTGCATCATAATTTTTTGCTTCCCCTCTTCCCTCTCTCCCTTTGATGTAACCAGATACGTTCAATAGACACTCATCACACGACAGCGCCTCTTACCCTGAATTCCAGAGTGATCTGAAATGCCTGATAAGAATTCTTCAGGGGCTCAAAGGTTACGTAGGAGTGACCAAAGAACTGAGGATACTGAATAAAGATATCTGAAAGAAAAAGCAGTGTGACAGAATGCAGTCCTCTCTTTCTTTTCGAAGCAGAAAGCAACACACACCACTGTCTGTGTATCACCCAGTAAAAACCTCATCTAATCGGCTACATTTAGCTTCCTTCCCGTCTCGCTTTCTCTGCCTTTCACACCTACTACTCCCTGCACCAAGGAGCTTCTTCTGATATTGTTCAGAAGAAACTGAATTTTGAATTTGGTTTCCTGCTTTCCAGAAAAGAAACGAGTATCTTGAAGTCCAGTGTCACTCATTTTCATGCTGGGCTTTTGCAGTACCCAGGTGGCTCAACCATCAGCCCTCTTCTCCCTTCTGGGTGTTCTGGATAGCGATATGATAATGGGATGATTTCAAGGTAACTGCTCCAAAGGACCTCACACTAGACACACATAGAAACAGGTTATGGCCTTCCAATGGAAGATGCTGTGCTCATCCCCTTCCCAGGGCCTACCTTCTGAGCAGCCCTCCCCTCCTTTGCCCAGGTTGCAGTGACATCGTGAGCCTCCCCAGGTGTAGTCATTGACACAGAAGCTGTCAGCTGAGCAGAGTGTTTCATCACAGGACATGTCAAAGAGTCTTGACATCACGGCCACACTGTTTTTCCCCTTCCGCTGGGCAGGGGTGTGTGGGATGGCCACTGTAGTTTCAGGGAGAGATGCGGAGGTAGGTTGTGCATGCCTGGAACCCATTTCTGGGTTAGAGAGAGATATCTTCTTGGATTCCATCAAGAACTTCCTATTCCCAGCTTTGGTAGCAGGAAGTGGTTTAACCTAAATTTGAGAAGGAAAGGACTTAGCATAAACTCGGAGTCATCTTTACACTGCATATATGCAGTTCTTGAACCACAAATTCACTATTAGCATCCCCAAATCCCAGGATATCAGTGAGACAGAAGCACTGGCCCCAGTTCACAGAGGAAGACCTTGAGACACAGGGAGTTTAAGCACCTTGTCCTGAATTAGTAAGAAAATCGTGGTGTGGTAAAGCAGCTCTCCTACGACCTATTCATACTAAGCTGTTACAAGATGCATGGCTTTGTCGAGGAATCATTTGTTTTCTTATGCTGCTCCATTTTACAAAATTCCTGGGTGGTAAATCTACATTTTTTTTTTTTTTGGTAGTTTACAAAGTTAGTTGTTGTAGACAGAAGCTGTTCACAGGATAACAGCCTGCTAGGA